GGCGTGCCTAAAGGGGATAACTTTTTGACTTGGTCCATATAGATCAGAAACGTTGACACTGATGGGGAAAATAATTGAATGGAAGTTGCAAAATACACAGTTGCCGAGAGAGAGAGGCACACTTGAAAGTTAGAAGTTAAAAAATGTAAACCTATTGACTGAAAAGTAACAGTGGGCTTGGGCAGGACATGTCACCAGAAGGGGGTGATGGCCGGTGGTGGAGACGAATGACAGAGTGGCAGTCAAAGGAGAGAGCATGCCCAAGAGTACGTCCGCCGAGTAGATGGAGCGATGAAATCAGCTCGTGTGCAGGTGTGAGATGGATTGTTACGTCGCAAGATGGCGATGGCGTGGGCAGGCTTTCATCAAGCACAGTAGGTTGATTGTGACTATAACGATGAAATTCGTCGTTACGACATTCTGATGATGTCACTGACATCACTACCATCCGGATTCATGCGTCAATGCCATATTGGGGGACCCTGATGAGTACTTAAGGTCTTTTTTCAATTACAAAACATCAAACTCATGACAGACAGCCAGAACAACACACAGTTTAGGTATATATCGACAAGATAAGAGCTCTTTGTTTTTCTTTGCGTATGCCTTAAAATAAACAGTGCTGGAGAACATTGGTTCAGAAAGCCCATTGGCTGATTGACCTACATTTTACTTTTTAGTGATGAAACAGTCCCTTATCTCCTCATCAAGATAACACAATCTCTTACAATTAGCAGTGCTGGTGGTTCACCCTGTAACTATGCCACCTCATGGTGATGCTGCATTACTTGCAGACCGTCGCCATATTATGGTTTGTGTACTTTTCTGACCATCCCTACCAAAATGCTGACACAACTTCGGAAACCCGCGGGGTTCAGCGCTTCACTTAGAGAACCACACAACTGCGTCAGCATCCGTGAATCTTCACAACACCCAAGTAATTTTTTTGTCCACCCGTGTCCGAATAAAATGTGGCGGCACGGGCATGTGGTTCGAGTTAAGAGTACAAAGCGACCGCTATAGCCGATGCAAACGACGACATTTATTTGCTATTCCACGCGTCTGTTTATTTACACGGCGGGTGGATGGGTCGTGGGCTGACTAGAATTCAACCGTGCCTCGCAGCAGTATCTGCTGTGGATGGGTTTCTGGATGAGACGGTGGAGGCATGGCCAGATTAAGTTTGATAGGGAGCCTGGGCTGGTATACTTTTGGGGGTGGGTGCCCTCTTTGTATCGTCGTCATCAGCAGCAGCACCCACGGATCAATCCACTGCAGGATGAAGGTCTCACCAAGCCACTACCACCCCTCATGAATCTTGGGATGAAAAATGTATCTGGCGCCTGCACCTGAACTGTTTTCATCGCCCCATCTCCACGGTGGATGTCCATTCGGACGCATTCCCTCGTGTATATTACATTCTTTATCGTTTTACCACCACAAATGTCCGGTGTAAAAAAACTCCAGTTCTATAGTCGTGATTTAAAGTTATAGTTTTTAGATGTGATATGCAAAACGTAAAGCTAACCTCTAAGTAAGAACTATTAAACATTGGCATAAGTGGTACTAATACACTTAGTGATAGTGACTTTAATGACAAAATCACACACATCATTTACAATTCAATGCAGTGTGCTGGGCCACAACCCCCTAAAATGCCTCTGCGTTAACCCGGCCTTGGGTGCGTGTGGGTGCGCACGTGCTCTGCAAGTGCTGATCGTAGACGTTTCGCACCGCCCCCACACGTTTCTCCACCAGTTTTTTCACTAACGTTGTTGGTAATCGTGTCCCTTTTTTTCCACCCCCCCCCCCGCCCCTCTCCGTTACCGCCAGCGGGGTTCCGATGCTTCACCCGTGCCGGGGCTGCGTGGAGCTCACCTACCTGCAGAAGGTGACGTCCACACCTTGCGGCGCTAGCTCCCCGTGCCTCGCCGCACACGGCGCAGCAAATTGTCAGGGATTGTTGCTTAGTCGTCTCCGTGTGAGCGACACGCACCACTGGGTGATTGAGAGCGTTACACAACGCAGGCGACCCAGTTTGCCGTTGTTCGAGAAAGGTTTTTTCTGCTCGATTGCAGTGTTTGTGTAAAAAACAAACACAGCTACTTTCACAGAAAGAGATGCATGGCCAAAGCAAAAAAAAAATTCCAAAAGGGATTTAAGAAACTAAAGAAGCACTATTCTGAAAAAAGCACTTTACCAGTAAATTGTCAAAATGTTTCTCAACTAGGATGGGAATGGGGGGTGAACAGCCTTTGTGTTTCGACACAGCGGTGTTTACACGGGATGTGCTAAAAATACTCGTGCGTAGGGTTTTTGCCGTTGTGGAGTTTAGCTCTCCGACGTATTTTCAGGCGATATCACATGTTGTTTGGAATGTCTGACGTTTCCATCTGCATCCCGGGAGCTTCTAAATTCAATTATTAATTCAGTGGTTGAACTTACACTCCCAGAACATGGAACTCGCAACACCTGGAGCCAAATGTCGCATGTCATTCCGAACAACACATAGCAACCTGAAAAAACATCAGAGTGTGATAAAAAAAAGGAATGCTTAAAAACCGAAGCAGGACATTAGCAAATAGTAAAGTCAGCGATTAAACAGTGCCTCGGGCTTAATAGTGGGACACGTGTGTGTGTGTGCGCGCGCATATGCCGGGCTGCACAGATGCTCGTCAGCCTGCGGCACTGGCTAGAGGTGGATTCTGAAGAAGACGCAGCTGTGGGAGATGGAGCGGAAGACTCTGGAGAAGTCGTCGCCGAGGTGGAAAGGATCTTCACGGCGGTGTACGTGGCGGCGGCTTCCGAGACACTGTCGCACGCTCCTGCGCTGTAGCGGAGGAGAAGCGATTTGACGATTGAAATCAATCGTTACACTCGCGATATTGCGCATTGAATCATCCGCATGAAGATCGATTATTTACAGTTTATGCTCTAGCTGTGCGCCATTTAGTCACTGCACAAACATGTGCAGCTGAGATAGAAATGAACAATACAAGTGATTTGGACAAGACCGGAAATAATATTTATCGCAACTCAAATCGTGACATTTCATTTAACTGCCGAGGGAGGAGCAATTGTTACAATGTTTTGTTGCAATACAATGTATTTTATACTTTTTTTTATATTTACAACCCCTTCATTTTTTTTACTGAAATAACGGTGTCCTGTCCGTGTGTGCTAGCAGGCGCAGTCATTAAACGAGTGACACTGCAATATGGAGGTGTTTAAAGTTTGTAAATAATTTATTGTGTGCATAAGCATTGTGGCACAGTTCACGTAAGCAAGAACCCGAATGAGTGTTGTTGATGTTTACCTAATAAAACAAAGCAATGCATTACAAGCTATGCATGAATTCAATCGTAATTAAAATCCGGTGTGGAATGTAAATGTCTATACAGCAGCTGCAACAAAATGATGTACAAGAGATGAACTTGATTTACAAGGATCTTACCACATGAGCATATTATTCCATATAATCTATAAAGACATTATTGAAACTTTACATCCAAGCCAAGTATAAATCTTCATTCCATTACACGTCACACATGGTGAAGCTAAAGCAACGTTGGGGCTTTTACTGTGGCCTTAAGTCATGTTAACCCAGCGGTTCTTAACCCCCCCTACCCTGCTTTCCCCCCCAAGGGTGCAAACGTTTTTCATGGGGGGGGCGCAGAGGCTGAATCATGGATACGCGTGCGGGGAACGTCATTGCGGCATCATACACGACATGAAATGTGTTTGGTTTACACCGTGTTGATTAGAGACGTGATCTCTCTTGTCATGTGACCTGAGCAACCTTGTATTTTTGAGTAGGGGCACAGGTACATTTCCTGTCAACCCAAACGATTTACCCGTATTCTTGTAAGGGAAATTGAGTTTTTAGATCCATATGGCATACAACGTTTTAATCCTGGCAAAACATGTTTTTGTCTATTTGTGTTCCTGCCTTGTGATGGGACTTTATAGGATGAACGTTGAGATTTATAAGGGCACGTGGTGACCAATTAGGTCTGAATTGGTCTGTAATAAGGTGGGCACTCAGGGGTTCATAGGTATGCAGGTAATATTAGTTTTGATTAGGGGGTCGCCACACCACAATGCTTTTAACGTGTTAATGCGTCGCAGTAGTTTTTGTGAATGCTGTGGTGAGTTTTCACATGAAAATCTGTTGGTACGATGGTTAGAGTCGGAGGTAGTGAAGTAACTTTTTGTTATTTTCTTTTAACCTATCTACGTGACTTTACCGAAAGACCCAAGAATGAGTAACTTTTTATTTCAAGGAAAGCATTTGGCACGTGATGTCAAAAGGTGAAGTCTTGCTGGAAGCTGCTGTACGCCATAGTCCTTGTCTGCATAGTTTACACGCTGATTCCAATGCAGACATATCTCTGACCAATATGCTCGTGTCTGAAGAATTCGTGTCTCCATAGCCTGTGCACTGGTACGTGCATTGGCTTTGCACTGTTTGCCTTTTGACGTTCTCTGGTCTATGGTTGCGACTAAGCCCGAAAGAAGGCTGTCTGGTGTAAGCCAATCAGTTTAAAAAACAATGCATATGTTAGAGTATGTTTGTTTGCATGTTCACCACAAGTATGTGTGGTTAATGCAGATATGATTCCTTGCAAAAGGTTTCTATATGGCGTTTAAACATTCCTATTTTTTCATACTTTATACTGGCAAAAAAGGTCCCATTTTGCATCTCTCGTATCTACACTTCTAGGCTACGTGTCTCAATTGTGTAAATGCTGGTATCGCACGAAGACAACACGAGCTTTTATCGATGGTCATTAGCAATGCATTGTGAGAAACCTAGTTAATCAGTCCATTGGTTCTGAACCTATTTGCTATGGCGTAGCCCCATCAGCAGTCAAGACCACTGGTCCCTTCCTGCGAGAAACAGATCCACTGGGGTGGAACCATCCAGCACCATTCCTCTGCAAGTTTGACTCCCCAGTTTAGGGCTGGGTGACAGTGTCCAAGACATTTTCTTTGGCGGGGGGGGGGGGGGGGTAGGCACCTGTCTAGACATTGTGGGTAGATTGCATTGTGCTGGTGGTGATGACGATGAGACCGGTGTGCGTGGCTTCCTGCTAGTCGCTCAGGGGAGGTTCTGCTGCAGGTCGGCCACTTCTGCCCTCCACATGGCCCTGTGGGACGGGTTGCTCGTCAGCCCCGTCACCTTGGTGGCCTTGATGATAATGTCCGGGCCACAGGAGACGATTGCGCCGTACACCAGCACGTACTCGCCTGGCAGGAGCATTCAAAGCCACGTGCCACGCAAGAGACAACGACGCCATACAGAATCAGAACATTGATTTACACTGGAGGAATCCGATGAGCGATGAAGCTCTTTTTCACAGATGCCCAGTAAAATAATGGTACACATCAAGGTTTCAGAATACGTGGTCCACAACAGTGATAATTATAATTCAACGCTATTCAGCAATGATTTCAAGTAGTATAAGAACCCCTTTTGTATCACTTTTCTATTTGTAACAGAGTAATTGGTGAATTGTCAAACGACATTCCAGGTCTGTAGTAAGGGTCGTATACAAGTTTACTTTGTTTAACAATTTGATGTAGTCTCGTGACATTTCCACGACCTTAAAAAGGTCTAGAACTGCGACAACTATCGACTTTTCCAGGTTAATTTTCTCATTTCTCGGCTTTAACCACGTGGCTTTAACCCAGCCGAGTCAACATCACCATGAGCCACCACTCGCCTGGAGCCAGGCAAGAACTGCCCCTGGGCACGGCGTCCAACCCACGCACTGTGAACTCCCCGGTGCCGTCAGAGATCCTGGCCGAGCCACCGTGGCTCTCCCCCACGGACACGACGTCTCCCTGCATCCACACGTAGGACGCCCGCAAGGGCGAGCAGCCGGGCCTGGGTTCGAACCCGGTCTGTGTTGCTCCACGGCCCCGGGTCACGGCGCACGTGTGGGGGGGCTTCTCGTCGTCGTCGTCGGGCCGGGCACCGGGGCAGGCGGAGAGCTGCACGGCGAGGACTTTAAGCGGCACGGCGATGACTGGCGCTGACATTCCCTCTTGCTTCTCTCTGTCTCTCTCCACTGATGGATTTCCTACAGCTTGGACGTAGGGATGGAGGGATGGATGGGAGTGTGTGGATTGGTGTAGTGAATGAACTACTGCAGGCGGGCACATGGAGTGAAATGAATGGAAGTGAAGGCGTGGATGAAATCGAAGTGGCTTTAAATGAAGATAGTGACGGCAGGCGAATGAAGACAATGACGGCGGGCGAATGAAGACAGTGACAACAGGCGAATGAATGAAGGCAGCTGAAGGAATAATCAGCTGCACTGTGGGCCACACCAATGCAATAACGAATTGCCCCTCGACTAAAAGAACGAGTTATAAGCTGAGTGCAGCCTCGGGAGAAACAGCGAAGGCAACTGAACGAATATAAAGCCGCTCAGGGAACAATCTCGGCACATTTAATCGTAGAGAAGGAAAGCGACGAGAAGTTATTGATGGCGTAAGGGTCTAATAGGAGGCGGTCGTTGTGGCAGACTTGGGCCCCGCGTCTTCCTTGGGGGCTTCACGTTTCGATGTTTCTACGAGCGGCAGAGTTTGCAGATCTCTTGAAACGTCGCAAGTTCGCGTCTCGCATTGCCCCACGCGAGTTTGAAGCTTTAATCAGCGAGAGAACGAGCGAGCCAGAGACGTTAACGCGGGGGTGGGTGGGGGAGCGCGCAAATGACGTCATAGTTTGTTAAGCGAGTTGCGTGACGTCATTTGGCGCGCGAATTTGAAGAGAGCGAGAGACGTTACCGTGGTGGGGGAGCGCGTAAATGACGTCATAGTTTGTTAAGCGAGTTGCGTGACGCCGGGTGACGTCATTTGGCGCGCGAGTTTGAAGCTTTAATCAACGAGCGAGAGACGTGAACGTGGTGGGGGAGCGCGCAAATGACGTCATAGTTTGTTAAGCGAGTTGCGTGACGCCAGGTGACGTCATTTGGCGCGCGAGTTTTTAAAAAAGATGTTAAGTCGATGGGAATGTGTGGATTTCTTTTGCTGTCGCAACTTAAAAAAAAATACTGTTGTAAAATAAAAGCTGTTAACTGACGCTTGCTTCAAATCGCTTTAAACTATTGTCATTGTAGTGCGTATTTAATGTGGCGCTGCACTGATGTTGTAGGAGAAAACACTTATTAAAACGTCTAATTAAATAGAACGTGTTGTCTATATTTATTTAAATTTGCGCATTTTTATGTGACGTCACATTTCTCAACCCCCCCCCTAGGTGCGTGACGTCATTTATGGACGGCCCCTTACCTGGTAAATAAAATAGTTTAGTTTGATGTCATATCCAGCCCAACTTGCCTTCACACCACCCGTCTGCTCTCATCACTCTGGCAGAACATCTGCAACTGTTACAGATAAGAATGCATCTCACGTGTACCGGCTTGTGCACCACGATGCCATTCATTCATTCATTGACTCTGTGGGTGTCGATATTCATTGCATCAATATAATGTACACCCTATTCATTATTGATCTGCAAAGTTTGAAAGCGCGTTCACCATCCGTGTATCAATTAAACACCCTCCTAAACAAAAATATTCCATCCCCCCCCCCCCCCCCCCCCGATGACATTATCCAAGTGAAGTAGAATTAAAAACATTTCTAGATTTGAAGCTTTCGTGACTGCAATGATTCATATTCTTAGGTTTTTTTTCGGTAAAGTCACGTAGGTAAAAACATCAAAAAGTAAAATAAAATATTTTAAAATAAAATAGTTGACTTTTTACCTACGTGACTTTACCGAAAAAAAAAAACCTAAGAATTAAAAACATTTTTTAAAATAAACTTTTAACATTGCAAGGCGCTCGTGCACTTTCTAAAACTCCGATTACGACACGAGTTAAATTTCACAGTCTGGATAGGCAGCCCCGAGTTGCGCTGCCGCTGCGCCTCGGCCCGCGGGGCAGAGTCGAGCCGGCGCCTATCCGCGCTGGGAAATCCGAAGCGCGGTCTCCATGGAGACGGGAGCCGCTGTCACCCTCGGTCGCCATGGCGTGAAAGCTGAAATTGGACATTGACGAAGCCCCAACATTCAAGCGACGCGTACACTTTAAAATTACTTGTTAAGGTATGTAAACAGAATACACACACGCACGTATGTGCGTGTACTCACACGAACCCTAAAGACAAAGAATCCCAGCGTAGAGCCCGAACAAAAATGCATATTGCTGGGGCCATGTTAGTGTTGTTGTAGTACGGAGTTAGACTGATGGCCTTAATCTAAGTTGTCTTGTGGTTGTTGTTGTTGTTGTTTGTGTTGTTGTAGTACAGAGTTAGACTGATGGCCTTAATCTAAGTTGTCTTGTGGTTGTTGTTGTTGTTGTTTGTGTTGTTGTAGTACAGAGTTAGACTGATGGCCTTAATCTAAGTTGTCTTGTGGTTGTTGTTGTTGTTTGTGTTGTTGTAGTACAGAGTTAGACTGATGGCCTTAATCTAAGTTGTCTTGTGGTTGTTGTTGTTGTTTGACTTGCATCCCACTGGGATTTTTGCACACAGCGTTGGTGTACGGTGCTTTTTCTGCAATATTTTGCTGTCTTTTCTTGAATGTTCTGTTTGCACTCAGTCACATAGTCACTTTAAGATGTTTTCTTGTTCATGTTTTTGTTTTTTGTTTGTTGCGGTTGCACCCGATTCAAGAGCCGAATGGCTCACAGGGCTACACCTAATCAATGAAACTGAATGAACTTGAAGTGATGTGAGCGAGAGAGGTTGCGTGGTCCAGCACCACGCCCAGCCGCCTTTGTCTCCCCAGTGGCGACGTTTACACCGCACCAGGTACTCATTTGAGGCCGAGTCGACCTAGGGGAAGCCCGGGACCGGTTCCGATTATCGTCACCGTACTGCATTACTATACACCACCTTAGACTATACATTGTAATATTACACTATGTATTATTCTACCCACCCTACGGTATTCAGTAGGGTGGGTAGTAATGCAGTATATAATTTAATGTTGGGTTTGTCTATGGCAGTATATAGTACCGGGTAGATCCGTGTGATGTAAGGAAAAAGTTTAGCTGGAGGCATATTATATTTTTTTGACTTACTGTTAGTAGCTCAGCATATAGGAGAGTATATTTAGTATATTGATGATATTGATGTACCATTGGAACCTCATTTGCCAGTAAAAATATGATAATTGGTGTTTTACCCTTCTATCTGGCAACAAAACTGACACCTTTTTACAAGGAGTCATGTTTGTATAGACCACAATACCTGCAGTCATAATGCAAACAAAAAACACAACTCTGATAATGTGCACTGTCCTTGAAGTTGATTGGTCCATACCTGAGACAGCTTTCCTTAGAGCCTAGTCTCACATGGTCCAACCCAGTTTTTTTACGTGGTGGTTTGGCTGCTGCAGCTCCTTACTATTAAAATTCCTTCCCCTTATTACTGCTAACCCTACTTCCTCCCTTTGTTGCTACTAATCCTAAATAATGCACGGGCATAATATGACTTTGAGACCCCCCCCCCCACCTCCTACGCATTCCACAAGTAGTGACTAATCCCATATTTACATTTTCCATAAATATGCTAAATTCATCTGTTGATATGCAAATTACTTTGTCAAGGCGCCCTTCCTCCTCTAACCCAGCTTAAATATACGCTGCCAAGCTTGGTGGTGTTCATTCAGACGCTGTCTTTCCGACAGACCTGTTCTTCACCTGAGGACGGCTGCTTGCGTTGTAGTCGAAACGTCGTGAGAATTGTATTTTTTTATGTTTATTATTTTATTATTTCCCTTCTACGTGACTTTACCGAAAGAAGCAAGAAGTCATAGAATGTCGGAGCATGGAAAGTTACCGTGCAGTACAACAATAGGTTTTGGGTTCTCACGTGCGGTGAGTTGATGGTCATAACTCAGTCCCCAATGACTGGACAAAAGGCATCACATCAATTGGCTCTGTATTAATTTGTCTTAATATAGCTCTGATCATTTAAATAAAAAAGATCCCGTCACCTGATGAACACTACTATCATGTGTGTGGAAATGCTGCCCCCTTCTTTGTGGACCACACGTCACTGGAAAGGATCTCGGAGGTAGCTCTGTACTTATCCATTTCCACAGGCCATTCCGTAACATGAAGAAATCCACTCTGTACGTATGTTCAACTGCTTTCGCACCGTACGTAGCCAACCGCGCTAATCGAAGGTGCGGATCTGTGAGAGATTCACATACATACCTCATTTCATGACATGCCACCAATAAGCACGACGGGGATAACGTTGGGGATAGATTACGATGTCATAAAAATGCGCAATATCCAGCTCTTGTTTGAACACGGCAACGCTGACTTCGTTCTTTGACAGTGAGGGGACGGTGTTGGCAGCCGAGCGGAGGTCTCCTCCTGGGTTGCAATGGACACCGAGGTGTGGGCACTGCTGCCCGAGACCCTACCTGAAGAGAGCGTCCGCTCTCTGCGTGGCCTCGTTGACGACAGAACGTTCAGCTGCCCGGGTCCTGGCGGGTTCACCTTCACGTGAGTAGCACATCATACGTTAGCAATACGTGTGTATGTATGTATGTTCAACTTCGTTTGCACCGTGCGTAGCCCACCGTGCTAATCGGAGGTGCGGGTTAAAGGACAATAAATAATAAAAAGCAATTTTACGTTTAGTTTGTTGTCTAGGCCTTTGACAAAATCACCCAGAAGGTGCTCAAACTTGTCAGATCTTGATAGCCAAGCAGGCTTTAGCCTGGATAGCGCTGGAATGGATGCTCACCTCACGTAAAAATATGCTTTAGGCTGCTGACGGGCTACGCTGTAGCAGCAGAGGATAGTGCAGCAAATATCAATGTTGCACTGTACTTATCTTAACGTGATTTATATAGCGCCTTAACCAAGGCGCTTTACATAGAATTGAGAGTGGTACATATGCATACTTAATGGCAGAGATGAGGTGAATAAAATAGATGAGAGGAAGCAATGGAAAATCTGTGATGCGTGAAATCAAAATTTATTACAGTAAATGATGATGAATGGTTTTAATGAATGAGTGATAGCCATATAATGAGAATATGAAGAGGAGACAGTCACAGTCGTGGTTATGGGGGAGAGATTTAGTGGTTGTGGGATGAGCTAGAGAAAAGAAGTGAGTTTTGAATGAGGAGCGGAAGCTAGTGAGCGAAGGCGACTGTTTAATGTGGAGGGCAAGTTTGTTCCAGTGAAGGGGAGCGAGAAGAGAAAAAGCGAAAGCGTGATTGAGCACAAGGAGAAGGAGTAGCATAGAGAGACAACAAAGATTGAGAACATCGAGGACAAGAAGGCACATAGAAAGCTTTCACGACTGTGTTCCCTGGCTTCAAGAACCCATATACACCAGAGTGGTGAAGTAGAGTTTCCGTTGAAAAAGACATTGTGAATTTTGAATGACTCCTCGCTGATCTTCCCTACCCTGACCACAAACAGCTTTCGAGAGCTCCTCGGGGACACAGGCCGTACCTCACTGGGCCGCCTGCTCGATCCGCTGTTGGATGGCCTGCTCACAGGCCACAATGGCTGCATGCTACTGCTGGGGCCTACAGGCTCAGACAAGGAGAGGGTCCTGGCCGGCATGGTGTCCTCCCAGATGCAAGTCGTAACCGGGGTCGGTGCTGGGCAGCAGCGGGCGACGGGGCTCGTGCCGCTTGCCATGCAGAGGCTGTTCGCCGCATTGGAGAGTGGTGCCACGCCTGGTACGGAGGAAGAGTTCTGATAGAGTTGTCTTGGTGTTGCTGGTGGTGGCACCGTGGCTCCGGTTTAAGGATGTAGCAATATCCGCCTTGGATTTTTGAGTCTCGGGTGACACATGCAAGGTAGATTCATTGGAATAGGAAGAAATATATATTGTCTTCTTGGTTCTTTCGGTAAAGTCACGTAGAAGGGAAATAATAATATAATAAAATAATAAAAATAAACCATAACAAAATAATAAAGAATACAATACCATTATAGTATAATAATATAATATTTTTGTATTTCCCTTCTACGTGACTTTACCGAAAGAACCAAGAAGATGAATCCCTGCAGTCACGAAAGCTTTAAATCGAAAAAGAATATATATTGATTTATTAACTCATAATTGATTTTTCGATCAGACCATGTTAGTAAAATTCCAATGCATGGCATACAACCTCCTCCACCCGGCACAGATAAATAAAGTTTTCATTCATGACAAACGTGCCAATTTACTATTGCTTCAGCACAATTTTATGTTGGAGAGAAATCCACAACATTCAACAATTTGGTAGGCCGTTTCACTGGTAGTTGCAACCAGGCATCATCAGGCAATTTGCCATGCTGCTCAGTGCAGGTTGGTGAGGTTGGGAAAGGTGGGGGCTGAGGACTGTTTCATATATCACTTGCCACTGATGTTAACTCTGGCTGGGAATTGAACTCAGGTCATATAATTCATAGAGCAGCACACTAACCGGTGCATGACTGATCCACTCCACATAGCCTTACAAAACATATGCAATGGTTATGATAGCTGTATAATAACAACTCTTAAAAATTGCATTAAAAGTTAGTTCTTAAAACCTTGAACCTTCAAAAGATTATCAAGAAACTAATTAACCAAATATATCTTTTATATCAGGATCCAGCTTGCAAAGGGTTGAAATTCACCTCTTTATCACTCTACTGTCCCATCGCTGCTTTGAGCATTTTTTTTGTTCTATTGACTGTTTGCGCAGGGAGCCGTGCAGTGGCGCTGTCCCTGTGCGAGATGAGCGCCGATGAGAGTGTGAGGGATCTCATGATGTGGGATCCGCCGGCCCCAGGAAACGAGGGAGTCCTGCAGCTCGACTTCAGCCCACAGGAGGGCATCTACGTGCGGGTGAGCCACCGCACTTACAAAGGTTTAAATAAGTATAACCCGTAAAAACAAAGTTTTTCACTATAAATCCTTTATATGCGTGGCGGCTAGAGTCCTCTCGTCCTCTGGCTTGAGATGGCTGCCACCTATGGGTCAGATGATTGTCTGCCAGTATTAAGCAATTGGTAATTAAATATTTAATTTGTTTTCCCTAAACAGTGTAAAATTTTGAAAAAAAATTGCACGAACATTAATTGTCTCGCACAACGAGTCTGTGTGCAAAATGTCAGCTCGATTGGATCACGGGAAGTGGGTTAAAAAATGACCGAAAGGTTTGCACGGTCGTAAGCAAGCAAGCAAGCACGCAAGCAAGCAAGCGAACTTAATATAAAGAATTTAAAAAGAGATGTGGGGGTTTTTTTCTCCCCCCAATGTTATGCTGGATTGTGCCTGTGATTTTTCGATTTAAAGCTTTCGTGACTGCAGGGATTCATCTTCTTGGTTCTTTCGGTAAAGTCACGTAGAACGAAAATAATAAAATAATAAAAATAAAACATAATAAAAGAATTCTCACGACGTTTCGGCCACAACGCAAGCAGCCGTCTTCAGGTGGAGCCTGGGGCGTGCCATTCAGACTCTGTCTTCTCGACAGACCTGTTCTCCACCTGAAGACGGCTGCTTGCGTTGTGGCCGAAACGTCGTGAGAATTATTTTTGTATTGTTTCATTTTTATTATTTTATTATTTTCCTTCTACGTGACTTTACCGAAAGCACCAAGAAGATGTGCCTGTGATGTCACATCATGAGACGTAGTAGCCTTTCGGATCTTTCAATTAACGGTGCAACCATTCGTATTATAGCAGGAGTAGGGATCCAATTACCTAGTGAGAGCCAAATAGAACTTTTAAATACATTTAGTGGACAACCACACATTAACACACACCTCAGCATTATCCAATAACAGCGTGAGGAGTTCACCTCTACCTCACCAATGCAATGCCTACGCACCTCCCAATTAGCACGGTTGGCTACTTACGGTGCGAAAGAAGTTCCACATATGTACTACACCTACATTTTTCCTGAATTCAGTTCCTGAAGCACATGGGAGTGTAACGTTGGGACATCTTGCCAAACAACACGCCGAGCAACCCGAAAACTACATCAGAGAGCCATACGGCACAACCACGAACACCTACGCAGTCGTAACAAGGGAGACGTTAGTCAAGGGCCCATGGGCTCGTGTGCTGATGGAGCATGGATGTACCTGCCTGTGTCTGCATCCCAGGGGTTGAGACGGGTGGCTGTTGGATCGGCGGCCGAGGCAAGCACGGTCTTCCACCGCGGTTGGGCGCGACGAGCCGGGGCCGTTCCCTCTGAGTTCGGCATCAGCTCGCCCGGCTCCACGCTCATCCTCACCTTGCATCTGCACCTGGTAACGCCACCGCCCTCCCCGATGCACCGCTCTGCATGGAGTTCTGGCTTGTGTAGATAAATAACATAGTCCATGGGACCCGACCAGATATTGACCTCATCTAAGAGAGTATTTAGGATACGGCCCATTTTTGACATGGTTACCACAGTAACTTCCAACTGGGCATTTATGTTGCGGTTATTGAGATGGTGGATTGAGGCAGTCGCTTTGGATGGAGTCGGCCGTAGTCTGCACCTTCGGAAGGTAGACGTTGAGGTCAGCGCAGCAAAATCAATTCTTGTTCTACACTCTCCCCACCTTCATCAACCAGTGTGGGGAAGTATGGCCAAATAACTCTTACTGTGTGGGGAGGCCCTCTTCCATCAGTGGATTGACACATGCCTGAAAAGACGACCAGTAGAGAGATTTGTAAGCAAAGAGCTAGTTGACATCAGGTTATGTCACTATTATCAGCAGGAAGACGTTTTGCAAAATGATCCAAGAGATATGAAATTTTAATTGAAAATCAAACATGTTTAATTCAAAACGTATCCATTGTGTAAAGTATTGAGCCACCTGGAAATTTCCACTGTGCTTATTTGGCATCATCTACATTTTGTTATCATCACCGCTCGTCCCATTGAACAGCACGCACACGGGGACCCGCACGGTACGAGCTCGTGGCTCCGATTCGTCGAGCTGCCTGGCACCGAGGGGCTGCCTGGAGCGGAGGGCGAGGGGGGTGGGCACGAGCAGCCGGGCAGCAGGAGCCTCCGTGCTCTGGCTCGAGTCGCTGGCTCCCTGGCCGATTCGCCGGGTGCCGACCGCGTCATTGACTACAGGTGCGCGGGCTGGAGAGTGCCTGTGGATATCTGGCTTATGCAGACAAATAACATAGTCCATGGGACCCGATCAGATATTGAACTCATTGGGGTCGTCTCAGAGGTGGCGGTACCTTAGTGAACACCAAGGCGATACCATTTCTTCTGCCTACAAGAACAGGTAAAGGTGCAGCCCTGCAGATACTGCTCGCAGAAGGTTCCTCTACTAAAGTGAGCTGCAGTAAGCCCCCCTGGAGGGTATCTTGGCCTACTTTTCCACGCTGGCCAGGCATCTTCGTACAGAGTACCCACATTTTACCCCACCACCAATTATTACCTCGCCGATCAAATAACTACGGTGCGTCCAATTCTACTGCTGGGTGGACATATATTATGGACATATATTAGAAAATCTACGCGTTGAAAAAACTTCTGTCATTGTTTCAACTGCCATCCTTGGAGACTGGACCGGGGACCTCTGGACTTCAAGTCCATTGTGCTAAGCATGACACCAACATCCGAAACATTTAAATAATTATACTCTTTGGTTCTTTCAGTAAAGTAACGTAGGTATAAAATAAAATAAATCACGACGTTTCGGGCGCAACACAAGCGTCCATCAGGTGGGAAAGCTTTCCCACCTGATGTGTTGCACCCAAAACGTCGTGATTTATTTTATTTTATACCTACGTGACTTTACCGAAAGAACCAAAGAGTATGGATTCCTGCAGGCACGAAAGCTTCAAATCAAGATTTAAATAATCGTGTGCATGAGCGTACAAATCCATTTTAATCAATGAACAGACGAATCTTTTACATAGCTAGTCGTAGCATTGAGGTTCCTCGCCGAGTGACACCCTGCCGTGTGTCTTCGTCTCAGCGGCTCGGTGCTCACGGAGCTGCTGAGCGACGTGCTGGGTGGAAACTGCGCGACGCGCGTGCTATGCACCCTGCCCCGGGATCCCGCGCCCGCGCCCCTCGTGGGTGCCACGTTGCGCCTGTGCGCGGCGCTGGCTCGGGTCTGCAACTTCCCGGCGTCCAACCATTACCATGTCCAGGTATGAGTAACTGCGGGCAGTGCCATACCAAGGGTGAGTTGGGGCGGGCGGACGGACGGGCGGGCGGGCGGGCAGGCGGGGACAGCCGCCCCCGGTTGCCCCTTCCGAGTGAGGCGTTGTCCAAATGTGTAGCCAAATTGTTGCAGATGAAGCAAATAGTGGCGGATGGTAGCTCAGATTTTTGGTGGGTGGTGCCCGCGCCGTAGCAACTGGGGGGTGGGTGTGGGGGTGAGATGGCGAGAGGATGGCACCCTGCCAGTTCTTTCAACATATCTACGGCTCTGACTGTGGGCAGAGCCATTCCCACTTACAGGTATAAGTAACTGCAGGGCAGATCCATATCGGCACGAAGCGGGGCTGTGTCCTGGGGAGAGAGTAGCCCTATAGACGTAGCTACGGAGATACATGGAGAGAGATATGGGGTGAGGCTGACATGGAGAGAGCTGCACAAAGAGAGAAAGGCAACGTGGAGGGATACACACACACAATGACAGATATGAAAGTCAAACACAGAGACAAACATGAATAGACAGACACAGATCGAGAATCAAAGAGACGCAGAGTTACACGGGGAAAAAGAAAACCACATTTAATTCTGGGGGTTCGTAAAGAAGTGGGGGCACTGAACACATGCATGCAGATGGTTACTGCCTGTAGGTGCGTGGAATTCCTGCCTGTTGAGCTTGAAAGGTCAATGTGTGCGAGTAGCCAGCAGGTGGCGGTAGGTTGATCCAGTGGCGTAGTGATACCCTGAGCAGGTACTGTAACGTCAGCGGCCAGGGGGAATGTTATATTGGCCACATTTGATAATAGTTTTCCCACGTCAGGTGGTACAAATTCCTGCTGTGGTCCATAGATTGAAACAAGATCACAACTTATAGTAATAGGTTTTTACCCTTTCAACTGGTACAAAAACTGACACCTTTATACAAGGGATCATGTTTGCAATAATCACAATAGAAGCAGTCAAAATGCAAACAAAAATAAACAACTCTGATAATGATATACACTGTCCTTGAAGTTGATTGGTCCACACCCGAGACAGCTTTTCTTAGAGCCTAGTCTCCATTGGTGTTGGACCAGATGACGCCAAAAGGCGTACAACTCAAAGACAGCGCACTATCAGAGTATTGAGAGCTCGGGGTAAGCATTTACACTATGAGACCTCCTTTACCAGTGGCAAAATATAGTAATAGGTTTTTACCCTTTCAACTGGTCACAACTTATTTTGTAAATTAGACTATGCTGATGCCTTGAGTTCTAAGCTGGTTAAACACAACACTAAACGATTTAAACATTTTTTTTAACCAGGTAAGGAACACTGAGCTTTATAGCTCATTTTCAGAAGCGATCTGGCCACAATTTATAGCTCAGTGAAGTGGCTAATCACGTGGAGATTTATAGCAGCCAAATACCGGTACTCTAAATGTGGAGGGAATACTCGGAGGACCTGGAGAAAAATCCACGTGACCACAGGGAGAGAGACACTCAAACTCCAAATATACAGGCATCATGGTCGGGATCGAACCCACGACCTCCTGTATACCATCCGAGGTAGTTAACATCTCACCATCGTGGCGAGGTTACGTGATGTTAATACATTTTAAACTTGAATTTCTCAGTTTGATGTCAGCTTAGGAGAGCGAATAACAGCCTACCCCATGCCACAGATAAGCTTATAATAGCATGGCTTAGTAAAGCAACACCACGGCACAGGACACTTGGCACATCTGAGTTCATTTATCGTGTTGGCATGTGCACAATGTACATGCGGCATCTCATTTCACGCATCCTTCACGACCTTGCATGGGTAAATAAAAAGTTATGCAATGGGTAGCCATGGTGTGGGGGGAGACCTTGAGCTGGCATTTCACGGGCAAAGGCTTGCTGTTGCTAATGATGATGAGGCTGACGATCATCATTTTGGTGATTTTACAAACAAAAATAATTGTATCTATGGGACCTCTTTGCCAGTGTCAAAAAGGTCCCATAGATGAGACAAGCCCATAAAGAAAGCTGTCTCTGGTGTAGGCCAATAGAGTTACAAAGACATTGCTTATATCATTATCAGAGCACGTTTGTTTGCATGTTTTGCCACAAGTATGTGTGGTTAATGCAGACTCGATGCCTCGCAAAATTTATCTATTTGGTGTTTGAACATTTTAACACCTGTTTTATTGCCAAAAATAATTGTGCAGTACATGTAGACAAATGTCAAATCAACACTTTGACTCATAGTCGCCCCTTGCATACATGCACGAATGCATGCACGGCACGGCCCATTGAGTGCGGCCCATTGAGTGCACATTCCAGAGCAAATCTTTCGGTGAGTTTTGTTTGGTTTCTCGAGCGAGCACACCTTTGAGTCAACAGCAGAGCTTCGCCACCAAGGGCTCTGGCCGTCCGGTTGCCTCGCGACCTCGCTACCTCGGCTACTCGGCGTCATGTTGTATTAGGGTTGCCCCGAGAGAAGAGGAATGAGTTTGTCGGCTTTTTAATTTATTAAATGCGCTCCTCTCTTTTGTTGTGTTGTTTGGTTTAATTTCCGTCCTCTTGGCACTGGTATCGCGCCCGTGAAATTGCTTTCTTAGCCGTGGAGAAGACCGGCCACCGCACATAGATCGTGAGATCACGATGAGACTAAAACGATAAACATCGGCAGTTATTTAAAAAAAATCGTCTGTTGTGGATCGCTGCAGTATAATGGACCGCCGTGCTTAGTTATTATCACCGGCTGTCGGATACAAAGGTACGTTTACACAGTTTGTGTGCATGTGGGTTTTGTGGGTGAATCAGTTGAAGTACAGTATTACGTTGAGAAAAAGCTATGTTCATATGAGTGTACCATCCGAATTGAATTCCTACAAACCTGCATGACTTTCATTTGCACGTCGAATTCACGCGGTTGGCTACATACAGCACGAAATAAGTTCACCATACATACATACAGCCCACTGAGAAAAACATGTATTTTGCATGGGAGACCTGGGGTGCAAACAAATGCTGTGTAATTTCAGCATTTCTCCCTTATCCCAAAAAGTGGACAAAGTACTTCTATCAGAATTACAGTCCTAATTGGTTGACATGGCATGCCGAAGTAAAACGCCACTTCATGAATATGCTGAGTACATACATCTTGAAAGTGTCTGAAACTTACTTCTGAAATTGTGGAACTGCCTCTTGCTTCTTTCTGTGTTCTGTCACCTGTTTATAAATAAAGTTAATCTTTGCATATATATGTGTAAAATTAAATATTTATAATGACGCTTGTTTATTTTAAAGATGTCTTTAATTAACATGTATAATACTGTGTTTCGTGTATAAACCTTACTTTAAATTGATAAAAACGAAACCTACCGAAACTGGCCTGTGCTTCCCTTTGATTAACTTAGCCTAAAATTAACGCCCTCTGTGGTAGCGGTGTGGTCATTAAATATCGGCATTGGAGAGGCAATGCTCGCCTTTGTTGACTGCTGAGACATCGGCAGCATTGGAGAGATGGTCATTCTGTCCATTATAGCGAGGTCACTGAATCATCACCCCATATATGAATTCAAAGTAGATTTGAAGTTTTCGTGATTGCAAGGATCCATACTCTTTGGTTCTTTCGGTAAAGTCACGTCGGTGAAAATAAAAATAAGAATAAAAATAACGAAATTAAATCACGACGTTTCGGAAGCAACACAAGCTTCCGTCATCAGGTGGGACAACCATAGCAAGAAACAAAATTTTTGTAGTGGGCAAAGAGAGCTGTTTATGGCAAGCTTGTCACCTACAGTAATTTTGTTTATTTATTTTCACCTACGTGACTTTACCGAAAGAACCAAAGAGTATGAGTTTAAAGTAGTGAGCCTATGGCCAAATCATCCGGAATGCACCCGATCTCATCAGATCTCTGGAGTTGAGCTGGCTTGAGCCTGGGTAGTCCTTGAACCGGTGACTGCCAATGCGTACTCCAGGTTGTTATAGGCTGCTGCAGGTCTACGTTGTGGGCAGCAGAGGGCACTGCAGCTAAATCCATTGTTGCACTTCTGTTCTTCCACATCTGTGCCTCCCACCTTTAGCAAGCTGCACTGACAAGCGTGGCGCAGTTTAATTTAATAACCACTTGGCGTAGGGCAGAGGTCGCAAACGGGTTTTGATTCCTTACCCGTACCCGTACCTGGCCGCACCAGAGTCGCAAACGGGTACCCGTACCCGGCCGTACGTGTTTTCTCATTAATGAAGCTTCCGACTCATTATATAGCGGTGTCTGCGGACTCAGAGCTGTATGTGGTTTTTGTCTCGTCTTCCTTTCATTGAGGGGAATGGCAAATGTACTTGCCACTCATGTCCAAATATTTGGGGCCACCAGTCCTCTGAGCCCCCTTTATTCTCACGCCCACGCTGAAATAGATGTATACGCACAGCCCTTTTGTCAATCCACTGGTGGATGTGGCCTCCCCACACACCGTGCATGTCGTGGCGGTTATTTTTTTTCATACTTCACCAAGGTGGTAAGTGCGGGTTGGTGAACGCAGGGAGGAGCATAGACACACAGATGTACAGCACTACATCGTTTTTTTTGCTCCACTATGCTGACCACCACACGGCACCGCCCGCAGTTTTCCTTACGTAAAGAGATACGTGCACTCGATTGAGTTGTCCTTTGCCCGTGTCCCGTGGTCCGTGTCGTGTCACAGGGGCTGCTTACTCAGCTGCGGGCGCGACTGCAGGCGGCGCGTGGGGTCGCTGCACTAGGCATGGGCCCCAAAGCGGACGAGGCCACCCAGGCCCTGCGGGAACATGTGCGACGGCTCACCAATGAGAACGTACGACAACGACGACAACAACAACAACGATAACAGACGCAATTCCCCACTAAGTAGTGGTCACATTGTCATGGTGCCTGTGCTAAGTTCGGTGCACTTTGACGACATGTGAATGTCCAATTCTCGCTTCAGAATCAGAATATTTATTTATACTGGAGGAATCCGATGAGCTATGAAGCTTGTTTTCACAGATGTCCAGTAATATTCATAGATGTCTAGTAATTTCGTTATATGTTACTTGACAAGCCCAGGTGTTATGGGCTAATTGACTGAGATGACAAGCAGATAAACCACCTGTGTTCCCCACTGTCAACAGCAACACACGACAGTACAAACACACTATCGTAAGTAATAATAATAATGACCGAATAAAATCGAAGAAAATCTCACTAAATCCCAAGACTCCTTTTCAGGAAGGTCCTGAATGTGGGGATGTTTGACCATTTCCGTGAATGATCGTTGGGTTCATGTGAGAGAGCAGTGGAGTAACTTGAGAAAATCTCTAAAATGAATAGCCAATAAATAGTCACATTAATTAATATCCACTAGTAACTCGTGGATGCTCGACAGGGACCACCATGGTCAGTTATCCCAACACTGCAACTTCAATGTCCAAATTACCAAATAAAAAAATACTCGTAAATTACTTCATTAGACAAAGATCCCCCATATAACCTTAACAAACTGTAGGAGTAAGTGCTGTTAGCGAGCACCTATGAAGGCCGGCATGGCACACGAGGGGGTGGGTGGTCAGCACCACGCCCGACTGTCTTTGTCTCCCCAGTAGCGATGTTTACACACCACACCAGGTCCTCATTTGAGGCTGAGTCGACCTAGGGGAGGCCCAGGACCGGTTCAGATAACCGTCACTGGTGTTGGCCGTGAGCGGTAATTGAACTCGGGTCACCGGGTTCGTTGTATAGCGGGCTAACCACTACACTACCGCTCCCACTACCTCATTAGGTACAGCAACATACAAACATTGTGACCGACTGCGAAACTACTGCAGACTCTCTCCATCTTGTGAAACGTAGCTCGTTTGTGACTGCCCTGCGCTCTAAGAACGGCGTGAATACCAAATCTACTCGTGATGTCATTTGCTTTCCGCTGCAGGAGCAACTGCGGGACAAGAACGAGCGCGTGTACAACAAGCTGCAGGAGGCTCAGGAGCGCCTGGGACAGCTGGCAGGGTCGCGCAGCGACCTGTCCAGCAAGCTGGTGATGAGCGAGGAGGAGAAGCTGAAGGTACTGACCGGACTTAGCGATGTATCCAGGTATGGTGAGTGGGGTGAAGGATGTGTGTAGGAGCGGGGTAAATGTCACAGGTGTGGGTGGTGTAGAGGAGACATACAGGTGCGGTGAGTGGGGTGAAGGATGTGTGTAGGAGCGGGGTAAATGTTACAGGTGTGGGTGGTGTAGAGGAGACATACAGGTGCGGTGAGTGGGGTGAAGGATGTGTGTAGGAGCGGGGTAAATGTTACAGGTGTGGGTGGTGTAGAGGAGACATACAGGTGCAGTGAGTGGGGTTGTTGTATGTCTTGGAATTATGAAATTTGATGAAAATAATAAAAATTAATAATTTTCCGAAAAATGCGCAAATCGCATTAATTATGATAGTGTGTGTATTAATATGCATAAATTATGATAATGCGTGTAATTTATATGCATAAATTATGATAATCGTAGTAATTTATGCGGATGCTTGCGGTTATGTTAATGTGTGCAGTTATGTTAATTAGGCTTGGTTTCGTTTATCCAGGGTTATATCAATCAGGATAACACGATTATCATCGATTAAACATTTGCTGATTATCTTAGTGTGTTTATTATTTTTAGTCTCCAGGTTCAGATCTCATCACAGGATACAGTTGTCAAGAATAAGACAGTTTTGCATGGACTTGGAAGGAACACTCGATATGCTTCTGGATTACAATTTTATTCTAACAAGCACGTGACATTCTATCATGCAGGTCAAACATGCGTCAATAATTCATGGGCAAGATTATGCAATTAACTAATATGAACGACAAAAACTTATGCAGTTGTGACATTATGCAATTATGCAATATGAATAACGAAAACTCTTATGCATTTATGTAACTCGACGGCAGCAACTGCTTTGCACGATCAGTTGATATTGAACGCACCACCTCGAAATGGCAACCCTTTTTGAAACGAAAAGACAGTTTTTCTTTTAAAGTCTTATTCGTGTGCGTGCTGTGTGTGCGTTGTCCCCTCGTAATATTAATTGTGTCGTTAGCTTGTGTGGTGTGGGAGGATACGAACAGCTCCTGCTGCTCCCTCGCTCGGCGTGTCGCTCGGCTTTTGCTCTCTCTCTCTCTCTCCACTGCTGGATTGAGCGGCGTTGGCACGATGTTCCTTGAAGAAACTTGCTTGCTTGGCGCTTGATGGTTCCGGGGCTTGGTGCTGCTCGTGCGCTCTCTCTTTCTACTGCTAGATGACGAGTTGGCACGATGCTGTCCTTGAAGATGCTCGGTCGCTCGTGTCGCTCGGTGTCGCTCGGTGGCGCAAGGTGTCGCTCGTTGTCGCTCGTTCAGCGATCTCCGCCTTTCCTGCGGGTTGTTCGCTGGTCGTCACTCTGACGAGGAGCGATGCTTCGTTCGTGGCAGGGTGGACGTTGGCGTCTTTGTTGGCTTCACTCGCAGCTCTGCGACTCAGGGTAGCGATTCTTCTCAGGTGGTGCAGACCTCGGCTTGTAGCTACGCGTCGCTACTCCGCAAACCTCGTCATTCTGAATGACAGGAGCTTCTTCGTTGGCGGCGACGAGGAGAGATGGAGCCACAGCCCTGGAGATCTGTGATGGGGGCCAGAGCCCCTGTCGATCTCTGTGATGGGGGCCAGAGCCCCTGACGATCTCTGTGATGGGGGCCAGAGCCCCTGACGATCTGAGTTGTATGGATTTTCCTTCGGTTTATATCGGAAACTTCCACTCGGCTTCCCGAGTTGTTCAAAGGCTGTGTCATAAAACCTTCCTGTGGGCTGAACCATCTGCGTCCGTGTGTGTGTCCGTCCGTGTGTTTCGCGTGCGTGTTTGTCCGTGTTGTGGGGAGACAAAGGCGGTTGTTTCCACGGTGGGAGCACCCGGCGCATGCGCTTATTTATTCGAAGACGTGTTTATTTCCTTTGAGCCATTGCCCCCTTTATGGGTGTCATTTCCTAGCTTGGTGCCTGTGTGTGGAGATCCTCTCGGAAAGACAAAGGCGGCCGTGTTGCTCGCTTCCCATGGGTGTTGTGTTTGGTTAATTTTGAGAGCCTTCTCCGCCCTTGATTCCTCTTCTACTTTAATTCCGTACTTATTATTTGACTTCTTGTGATTATTTAATCTGATATCCCGGCTTATCTTTGTTCAGAATATAATTATCTCTTCCTCCGTGTCTCCTGGTTCTGCAACCCCCCGCCTGCAATTCCCCCCCTCCCTTGTTCCTCTTGTGTGAATTTAGGGGAGTTTTTTTTTTTATTACCTTATTGCCCCCCCTGTCATGTCCTCTTTCCTTTGAAATGAGGTATGCGCGCATCTGTGGAAGTGTGGGGGCCTCTGTGGAAGTGTGGGGGCGTGTTCGTTCCCACGTGGCCCCGTGTCTATTAAAAAAACAATATTATATATGATGGCAGAATAAGCCTTAAAAAAAATAATATTAAAAAAAATAAAAAGGGGGTACATACACAACAGGGTGAAGGATGTGTGTAGGAGCGGGGTAAATGTTACAAGTGTGGATGGTGTTTAGGAAACATACAGGTGCGGTGAGTGGGGTGAAGGATGCGTGGAGGAGTGGGGTAAATGTTACAGGTGTGGGTGGTGTAGAGGAGACATACAGGTGCGGTGAGTGGGGTGAAGGATGCATGCAGGGTTGGGTGGGGTGAATGATACAGAGTTGGGCGTGATACAGGATACATGCGGGCGTGGGTGATGTGAAGGGTGCATGCAGATGGGGACAGGGCGAGGGTATTAACAAAATCGCAGCCTGTGCTACTGCACTGCCGCCAACCTTGACCCTGATATTCTATTTGGAGTAGAACACCAGTGCCCCCACAGTACACGTGTGTATGTGTTGCCCGTGCAGATTTCCAAGGAACTCATCGAGCTGCAGATCCAAGCAAACCACATGCGTGAGCACTACGAGGCTGAGGGCTTTGAGCTCAAAAACACGGTGAGCGGTCGTGTTGCGTTGGCTACCACGATTCGTCGGCGGGTCCAGATGAGATCGATTGTGAAATTCAACGTAAATACATAATTCACTTGGCGGTACCACTGGAGGTGAATCCGATTCTGAGGTGGCCTGCAGGCATGCTGGCGCACTGTGACATCGCTCCCATACGTTAAGCTCTCTCGCTTACAGACATCTTTTACCGTGTTTGTGCCTGCCTGCGTCCATTGTTCGTGCCTCCCTTTGCTGCCCCCCCCCCGACTCACCCCCCCCCCCGCAGGTGGTGTCGCTGGAGAGCCGTGTGCACGCGTTGGAGTCGGAGCGCGAGCGGATCGCGCGCGACGCCAAGGCGCTGCGCACGCGCCTCGGGGACGTGGAGCGCAACCGCAAGCAGCTGGCGGACGAGTACATCGCTCTCAAGGGCAACTACATGGCGCTGTCCAAGGAGCACGAGAAGGAGGTGCGGGGCTCTGACGCACCACCCACCCACCCACACGGGGGGGGGAGGTGTTGTCTCCTTACACCTCCTGATGAACATCACTGGAAGATGCAATCAGGAGGGGATCAGGTCTGCTTCAGCGGTCAGAGATTCTAAGCCGGCGCCACTGAGATCTTTGGTCTGAGATGCTGGGGTTCAGCCGCGCTGTGGTTAGACCAGGTTGTCAAGTGTGGGGAGTTTGATGGTCTCAGTCCGGTAACCAATGACTGCACAAAAATAACAATCGCATTGTACTGTACCATGCTGCAACTTCGATGCCGCCCGCCATAACCAACTCGCACTAACCAGTGCTTGTGAATATTTTCTAACGCGACAGAGGCCTTCATCCAGCAGTGGATTGACACAGGTTATAAAGGCAAAATGCTGCATTCACGGAACCGGCTGTTGTGCCGTTCCTCGCATCTCACGGCGTTTGCAGGTGGCCAAAACGGAGGAGCTGAGCATGGAGCTGATGCGCGTGGCTGGGCAACACGAGGGGCTCACGCGCTCCCACGCCGCCTATCAGGAGGCTGCCGCTGAGCTGCAGCGCGTGCGGTCGCTCGTCAGCCGCCTCTCCGAGAGAGCGATCAAGGTGAGCGGCAAGAGGAGGAGGCGGAGCAGATGGAGGAAGCCATCAAAGTAAAAAATAGGAGGAGGAGGGGTCGGGTGAGTGGGAGGACAGCCGAAAGAGGTGCTGGAGGTGAAAGGAAAAGTGTGTGGGGGGTGCTGTGGGGAGTGGTAGTGTAGTGGTTTGTGCGTTGTGCTACGAAATTGGCGATCCGAGTTCGAATCGCAATCACGGGCATCAGCAGCGACAATTACCTGAACCGATCTTGGGCTTCTCCAAGTTCGGCTCAACCTCGAATGAGTACCTGCTGCGGTGTGTAAACATCGTCACCGGGGAGACAAAGGCGGCCGGGCGTGGTGCTGACCACCCACCACCTCGTGTACCATGCCGGCCTTCATTTGTGTTTGCTAACAGCACTTGCTCCTTAAGGATATACAGAGTATCTTTATTGAGAATAAAGAGAGAGTGAGTTAACGATCGGTGTATGAGAAGAGAGAGTTGTGTACATCATATTTGGTAGTTGTAATTAACACATTTTTGCCTTCATATCAAATACATGATTTCACTTCATCATAAGGGCTGAAGTCGGTGACAACTACCCACACACTCACCATTTGTTTACTCGTAGCGTGTCATTGAAATGTCTGCTTTTTGCTCTGTTCATGGTTTTCATATCTTGTTCTAGCCTGAAGATATCATAGCTTCGGAGCGGGAGCGGAGAGCCCTGGAGAGGAGCGTGAGTGAACTGACTCTACAGCTCTGTCTCACGTAGCTTTAACCACAGCACCATCTCAAGCAATGAGGAGTGTGTCATTGTTTTACTCGGTTTTTCCATGCTGCATTACGACTCCCAGTGGATACTCAATGTAGGACACTACATCGAGCGCTTTTAAATGCGCTTCCGCAGCCGTCTGGAACGCTCTTCCTCCTGATATTTCGAAGTCACTGGAACTTCGCACTTTTAAACCATTTAGATTGTAAACTCATTTCTCTAGAACTGCTTTTTGTGTTTGAGTTTGTTGGCCTACCCCTGCAGCTCCGATTAGCACGGTTGGCTATGTCCGGTGTGAAAGAAGCTCAACATACGTACATCATTGTGACCTCTAGTCCATGACGTGAGAAGAAGACATTTTCACTGCAGGGATATTTTCATTTGCAAGGCTATTTTTTGTCCGTAGATCTGCTCTTTATTTGTTTGGCCTGTTGTTATTACCATTGGAACATCTATACATAGTTCCCAGATGCTGCACACAATTCGGATCAAAAGCATTTAATGTAGCTGCCCCAAGGTTTTGGAACCACAGTAGTGTCGTCTCTTGGCATCTCCATTCTGCCCTATCTGTCCTCATTGAAACTTACTCTCTTAAAATAAATAACGTTTAAGTGTGAATGTAATTTCACAACATAATTGCGATTGTTAAGTTTTTTGTGTTTTTTTTAATCTATGATTATGGAATGCTTTGATGTTGTTCGTGGGTCAAGTCGCCCTTGAAAGATAGCTTCTTAGCTCAGTGGGCTTTTCTCAGGGAAAATAAACTTCTGATTTTGATTTCTGTTGATGGGCCTGCGTGTGACCAGCTGTTCGGCAACCAGACTCAAATGAGGGGTGAGCTGGAGTCTCTGAAAAAGACAGTACGATGAGCAACAGAAGAGGCTGGAGGACAAAGTGTGAGTCATCACTCTCATGACCATCAGTTTTATTTTATTTTCTTCAGCACTCTCATGTATGTTCTTTCACACTGCACGTAGCCAACCGTGTTAATCGGAGGTGCGGGGGAAGGACAATAAACCAAACACAAAAAGCAGTTCTAAATGAGTTTTCAGTCTAGATTTCAAAGTGCATAGCTCCTGTGGCTTCCTCATATCGGAAGGAGGAGCGTTCCAGACGGCCGCAGAAGCGCATCTGAAAGTACGCGATGCGCCGTTGCGGGGAGTTCGCGTGATGGTTTATGTTCCTTGATGAGATCAGCAAGGTATTTATTTCCTGAGAAAAGCTGTTCACGTATTAATCAATTTAAATCAGGGTAATAACCTAAAAATGTACAACAACAAACATGCAAACACAAACAGATGGTGTGGTAAAGCTTTGCTCTGAAGAGCTTACAACACTGCACAGAAAAAAGGGGAAGAAATGAAAAGGAGGGCTCACTGGAAATCTGCCATGGAATGAGACCAGAACGAACCTGACAGATTACCCTGAAGGCACCACGAGGTTGTGGAAATTCTGCTATTGACTCGGACCTTGAGCCTTGGGTCGTCACATGAAACGCTGCGATTGATCGGTTGTTGTGGAGGTCGAAACGACCCACTGGCAGTCAAGGTCGGGATGACCCATCGCCGGTCAGGCACATCGGTAGCCTGGCGGCAAAGGTTGCACATAAGAGACACAGTTTGAGCAAGAGATTTTAATGACTCGCCGATATGTTTTAGAGTTGTGCTGCGCGTTGTTCGGCTCGATATCACAACGGCAAAAACCTACGCCAGAGAGGATCTAACGTTGATAGACAGATAACAGCAAGGCAGAGGGGTAGGGGAAGCGAGTTTCACCGGCATAGTGCGGATATCGAGGAGTTGGCATTGCAAGCGAAACGGTCAGCTGCCCGCTCTGAGTTCAGACGCACATGGCAGCGCTCGCCAATGTCACGAATTGCATCTCTACGTATAGGGACATTTTACCCTGTCTCCGTGTCAAGCAGGGTGTCAATGGGACGTGAGCTCCAGGAGGCACGGAGGTCCACTCGTGAAGCGCAGCACAAGCTGGCCGAGCAGGCCGCGGTACGTGCGGTGCTGTGTGGTGTTGTGTGGTGTTGCATGGTGCTGCGTGGTGTCGCGTGGTGTTGTGTGGTGCTGCGTGGTGTCGCGTGGTGTTGCGTGGTGTTGCGTGGTGCTGCGTGGTGTTGCGTGGTGTTGTGCGGTGCTGCGTGGTGTCGCGTGGTGTTGTGTGGTGCTGCGTGGTGTTGCGTGGTGTCGCGTGGTGCTGCGTGGTGTCGCGTGGTGTCGCGTGGTATTGCGTGGTGTTGCGTGGTGTCGCGTGGTGTCGCGTGGTGTTGTGTGGTGCTGCGTGGTGTTGTGTGGTGTTGTGTGGTGCTGCGTGGCGTTGCGTGGTGTTGTGCGGTGCTGCGTGGTGTCGCGTGGTGTTGTGTGGTGTTGCGTGGTGTTGTGAGGTGCTGCGTGGTGTCGCGTGGTGTTGTGCGGTGCTGCGTGGTGTCGCGTGGTGTCGCGTGGTGTTGCGTGGTGTTGCGTGGTGTTGTGTGGTGTTGCGTGGTGTTGCGTGGTGTTTTGCGGTGCTGCGTGGTGTCGCGTGGTGTTGCGTGGTGTTGTGTGGTGTTGCGTGGTGTTGCGCGGTGCTGTGTGGTGTTGCGTCGTGCAGCTGAATGGCGCCGCGTTGACCTAAATGTATAAAAGGTCACTAGTTTGTGACAGCCGATGCTCTCGCTCGTCACATCGAGCCGGGAGAAGTGGCTCACGTCTCTAATGCAATGTTTTTGAGGAAAGGGGGTATCGCATAAATGTTTGAGAATCCCAAACACGCACGGCTGTGAATTTTCCAGGAGATCGCAGCATAGTAAGCAGGTTTGTGAACCCATCTGTGCGGACTTTTGAGTGTCTTTATCTCTTTGTGAGCATGGTATATTTTCTCTAGGTGCTCTGGTTTATCAATTGTAAAAGACAAACCTGCCTGGCTAATGTGCCTCTAACCTTGATCCGACGATCCCGTTGCTCTCACCTCCTCACTTCCCGACCCCGACAGGCGCTGCTCACGTCAGAGAGCAACCTGAAGGATGTGGAGGTGGAAAACTCTCGCCTGCAGCTGCAGCTCAAGGAGCTCAATGAGGAGTACCGCTCACGGCTGCAGCGCTACGTGCGGGACCTCGCTGTAAGCTGGCAGGGGCGAAACATTCGGACTCGTTCAGCGACCGACAGTCACGTTCACACAAATCAACGTCGTTATTTGTCCAGATTACTTTACTTCCAGTCTATCTAGTGCAGAATACCATTCAGTCATTTCATGTATCAAATGGGATTCGCGAAAGTTCATCTGATCAGTGGCGACAAGCTCCAAGATTGCTCTGGGATGTGTCTTTCTGGTTGTACCTTGACAGCATGCCAAACAACGTGCGGTACAACCCGAAAAGAAATCAACGCCGTGCTTAACGACATGCGGTGGAACCTGAAATCATGCAAACGTTATGCCTTTGTCTGCCCGGTGACGATGTTTACACACCACACCAGGTACTCATTTTAGGTTGATTTGACCAAGGGGAGGCCCAGAACCGATTCAAATAATCGCAGGTTCGTAGCGCGACGCGCTAACCGCTACACTGCCGCACAACCGCGAGTACCCACGCGTTGGCATGACCGTCGTTGCTCGCTCTGCGCCACCTACATCCCGGGCAGGACTACGTGGACGGGGCGGCGGCGCGGGGCATGGGAGAGGGCGGTGGGCTGCAGGGCGCCCGAACGCGTCACTACGTGGACGCGATGCTGCAGGACGTGCGCGCGGCACATCGAGCGCGCGAGGAGCAGCTCGCGGCCGCCGCACGGTCCTACAAGAAACGCGCGCGCAACGTGCTGAAACAACACGAGCCGCTGCTCATTGCCTACAGGTGTGGTGCGGGCGGGGGGGGGCGGTCTATTTTTATATGTTACCAGGCCAACTGAGCTATGCAGGTCATTTTCGGAAGCGACCAGAAATTATAGCACAACGAAGTGGCTTATCGTGTGGACATTTATAGCGGACAAAAACTCTAAATGCACGTTTCTAAATGCGGAGGGAAAAACCGGAGGATCCGGAGAAAAATCCACGCGACCACGGGGAGAACATGCAAACTCCAAATGTACAACAGCAGGCGTCAGGGTCAGGGAGGTAGTTAACATCTCAATGAGTTGTGCTATACTGGGGCCGTATGAATTGCTCTGAAGTAAATTTCATGACGTTAATTTGTGTTTAGAGTGCCTAACCTCAGTGAAGGTTGTTAACGTTCACCTGTGTCGCTCGTGAGCACAGCCAGAGACCACTTGGACATTTGGGCTTTGTTAATGCTTCATAGAAACGGCGACAGATTTGGGAAACCGCCAATATCGCGAAGAAGCACCGGATCACCCAACCCAGAACCTCTGGGATTTCATCTCCACCTCAAAAAAAGACATGGTCCACGTTACATCCAATCCCACGTTTCACGGCAGGTCGGCCCACAACCTTCATAAGTGGAAACTCGAATAAAGCTCCGTGCGATTGTGGGGAACGCCGACCAGACCATAGATTCTACAGCGGTGAAAGTTCAACAGAGGCAACGAAGCAATCTGCCACACATCAACCGAAGCCATTTCCTGGCCCTATTATTCCAGACATTGACTTTTAAATTGCTATTAGTCCAATCCCCACGCTTGGTCTCTATTTAAGACCGAAACAGGAGGATTTCTCCACAACTCTGGCTGTCGCCTGATGAGGCTGGTTGTAATTACTCACGAAACACTGTACTCGAACGGTAAATGTTGTGGGTTTACTCTCCAACAGACCGACGTGCTGTACTCGTAACGAATTGACGCGTTTTGTGTACGTGACAAACTTACAAATTGGCTGTGTCGGGTGGTGGCGGATTTAACGACACATTTATATTCACGCGATCTAACATCAAAAGCATCCATTATGGAAGTTGCTATTCATTGAGCCATACGCACAAGAGAGAGAGAGAGAGTCAGACAGAGCGAGCGTGTGAAATTAAACGAGCGCGGTCCGTGCGTTGTTACACCCCGCCCCGCCCGCCCGCGTGCAGGGTGCTGCGGGACCAGGTGGTGTCGCTGGGCCGCGCCGACGTGGACCCGGGGCCGCCCGAGGCGCGCTTCTCGCTCACGGACGCCGAGCTGCAGACGGCTCACTCGCGCGAGCTCGCTCAGCTGCGCGAGAACAAGGCGCAGTTGGAGGGGCGCGTCCGTGAACTCAGCGACCAGGTGCGTCACGGTGGGGGGGGGGGCGGTCGCGGGGGGGGGGGCTGTGAGATGACGGACAGGTGATTACAGTCGGGTTAGCTGATTAAGCAACGTGAATTTGTTTTGTGGTCGATTACTTTTCTTTTGAACAATGGGGGCTAAATTACCTAACCCAGGTCGCCCGTGAAACAGACACGTCTGGCTGGTCGCGGTGGTCTCATCTGAGTCTCCACGTAAAGCCTGTGTAGGTCTATGGGTAGCGTTGTAGGTCTGTGTGAGTTTATAGGTCTGTGTGTAAATTTATGGGCGTTTATGCAAGTTTCTCGCATTCTATATAAAGGACTATTTTGTCGATTTGTCCCTTACCTGGTTATAAACGAATGTTACTTATTTTTGTTTGTATTAAATTAAACCTGGGCCACGGTAATTGTGTTTTAACGCTTTGTGTGACCTCCATTCACAGCTGAAGGTCTCGGGAGGCACTCCAGCAGGAAACATCGAGTGAGTCAGGAGAAACGTGTCCGCTGATGCTTTTTACAAAGACGTGTTTCAAGAAATATACGATCCAAAATTTATCATTTTATGTTGAAGGATACACAGAATGGCTGCATGTTCTGGGCTGTCACCCACACGTTTAAGGTTTATTATTTGAGAAAACAGATGTCAGATTGATTTCAAGGAGAGCACCCTCGTGACATTGCTGCAGTGATGGTGGTGGAATAAAAATCACAGCAATCACACTTGTTGTGAGATTTTACAGTCTTGTTTTCTCACGAGTGGATTGGTGAGTGGTCGTCGAGTGGCAAGCACATTGCGCGACGAACCTATGACCTGAGTTTGAGTCCCGGCCATGGCTAACATCTTTGGCAAGCTCTTGGACTCCACCACCCCCAAAACAATAGTAAAGCGAGGTCAATTATCCAGCAGTGGATTGGCAAAGGGCTGCACTAAACAAAGCTTCACACTTTTCGCACAGACCCAGGACACAGTCTCGGTACATATCTTTCAAAGTCATTAACTTGTTACTTGGGTTGCATCCCCCCCAATAATTGAAAGGTCACACGTATATCCACAGTGCGGGGCACGGCGGCTGGGCCGAGCTGAAGAAACAGCTGAGAGAGTTCACTCACACCACGCAGGTGAGAGCCGAGCACCCGAGGGATGGGGTGGTAGCGGGGCGTGCGGGCGATTGCGATCATCGTTGACCGCGTCTTGTCCTTCGCTAACGCAGGAGGACCTGGAGCGGGAGCGCGCGCAGCTCCTGAGCCGAGCGCTCGTTGCGGAGGAGCAGCTGGCGGAGCTGCAGGAGTACGTGGACACTCACCTGATCAGGTGTGAACGTCGCTGTCTCTCGATCGGTCAGTCTCCAAAAAATATCCCAGTCTCGTCAGGTGAAGCTCGAATCAAAGCTCTGCCTCACACCACCGTGCCCGCACCACGTGTAGCTGTGTGGCCGTCATTATGTAAAGTAGGCGTCTAACGATACGCACAGGCAGGAGAATCGATGATTTGTCACAATGCGAGGTCACGGTTTGATTCAGTGATTAATTCCTTTTTTTTGTGTAATTTGTAGATACTGTATACGTTTAGATGTACGCAATCGTTTGCCATATACCATTAATTCAAGAATATATTTTTTCAGAGCTCCATCGAATAAGCCAAATTAAGTAACAAAATGGGAATTGTTTTACCATGCTTCATCACGCTGCTCAGTGCGAGTCATTGACGGCAGTGAGCACAGATGTTGGGGTATGGTAGAGTACAATGCAACGCATTTTTTGTCCAGTCTATAGCGAACAAGCTGACACCATCACCTCGCTCCCACTTGAGAACCCAGTTTTAATCACGGGTGGCTGAAACACGAATTCACCAGTGACATTAGCTGCGCCTGCTGAGTCCTGATAATATATATCATCCTACTGAATCACTTGGCCACCGACGAGTCACTTGTGTTACTTACCGCCGCCGTGCCCGCTACTCTCCCACTCCCGGCGGACCCCCTTTCGCAGGATACAAGCAGGAGGTGACTCGGCTGCGAGGGATGTTGGGCCAGGAGGCCGGCCTCCCGCGAGTGTCCAGCGCCTCCACGCCCGAGCCTCCGGGCCGCGCTGCCAGACGCAGGGTCACTCTGCGCAGCCGGGAGTACTGACCCCACCCCACCCCCGCCACCGTCCTTGTTGTGATCTCAGCATTCGTTCTGCGAGTGCTATCGTTAGCAGTTGATACAAATTATTTTGAAGACCGACAGTGCCATTGCCCGCATACGGCACGACTATACATCGTTCACGAAGATCGTTGGGAACAGAATAATGAAATGTTTAGAGGCCCACCAACCACGTGACCTAGCATGGTTTAAGAAAGGTTTCTCTACCAAATCAGACTCTCGATCCTAAGCATAATCAGCCCCAACTCAAGGCTTTCGTCTCACAGGTTTATGGTTTGTGGCCACACCTTGTATGGTCTATTAGTGATATACGTCATTCACGTACATTTGTCAAACAGGCCAATTCTTTCTTCCACTGACCAGGGTGGTTAAGTAGAATCAAACAACCCTTACGACCCACCTTTTAGGGGCAGGCCCTCATCCAGCAGTGGATTGACAAACGCGTTGTTACATATACTTGTCCGACTGTCTCCATCAGAGATTACAGCACTCATTGCCAAGGAGACATGTTTTGGACAATTTCATCAAGATGTGACTTTAGCCTAAAAGATCAAGTCTGTATTGCTGAAGCATGGGGTCCTGATATTTTCTATTCACAAACGTTGGCCCACGGTAGAAATTCCTATGTCAGGCGCAAGTCAAACCACTAGAATCTTGAGTGTACAGTGTATACATAGGATGCATGACATTTAATGAATTCACACCACTGGGGAACAAGAGCTTGCGGTGACCTTAATGCAGCAGTGGATTGATAATGACTGATGATGATGATGATGATAACATGCGGCATGGGTCAGAAAATGAACACAAGGAGGAGGTACATGTTATAAATGTATACTTTTATATACATTATAATTTTCAATATGTTACACTTTTAGATTCTGAAAAGGTTAAAAGTGTTGTAAAAATTGTACAATTAACCAACGTCGAAAGTTAGAGAGAAATCCCACAGCACCGACAACTGCACAATCCCCGAAATGTTAAAAATAGCTTTACAATATAATAAATAATGAATGGTGATTCATTATAAAATACTAAGTAGTGTATTTGAGGCGAATATTGAATTGTTAGTTTTAATAAAACTCTGTGCAAGAACTACATATTTTAAAATCTATGCTTCCATGAAATGTTATACCCATGCCATAAATAAATAATAAATAAATATGCCTCAGGGTATAAGACGGTTTTAATTAGCTTGCCTGTCCAAATGTGTGCAAAACTTGAAATTCCTGTTATCAGAGCACCTCACTGGAGTGACTGTAGAGTGAACGAGAACAAAGGTTGCTCTGCAGGACTGCCACTACTTTCCACTCGGGTCACCCGTGGTTCCTGGTTTGGGCAAGCTCTCCTCTTTCCCCTTTTCCACTGGCGCATCTGAGCCATGCCGAGCCTGACTGAAGCAGGCCAGTGCGGCTCAGGAGGTGCACGTCGTTTTCCACTACGTAACCAAAACCGTGCCGCCAATATCGCACACGTGACGTTTGACGTCGAGACGTGCGTAACTGACCTTGTGGGTAACCCTGCCTGACCCCCAGAGGTAGATTCAGATTTCTTGTGGTGCCAGCGTACTACGGTTTGGTCACGACTAGGCATGTCAAATAGCCAGTGGAAAAGAACCCGTACCGTGGGGACCCCGCACTGGCTCGGCACGGATATGCCAGCGTGAAGGGAGTACTCGGGTCCCCCCTTGGCAACCTGTGGGCCGCGTCACTCTCCTCTACGTTTTGTTGTGGCTCCCTGGGAGTTGGCCTGGCTCCGCGTGGGTGCCGTCGGACCGCTGCACGTGGTAGAGCCAGGCCCGATGTTCCCCGTCTCCCGCTTGGGCAGCGGGGGCCCACGTCGGCAGCGGAAAGCGACCAGCGACCACGCGGGCGCCGTCCGGCAGCTCGGTGGCCAGCTTGTGCTCCAGCTGGTGCAGCTGGAGGGGGGGGGGGGGCGAGAGCGCAACCATGGCAGTGATGGCACAAAACCACAACATGCGTCCAAATGTAGTCAGTTGGCTACCATTACAGTACACATGTGAACAGCTCTCCAATGTTTTTTCGGTTCTCCATGATGTCTGACATTTTGCTCCACATGCCCACAGCGTGCCAGGAGCATGCTAGGAGCTTCAGTATTCAGTTCCTAAAGAAGCTTCTAGCAGTTGGAGTGAAACGTTGGACACCATGGCTAATAGCACACGCTATGACCCGCAAATACATCAAGAGAGCCACACAGCTCAACTGCAAAAATCTACGCATTTGGTAGAAATGTGAATGTAATGTTTTTAAATGGTCTCTTTCGTCAAATTAAAGGCCACACCATGTTGGTCACGGGTCTTGTTTTTGACCATACCTCACCGTGCTGGTCAATACGATTTGGTGAAGGGGAGGGACCCACAGCAGTGGCCCACTCCTCATCACTCTGTGCTATGAAGCCGTTCACCTGAGTTCGATTCCCAGCCACGATGGACATTGGTGGCGAGTGATATCTGAACCGATCCTGGGCCAGCCCATCACCAACACGCAATGATCAGGGTGGTGAAATATGGTCAAACAACCCCCCCCCCCCCATGACCGACATGGCTTGCGGAAGCCTTCAACAGTGAACTAACTTGAGCACGGTGTAATTTTATTTGTTACCAGTGATCAAAAAGTGACTCGTGCTCTCTTCTTGAGTGAACATGCCAGATTCTAGATTTGAAGTTTTTGTGACTGCAAGGATTCATACTCTTAGTTTTTTCGGTAAAGTCACGTAGGTAAAAAATGAAATTAAAATGAATAAAAATAAAATAATAAAATCACGACGTTTCGGAGGCAACACAAGTCTCCGTCATCAGGTGGGACCGTCACAGCCAGATTTGCTGTATGATACAGTCACAGCCAGATTTGCTGTATGATACAGCAAATCTGGCTGTGACGGTCCCACCTGATGACGGAGACTTGTGTTGCCTCCGAAACGTCGTGATTTTTATTATTTTATTTTTATTAATGTTAATTTCATTTTTTTACCTACGTGACTTTACCGAAAAAACTAAGAGTATGAACATGCCAGAGTCACATCATCGTCCCTCCACTCACCACGCTTGGGGCCAGGAACACGGTCACGTTATTGTAGCTCGAGAGGTCAACCTGCAGTGGGGGAAAAGGTCGGGTAAAGGTGAAGCATTTCTACAACGTGATTCGTAAGCCATCAAGTAATGGAAGAAAAACGATAAGCAGACACGAATTGTAACTGCACGACTTGGCCGTGTGTCCCTTGACACGTGACAAGCCACAAGCTTGGATGTTTAGGGAAAATCACTTTCATAAACCCTCTGAAAGACAACTGGCGTTAATTTTTTTTTTCCAGAAAAATAGCGAAATACTTTTCAAGCTTCCCCAGGTGTCATGTTTGAAAAATGAATGGCGAAAAAGCACATCGGTGGCAATTTCGTAGCTGGACTGCCATTTACCGATGATCCCTAACAGACATTAATCCTAAATACAGTTGACATTAAATGAGTCGATCGGCAGGTGGAATAAAGTGTGGGTACTCCCACCTCTCCCAAGACATCTGGCCAGCGTAGAAGAGTAGGCCAAATACCCTCTACAGCTCCCTCTGCTGGAGACCTTTGCGTCAACAGTGACTTGCTAGTGAGCAAGACAATGCAAGGCTGCACTGTTGCCTGTTTACATTTGAAATGTATAGGGTATCCTGGCTACGGTACTTTGACAGTCCCTAAACATTTTTATTCCACGGCCCATCAGAAAATACGTTTCAAGAACCCCCGAGTTTGGGGTTAAGAGAGCCCAGTGGGGGCCGCTCGACGCACCTTCCACAGGTCGCGTCGCTGGAAACTGGCCATCCCACTTAGGCCGGATCTCCAGGCTCGGAGACGCGAAATGGCGAGGAGCCACGGGTTGAGCTCATAGCCCATGGCCGGGGAGAAACCGCGGCGGCAAGCCTCCAGCACCTGCACGCCCCGGCAGGCACGCGCGGAGACCACGCGACGCCAGCGTCAGTTTTGTTTACAGTTTTGTTTACCGGGAACACTCTCCAAAGTGTGTCGACATATTGTGTGACGTACGCGCCTTTACAGACACTGAATGTAAACACTAATAATGTAGGTATGGGTTAATAGTTGAAGTACAGTGTGTATATGTACACTATGTGTATGTACACTATTTCGCCTATTCCACTGGCACATCCGAGCCAGCGCGGTGCCCTCACGGTACGGGTGGTTATCCATTGGCTGTTTGCCGCACCGAGCCAGAACCAAACAGCGACACGCTGCCCTCACAAGTCATCTGAACTGGGCTCGGGTGGCCAATCAGGGTCAAGAGTGGGACTCATGACGAGTATTTTGCATTCAACGTCAGCAGCACGGTTCAGCTTCTGCAGTGGAAAAACAACCTGGTGCCTTCTGCGCCCGGGTCAGTTGTACAGCGGAGAAGACGGAATTTGTGAGCGGTGGGACCTGCACTCACGATCCGGCCGTCCCCAGACCCCAGGTCCGCGAGGGGTCCTGATCGACCCCCGAGCAGCCTCATCACGTTATTCACCTGCTGGGGGCTGGCAGGGAGGTAGGGGACCTGGGTGATAGCGGTGCAAGGATGGAGGGAACAGAGGGGAGAAAGGGTTTGAATGTGGAGGATTGAGGGATGGTCACGAGCTCCGCTTTTCGCCATCAACGCCATCGTCGTTAACAACCGTGAGTCTACTGCTGGATGAACTCTCCGTGACGTGTCAATCACCGGGGGCTGTTTCGTCATACTTCACCACCTTGAGCAGTGTGGGTTGGTGGAGGCAGGGAGCATAGGTGCGGCAACATAGGAGCACTGTACCACATTGGGGTTTGCTGCATTGCCCGACGCTGCCCACATTGTATCCCCACAGGATCTAACATCTGATAATTGTTTTTTTACCCTTTTATCTGGCAACAAAACTGACACCTTTTTTACAAGGAGTCATGTTTGCATTGACCACAATACCTGCGGTCGGAATGCAAACAAAAAACACAACTCTGATAATGTATACACTGTCCTTGAAAATGATTGGTCCACACCTGAGACAGCTTTTCTAAGAGCCTAGTCTCACATGGTGTTGGACCAGATTACGCCAAAAGGTGTCAGTTTTGTTGCCAGATAAAAGGGTAAAAAAACAATTATCATATTTTGCTACTGGCAAAGGAGGTTCCAATGGTGATCTAACATCTGTTATGAATCATGGTCACACCATTAAAACACAAGCTAGCCTCAAGCATGCTTAGCTTCTGAGATCTGACGAGAACTGGCGTCTCAAGGGTGTTGTACAGTACATCACATCACATTTTAAAGGGCACCCCCAGTGGTAGATGCACCTGTGGACGTTAGTCTGCCAGTCGGTGACGATGATTGCCGTGTATAATTAAAATCGAGTAATCTTGCATTCTGGGTGATTTGGCCATTGGTGTTGCCAATGTGTACCTGTACAGGATAATCAGATTATGCTGATCGGTCTTCTACAGGTCCTAATTGTTTTACAAAAATTGAATTAGCATAGTACCCTTGAAAACTCCAGGATGCTTTTTTTGGACACCGACTAAAAAAAAAAACATTTATACTATAATGTCCCACTTTTCGACCAAAAATGTAAGTTTGCATTTGCATGCAGTGATCTCTCACGCACCCTCCGTGGAGCTGAGCTACGCTACATATACAGGTCCCAGGAGGAATTAACTCAAAAGAAGCAAAATTGCAAAACGTTAGGATACGTGGTGACGCACTTTAGAAGTGCAGGAGCGATCTGGGTGAGCGCGGATGACACTCGCCACAGGCCGCGACTGCGACGCCGCATTTTTCTAACAAACACGGACCTGGTGTAACCGGTCGTGTGACTGAACACAGACAACATCCCCGGTAACAAAACAACAAAATACTCGCCGCCCGCCACCACCCTTCCACCCCAGCCCTGAGCTGACGACGCACCTTCCGACATGACTCCGAACACAATTGAACAGAGTCAGTCTGGTTTTCGATGTGAGGGCGTGTAGCTTCTGTTTTCAAGTGTTTTTGTGTATTTTTACCTATTAAACCCAATAAACATGGCTAATAAATGGGGACAAAACACACATCGGCAAGTGATGTTTCTACTTTTACAACTGCCTATGGTAAAATAGGCTCCGATTTACGACGGGCTTTCCAGGAGCGCATTGTGTCGTAAAGTAAAAGCGGTGACCGCCTGTAATGTGCTTTAATTCCATGTCGTGCCATGATGCCGAGCACACAAATGGTACCGTACATAAGTAAGTTGTGTCACGTATTCTTGTGGGACCTTCATACCTGTCAACCGATACGGTTTACCCGAATTCTTGTGCAAGGAAATTTAGTTTCAGGACCATACGGAGTACAGCCGTTTTAATACGGGCAAAAATTTGTTTTGCGTCTATTTGTTTGTGTTTCTCCCTTGTGATGGGACTTTGTAGGATGCACGTTGATATTTATAAGGGCACGGGGTTACCAATGAGGTCTGAATTGGTCTGTAATAAGGTAGGCATTGATAAGCGGTTGACAGCTATGGATCTTTCTCCGACACAAGGTGGTGCACACCTCGCTGAGAAACCTTCAGAAGTTTATTCTCGCCATGACGCGATGCCGATTACACAATCGGATTATATTTGGGAGTCGTGAAATGAAGTGATTTTTTTGTTGTAGTTTTGTTTAAAGGGCACGGTAACCTTTAAACACACACACACCAATCATCGCAAACTCCTCCAACGGGGGGGGCGGGAGGGTCAAAGCGTGACTGCTGCCCTCGATTAAACCAAGGATCGCGATCCCCATGAAAGCCCGCGTCGATCCCAATTCTCGTGTCATTTTAAGCGGCCAAAGAGATGAAAGCGCCGGTTGGATTTTTTTTTTTTAGAAAAAATATCGGCTTCATTCTCTTTGATCGAGGTGTTTCTGTAAAAGTGGGGAGATGCGGAGGAGGTGGGGGGGAGATGGGGCAAGGTGCTCGGAGAGTTTGAGGGGTGGTGTAAACGGGGCTCTGTGAAGTTTCCCATTTTAAGGCTGAGTGGATCTAGAGGAAAACGAGGAGTAGCTTCGGCTGTCGGCTGCCACTAGTAGTAGTGAGTAGCCCTATCTCTAACTGTAACTACCAACTAATTAAGTAAGCAATTGGTGAATTGATTGTTGACTTGAATAATCTACATAAAATGTGCTGGTTACATGCATTCATTACCGTGCTGTGGGCAAGGTGACAATCGTGGACGCCACTGCACCTCGCCATCGCCTCCTTCCTTGCGCCAGAATCCGCAGCGGTTACTGTCGAGGTCTTCCCTGACAGACCCGTCCCACTCGTGTGCCACTCTACACCGAGGCTGAGAATAATTGTAACTTCCTGACCCGCCCCTACTGGAGATCTGTGAAAAAGAGCTTCATAGTTCATCGGATTCCTCCAGTTTAAATAAACATTGTGATACGATTACCACCACAATATTAGTAGCTGGTGGCCCCCAATAGTAGGTCATCCCCCTAGTTAAATCTTGACTTAAGCTTTTGTGACTGCAGGAATTTATATTCTTTGGGTCTTTCGGTAAAGTCACGTAGATAGGTTCAAAAAAATAACAAAACACTACGACGTTTCGATCGCAAAAGCCTTTTCCTAATGACGACCGCTTGTGTTGCGATCAAAACGTCGTAGTTTTTATTTTCTTTGAACCTATCTACGTGACTTTACCGAAAGACCCAAAGAATACGTCCCCCTTGTTGACCGCGTTCTAGAATCACCACGGCCCACGGACGTGCGAATCCAACTCGGGTGTGGGAATGTTACCTGGAGGCGCAGGGGGACGCGGCGGAAGCCCGGCATGAGAAGCAGAGCCCACACGGCGTAGCCCGACAGCGCGCAACAGCCGGCCGCCTGCAGGAGGCCCCAGGCACCGAGCCTCGCTCCTTCACCACCTCCTCCTCCTTCTTGGCGTCCGACCCCATGCATCTCCTCGTGTGCATCCACAGGCTCCATGCCTGTTCTCAATCTCTCTCGACCCTGCACGAGAATCAGCGCCGTTTATTGGCGAATTAGGCAAAAGATTTCCCGAATCTCCAGTCGCGGTTGAACTAGCACGCAAGTCCAGCTTCGCAGCCGCTGCGAGATAGGAAGTTACACGCCGCACAAGCCTGATGATTGCTAAAGGTGACACCCACGTGGTGCAGAGGGCGCTGATTGAATTTGATCTTGATGTTAGGTGTGTGTGTATGGGTAAATTTCGATTTAAAGCTTTCGTGACTGCAGGGATTCATCTTCTTGTTTCTTTCGGTAAAGTCACGTAGAAGGGAAGTAATATTACTTCCCTTCTACGTGACTTTACCGAAAGAACCAAGAAGATGTGTATGGGTACTTGGTGAGTACCTGATGTGGTGTGTAAACATCACCACTGGGGAGACAAAGGCAGCCGGGCGTGGTGCAGGCCACCCACCCCCTCGTCTGCGGTAGTGACCTTCATAGGTGCTCGCTAATGGCACTGCAATCTGCAGTGCAACTTTTCAGCATTGGGACGTTTTGCCCAACAATACCAGTTACAAGTAAATGTGTTTTTCTTCTTGGTTCTTTCGGTAAAGTCACGTAGAAGGGAAATAATAAAATAATAAAAATAAAACATAATAAAATACAATTCTCACGACGTTTCGGCCACAACGCAAGCAGCCGTCCTCAGGTGAAGAACAGGGCTGTCGGAAAGACAATGGTTCATTCAGACGCTGTCTTTCCGACAGACCTGTTCTTCACCTGAGGACGGCTGCTTGCGTTGTGGCCGAAACGTCGTGAGAATTTATTTTTATTGTTTTATTTTTATTATTTTATTACTTCCCTTCGACGTGACTTTACCGAAAGAACCAAGAAGACGTTCTACTTAATTAAATATACTTTTTAATAAATGTTTTCTCCTGGCGCAGTGCGCTAACCACTGCGCCACCACTCTCTTAATGGTGACAAGTACGCACAAAGATGCCAAATGTGTCAAACGTACAATGTTTAAAACACACGCAAACAAACACAAACAAACACACGCGCGCACATCCACCCGTAGAGCCGCGTGGGCTCACGATCGAACGTTGCCGTTTCAAGCGGCCCGAGACCGGCCCGGTGCGACATGTCCGAGTCTCATCGGCACGGGCGGCGTGCTGATTACTCACGGGCAGGGCAGGGTCAGCGCTCCGTAGTGGGGGTGGTGGTGGTGATGGGGGTGGTGGTAGGGGTGGTGGTGGTGATGATGGGGGTGGTGGTGATGGGGGTGGTGGGGGTGGTGATGGGAGTGGTGGTGGTGGTGATGGGGGTGGTGGTGATGGGAGTGGTGGTGGGGGTGGTGATGATGGGGGTGGTGATGGGGTTGGTGATGATGGGGGTGGTGGTGGTGATGGGGTGGTGGTGATGGAAGGAGGTGGGGGTGGTGGTGATGGGGGTGGTGGTAGTGATGGGAGTGGTGGTAGTGATGGGAGTGATGGGGGTGGTGGTGATGGGGGTGGTGATGATGGGGGTGGTGATGGGGGTGGTGGTGATGGGGTGGTGGTGATGGGGTGGTGGTGATGGAAGGAGGTGGGGGTGGTGGTGATGGGGGTGGTGGTAGTGATGGGAGTGGTGGTAGTGATGGGAGTGATGGGGGTGGTGGTGATGGGGGTGGTGATGATGGGGGTGGTGGTGATGGAAGGAGGTGGGGGGGTGATGGGGTGGTGGTAGTGATGGGAGTGGTGGTAGTGATGGGAGTGATGGGGGTGGTGGTGATGGGGTGGTGGTGATGGGGGTGGTGGTGATGGGGGTGGTGGTAGTGATGGGGGTGGTGGTAATGGGGGTGGTGGTAGTGATGGTGATGATGTTAAGGCGGTGGAAGGCGGTGGAAGGCGGCTTCGGTCCTGCTGGTGATGGTGTTTAGCGACAGCGATGATGACGACGATGACGTCACTGTTGTTGTTGTTGTCGTCACGTGTTGTGAGACTGAGCCCGGTGATTGGTCGGCTGCCGCTGGTGACGCAGGTGGGAGGTGCCAAAGGCGCCGAGCACGTGGTGTGTGTGTGTGGGGAGCGGTGGTGTAGTGGTTAGCGCGCTGCGCTATGAACCTGGCGACCCGGTCATGGGCCTCCCCTAGGTCGACTCAGCCTTAAATGAGTACCTGGTGCGGTGTGTAAACATCGCCACTGGGGAGACAAAGGCGGTCGGGCGTGGTTGCTGGCCACCCATCCCCTCGTGTACCGTTCCGGCCTTCATAAGTGCTCGCTAACAGCACTTGCCCCTACAGTCTGTTAAGGCTATACGGGGGATCTTTATCTTTATCCCCCCCCCCCCCCCGTGTCGTCTATCCAAGGCCCTAATTATAATGTATATTGGAGGGGGGGGCACACCCCCCCCCCCCCAATATATATTATAATTCAAATATGCTCAAAATGTCCCCCCCAATATATTGCTATAAAATAGATTTCTGTTGATATGATTGTGGTTATGGTTGTACTTTATTAATCCCTAATCTCTGCCATTACATACAATGAAACAAGAAAAGGTAAAAAAAGAAAAAAGAGAAATGTAATACAATACACTATTAGACATTATTGTAACAAATAAATTAAAAGTCAGTCCCATGTGTTAATGAAATATTTTTTTTTAGGCACGAAATTCGTTTTAAAATTTAGATTTTTTTCTGGGGGGGGGGGGACCCCAGACCCCTTGGAGATTTGGGTCCCCCCCCAATGTTGACTCCATGGCTACGGCCTTGCGTCTATCCACTGCTGGATGAAACCCAACACCCTCACACCTCTTCTTCTTGGTTCTTTCGGTAAAGTCACGTAGAAGGGAAATAATAAAATAAAAAATAAAAAAAACATAATCAAATCATTCTCACGACGTTTCGGCCACAACGCAAGCAGCCGTTGTGGCCGAAACGTCGTGAGAATTATTTTATTATGTTTTATTTTAATTATTTTATTACTTCCCTTCTACGTGACTTTACCGAAAGAACCAAGAAGATGAATCCCTGCAGTCACCCTCACACCTCCTCCTCCCCCACCCAAGTCGTGGCGGGCTCACTGCGGTTGCTTTGATTTGTTTGGCCATACTTCTCCGCGATGGTGAGTCCGGGTTGGTGAAGGAGTGTGGCTCGGGATCGATTCGGATGTCATAAGAGCCGTCCATAAATGACGTCACGCACCTAGGGGGGGGGGGGGTCAGACATTTGTGACGAGGGGGGTGGGGGTTGAGAAATGTGACGTCACATCAAAATGCGCAACTTTAAATACAATATAGACAACACGTTCTATTTAATTAATTAGACTTTTTAATAAATGTTTTCTCCTACAACATCATAGTGCAGCGCCACATTAAACACGCACTACAATGACAATAGTTTAAAGCGATTTGAAGCATGTTTTATTTTGGGGGGGGGGGGCAGAGCTTTGTGACGTCATATTTGAGGGGGGGGTCTCACTTTTTGTGACGCCGTGTGACGAAGGGGAGGGGGGGGGTCAAAAATCGTCCAAAATCGCGTGACGTCATTTATGGACGGCTCCTTGGCCGTGAGTGGGAATCGAACTCGAGTGGCCGGGTTCGTGACGCACGCAGCTACACAAACGCACGCACAACGGCAACACACAGACACGGACAGCCACGGAAATAGACACAAGGGGGGGGGGGGGTAGAGACAGACGCGATAACGTGAGCCACAAGTAGCAGACACTGTGACATAAAAGTGGGGACAGGAGAGCAACAGCTGACAGGTCTTTTAAAACGTCAAACGCGTGTGTGTGTATGTGTGTGCGTGCGCGTGTGTGTGTGTGCGTGTGTGTGTGCGTGTGCGCGTGTGTGTGCGCGTGTGCGTATGTGTGTGCGTGTGTGCGTGCGCGTATGTGTGTGCGTGTGCGCGTGTGTGTGTGTGTGCATGTGCGTGTGTGTGTGTGCGTGTGTGTGTGTGTGCATGTGCGTGTGCGTGTGTGTGCGTGTGCGTGTGTGCGTGTGTGTGTGTGTGCGTGCGCGTGTGTGTGTGTGTGCGTGTGTGTGCGTGTGCGCGTGTGTGTGTGCGTGTGTGTGTGCGTGTGCGCGTGTGTGTGTGCGCGTGTGTGTGCGTGTGTGTGTGCATGTGCGTGTGCGAGTGTATGTGTGTGTGTGCGTGTGTATGTGTGCGTGTGTGTGCGTACGTGTGTGTGTGCGTGTGTGCGTGCACGTGTGTGTGTGTGTGCGTGTGTGCGTGCACGTGTGTGTGTGTGTGCATGCGTGTGTGCGTGACCCGGGAGTGGGTCTTCCCGAGGTCGACTCAGCCTCAAACGAGCACTCTACCGGGTGCTGTGTGTAAACCATCGCCACGAGGGAGACAAAGGCGGTCGGGCCAGGCGCTGGCCACCCACCCCCTATGCGTGCCGTGCCGGCCTTCATAGGTGCTCCCTAACAGCACTTGCCCCTAGAGGGGCCGTCCATAAATGACGTCACGCGATTTGGGACGATTTTTTACCCCCCACCCCACTCCTCACACGGCGTCACAAAAAGTCAGACCCCCCCTCAAATATGACGTCACAAAGCTCTGCCCCCCCCAAAAATAAAACATGCTTCAAATCGCTTTAAGCTATTATCATTGTAGTGCGTATTTAATGTGGCGCTGCACTCTGATGTTGGAGGAGAAAAGAAAACATTTTATTAAAACGTCTATTTAATTAAGTAGAACGTGTTGTCTATATTTAAAGTTGCGCATTTTGATGTGACGTCACATTTCTCACCCCCCTCCTCGTCACACATCGTCACAAATGTCTGACCCCCCCCTAGGTGCTTGACGTCATTTATGGACAGCCCCCTAGACTCTGTTAAGGCTATACGGGGGGGGGTCGGGGGGGGGTGTTTGTCCTTGTGTTCGGAGGTGACACGGCACATCCCTAATATTTATAACCAGAGAGGTATCCCACACACGGGCAGCCTCTCGCGAGGGAGAGGCGGGATGAGGGGGGCAGCCGATACCAGCGCGTGCCCGTCAGTGACTGGACAGCACCGAGAATGTCGAAGCGATATATCGATAATACTGGTAGGAACCCCCTGGTTACACCAGCCCACTGGGGATTATTGTGTCCGTCCGTCGTGCAGGGAGGGGCTGGATGGGGAGGGGAGGGTGGGGAGGGGCTGGGTGGGGAGGGTGGGGCTGGGTGGGGAGGGGCTAGGTGGGGAGGGTGGGGCTGGGTGGGGAGGGGAGGGTGGGTGGGGAGGGGCTGGGTGGGAAGGGGCTGGGTGGGGAGGGTGGGGCTGGGTGGGGAGGGTGGGGCTGGATGGGGAGGGGAGGGTGGGGCTGGGTGGGGAGGGGAGGGTGGGGAGGGGCTGGGTGGGGAGGGTGGGGAGGGGCTGGGTGGGCGGGGAGGGTGGGGCTGGGTGGGGGGTGGGAGGGGTGGGGCTGGGTGGGGAGGGGCTGGTCACCCCGTGGTGCCCTTATAAAACTCAACGTTTAACCTACTCACGCCGGCTTGTGCCCACCCTCATAGTCGGGCATATTTGCGGAATACACCACGCCGCCGTTGACCCTGCAGCCATTGACCGAGCAATCCAACGTTCCTACCAGCTCCCTCCGCAGGAATGTGTTAATCGTGTCGCTACGAGACACCCCGAAAAAATCGTGTTTAGGGGTTTTTCTCCCTTCAGCAAGGGGGACGCGATTCTGGTTGTGCTGAAGACGGAATGTGTAATACACATGAGCACGCAAGCAGTTGGTTTAGTACTGAGTCGGGATCCAATAGTTGGGTGGATTTAAGATTGCAATGCTTTAATTAATTTCGCGTGATTTTCACGCCATTAATCCTGCACGTTGCGCCGTTATTGGAAATCGAGTTTAGACCGAGACTTGGCTTAACAGTGGCTGACTCAGGGTCTCCCTGACGTGGTCATGATGAGTGCTCCGATAAACAGAGACTCAGCCACTTATCGGTGGGTTCTTATTTATTTATTATCGATAAGTGGGGTGAGCTGGGAGCAGGACAAACCTGCAGGGACCAGGTGCTGACCGGATCCCACGAGGCTAATACTGGACTCGGTGAAATCTCCAGTTCGATCCGGGAGCCAGGAGGGTTGATGGTGGTGGGGGTTCCGCGGTAGGCAAAAATATTAAAGTAGAAATCCTTGGAAGCGCTCCCCTTCCCTGTTTACATCACGGATTTGTGTTCATATTTTCCACTGTCAAATATACATCTGACATCGCATCTACGGAATTTGACATTTATTGTTTTTTTGGCCGAACCTATTATATTGTATGTGTGCCTTTGTTAACCAAGTGCCCCTTGATGGAGAGACTTCTTGACTCAATAGGCTCTCACCTGAGTGTAATTTTTTTAAAAAAATCTGCCTATCACAGTACAATGTAATTAACTTTTGTTTAGTGTCTAAATACGACTGGGACGAAACGGTGGCAGTGATTCACGCGCTCCACTTTCAACCAGGTGAGCCGATTTCAATTCCCAGCCACAGCTAATATCAGCGGTCCTGCAATGAGAAACAATCCCTGCGACTGACATATGCCTTCATACAGCAGTGGATTGGCATAAAGGCCATACGTAATTACACAGTAATATATATTACTTACAATGTATAATAGGTTCACTTTTTGCGTTTTTTGCTCGAATAAAATCTGATTACAAAAGAGAATGGAAAATCCATGGCCTGGATAACAAACTGTGACCCTTCCTTTAATTTTAATTCCAAACAAAGGAGAGGGCAAATCTAAATCACTTTATTGTCTAAGTACAGGAAATATATTTAACTCTAAGAGGATGCTGAGAAGGAATACATTTTACTTTAGTTATACATTTTAGTTATACATTTTACTTTAGTTAGTAAAGTTACGATACCTATTTGTAAATGCCAACCCCGAGAATTTTCCAGCTGTATATATATGTTGAACTACCTTTGCACCGTACGTAGAAATTCAACATACATGAAGCAATTAGCAGGGTAAATCAGCACTATAAAACAGGGTCTTCTGTATCACCAGAACAAAGATAAAACTGGTCTTAATCAGAAAAAAATAATGAGAATTGTTTTACCGATCTCTGAACAAATCATATGACGTCATCGAATGCAGGTTGTGATTTTGTAACTTCCGCAGATTTCTCATCGCCAACGGTGACTCACTCAATGCAAGCAAGGCACGTGTGGGGCGCATGGGTTCGACTCCCCAGCCTGCTCCAGAGCATAAAATCCACCAAACCACCCACTCGAAAATCAGACGACCATCGCCACCATCCTCACAGCTGACACCACCACCACCAACACCACCAGCACTTCTACCACCAGCAAAATCTACATCCCACTACCATCACCACCAACACCACCCAGAGCCTCCACTGCAGACTCTTTGCAGGAGATAGACACGTTTTTGTCCGCGTAGGTACACAGCGGGGTTGCGTGTCTGCGGTGAAGTTCTGTTTAACGGCTCTCCGGGGGATCTGTGCCATTGCTTGGGTGGAGGTGCTCGTATTTGCTGGGTGAGGCGCGTGCCACGTGGTGCAGAGCGCGTGCCCGGCCAGGAATGGTGCGTGACCCGGGTCTGCTCCTTACGCCACCTCCACCACCGTCGCCACAGCACCGGGACGCGCTGACGGAGTTCCCACCACCCATCCGACTGCACCTGCTGGTGCTGCTGCTGCTCCTGCCCTGAGCTGGGCAAGTGAGTCTCACGACATTTTCTTGGTTCTTTCGGTAAAGTCACGTAGAAGGGAAGTAATAAAATAATAAAATAAAACATAATAAAATAATATAATAATATGATATAATAAAATAATATTATTACATAATAAAATAATTCTCACTACTTAAATCGAAAAATCTTACGACATTCATAATGATGACTCGGTATGTTGCGTATTTTTTTCAACATAGACTAATACAAATGTTACCAAGTAAGGCCCACTGAGCCACCTGGCCACAAATGATAGCTCAACGAAGTGGCTTATCACGTGGAAATGTATAGCAGCCAAATACTCTGAACGCATGTTTCTAAATGTGGAGGGAAAAAACCCGAGGACCCACACGACCACGGAGAGAGAGACATGCAACCTCCAAATATACAGCAGCAGGCGTCAGGGTCGGGATCGAACCCACGACCTCCTGCAATATCAGGCGAGGTAGTTAACATCTCGCTACCGTGTCACCGTGTATATCAGAATCTTTATCAGAATCTGAATATGTATTTAATGCTGGAGGAATCCGATGAGCTATGAAGCTCTTTTTCACAAATGTCCAGTGTATATAATGGGGAGGCTCAGCGAGTCTCATCGAGGCTTTTTTTCAGGAGGGTCCTGCTACAGGGCATGGTTGGCCCAGTTTTGTATTTTTCTCCGTGTGTGGGAGGAATCCGGAGTTCCAAGAGGTAAACCACCACACATATGAGCGAGATGACACAGGTCCGCACAGATGGATTCAGACCATTGGATTTGGGAGGTTTACAAATGTATGAGATCCACCAATCTTTGCTTCCAAAGTGCTGATTACAAGTCTTGATGCTAAACCCACACGATACATTTAGGCTATTGTAACCTACTTTCTTTACTTTATCAGGTGAGCAAGTTCCAACCATATCATTGCCCTGAAGGTGGGTGCCTCACACGTGCATCATCTCAGCATGAGCCACACAACCTAACTGGCTCTGAATCATTATTACAATGAATAATGATTCTAGACTTGAAGCTTTCGTGACTGCAAGGAATCATATTCTTAGGTGTTTTCGGTAAAGTCACGTAGGTAAAACATCAAAATTAATAAAAATAATAAAATAAAATAAAGAAACGTCGTGATCTTTATTTTATTTTATTATTTTGATTAATTTTGATGTTTTACCTACGTGACTTTACCGAAAACACCTAAGAATATGAATAATGATGCCCTTTTGGTACTCACGGCATCCTCATCGAGTCTCAAAATGTTTTCAGGGGTGTCCTGCATTGGAATATTTTCACAGTTTCATAATAGTAATGTGTTTAGGAGGAAACTGGAGTCACATTACAAGATTTACCCGCATACAAGGGGAGCGATTCACACATCTCCTAACAGATAGATTCAATCATCCATTTCTGTACTTCCATCTCTTGACCAACTCACAACCCATGCCTACAACAGATGCTATTCCCAGGTGGCCTCCCATCTAAGCACGAACCGGGCTCAACTCTGCTTAGCTTCCGAGATCTGACGAGATCTCAGGCACATTCAAAGGCTATCTGTCCATAGGCAATCAGTGCTCAATTAGCATCAGATTAGATGCAGACCCCAAAACAGATGGCACCTGCCCATCTCCTCCTCCTGCCATCCCCGTCCAAATCCCTCTCGCCCGCTGCCCCCCCCCCACCTCCTCTTTGCTGTGCTAATGAGGACCCGGCCGCGGTGCGCAGGAGGTGGTTTGATGTGCTGACCTTTAACGTGCGGTGAGGAGGTCCGGAGCAGAGGAGGAACCACACGGATCCTGAGTGGGAGCCGCGGAGAAGGAGGAGACGGTGCTGGTGCTGCTGGTGGTGGTGCTGGTGGCCGAGGGTTCTCGGAGGGAGACGATCCCCGGCTCTTGTCCCCACGTGGACCGAGAGTTCACACTTGTCGTGGACCGGGTGCAAGAGGTCGTGAGGACATCACCGCTGGGCGAGGTGAGGACATCGTGGCTACGTGCGCACTGCGGCCGTGTTAGTAACGATGTCGTCATATGTGCCGTGCAAGTTGTTCGTGTTCATCAAGCAATCTCCATTCAATTTTTCGAAACTATTCAAGTTATTACAGATATGTATAAAACACACTATTAAATGGATAGTATGCACTGGTAGAATAGGTGAATGAGGCTTTACACACTTCAGAGGTGACGCCAGGGGGGCAAAAGGGGGCAATTCCTCCTCGCTCATCATTTTTAAGATGGTCCTTGTGTGATTAATAATGTTTTTGTTTGTTTGAAATGTTAAATTATAGGTAAATAATGTAGACTTCTTGCTGTTCATTTCATTTTAGGTAAATTTTCTAAGTCATGGGAAGTTTTCATTTGCCTCCTCTGAATGTTTTTCTGGGTGCGCCACTGACACACAGCAGTATTTAAAAAAATTATTATTATTATTAAGTCTTCTACATTTAAGTCGATACATATAAATAAATACAGAACAAGGTTAGTACCCATTGTGAAATGCCCAACGTGGGCTGCGAACCGAGTTAGTATCCCCGTAAATTATTTATTAGAATCTTTATTTAGACTGGGGAAATCCGATGAGCTATGAAGCTTTTTTCACAGATGTTCCAGTAGGGGCGGATCAGCAGGTTTCAACAATAAACAATAAAAAAACACTTTTAAAAAGACTAACGATGGGAGTGCAAAAAATACAGAAAAAGAAAGCACATCACGAAAAATAAATAACTAAGTATCAAATAAAGCATATGAGTACAAATTGCACAAGTACAGAAATTCGTGATGATTTTTTGTTAACACTAAATGCAAGTTTCGATTTAAAGCTTTCGTGACTGCAGGGATTCATCTTCTTGGTTCTTTCGGTAAAGTCACGTAAAAGGGAAGTAATAAAATAATAAAAATAAAACATAATAAAATAATTCTCACGACGTTTCGGCCACAACGCAAGCAGCCGCTGTCTCCCCGACAGACCTGGTCTTCACTTGAGGACGGCGTGAGAATTATTTTATTATGTTTTGTTTTTATTATTTTATTACTTCCCTTCTACGTGACTTTACCGAAAGAACCAAGAAGACTAAATGCAAGCTTTTTGGGCAACACAGAAAAACAACAAAACAATCCCGGACCACACCAAGACAACAACACACAGTCCCTGAGTGAAAGTTCACATTAAAATGTAGCTATCGATACACGGGTGGTAAGGATAAAAAAAAAATAACAAATCACATTTCTAAACGTGATTGTATCCAGCACCAATATTCTGCCACAGCAATGGGACAAGGTCTTCTGTCCATCCTCCCTACTACCTCCAAGCTTCATCCCTCCGTATCGCTCCATCGCTTCATCACTCTGTCCATCCCATCGTGTGATGATTTATACATCACACGCGGCGCATTGATGTAAGGTCAGTGCCATGCCACTCTGCCGGGGGTCCAATACTTAGCGCCTTCTGTTTACCCGGCGAAACCCCATAAACAAGCTGCCGGCCTAATTCGGGGTCAAGAGCTATTAACATTCACATACAACAACAATGGCAACAACAATGGCAAGAACAACAGCTGAACTGTCATCGTGCTCCACGCCGTGGACGAGTGTGGTGGTGCACGCCTGCGACCCGGCCATTAGGAGATGGGGTTAGTGGATCATCAAGAGATCACGTGCGTGAGACACCCACTTTGCAAGCTTTTGTTTCTTTCAAATATTTCACGAAACAATATTTGTGATGTAAAAAAAACTTGTTCATTTGTGTAAATTAAGGATCCTTTTTATAGAAAAGTGTACATTCAGTTTAAGATTCGTGTAGTTTCACAGTTTTCTTATTTCTTTCGTATGGAATTGTTTTACAGTAAAGCGCCGTAAAAATATTTATTGTTGAGTGAAAAAGTCCTGGTAGCCTACGGCCCGTGGGTCGGATACAGCACACAGCTTCGTTTCTCACGGCCACGTGAGGCTGCCCCTTATAAAACAACGGCCCATAAACGAACGACATGTGTCCCGTCACTTGCAAGAATATTAGCCGCGCTAATCAGGTAGCAGAGGTGGGTATCTTCGTCCTGGGAAGAACTCTGCGTTTCTAATTTTGGTCGGTGCGCGCATTATACGCCGCTTGCTTGTTGGGTAGCGGCGAGGTTCGTGTCAATGTACCTCGTGAAAGGTAATTTAGAAGTCCTACTCAGCCTCCAGCAAGTAAAAAGCTCCCCGCACATATCAGCAACTTAAATAACGACGAAGGGCAACCGCGTTTCTCAAGACGCTTATAGCAACGAAGAGCTGCGCTCAGGTTATGGTGGTTTTGGCGGTGGTATTTGAAAGTCTCATAAATGTTTGCACACCCCTGCCTTCACCCATGCAGGTGGTGGCACCTATTTGCTGGTGGCATCTATCTGCTGGAGGCACCAATCTGCTAGTGGCATCCCAATCTGCCGGATCGACATCGGTTAGCCTTGAGCGATCGGATCCGCCGATCGTCGAATCCACTCCTCAAATTAAGGGGAGAGGGGGGCCTCATCATCATCATCATGCCTGGCACCGAGGGGGGCTCTGCGGGGGTCCCGGCGGGACGGCCTCGTTTTCGCGACGGGGTGAGGGTTCGCACAGCCATGGCGAGCAAATGCATGCGGGGGCTGACGGTGGCGGCCTTGAGGAGGTTCCTCGCCCGGAACGCCTTCGTCATTTTCACCCTGCTGGGAGTCGTCTTGGGTACGTACGTACGCGCGTACGTGTGATTGTGTCCGTGTGATTGTGTCCGTGTGATTGTGTACGTGTGATTGTGTCCGTGTGATTGTGTCCGTGTGATTGTGTACGTGTGATTGTGTCCGTGTGATTGTGTCCGTGTGATTGTGTACGTGTGATTGTGTCCGTGTGATTGTGTCCGTGTGATTGTGTCCGTGGTGGAGCGGTAGTGTAGCGGTCAGCGCGCTGTGCTACGAACCCGGCAACACGAGTTCGATTCCCGCTCACGAAAAACACCAGTGACGATTATCTGAACCGGTCCTGGGCCTCCCCTAGGTCGACTCAGCCTCAAATGATTACCTAGTGCGATGTGTAAACATCGCCACTGGAGAGACAAAGGCGGCCGGACGTGGTGTTGGCCACTCACCCCCTTGTGGGTCGCGCCGGCCTTCATATGTGCTCTGTAATAGCACTTGTCCCAGCAGGCTGTTAAGGCTATACGGGGATTTTTGTTTGCGTGTAAGTATGAGCCAAAGTGAAGTGGTTCGCAGGTTGTGTGCTACAATCTCGGCGACCTGGCTTTGATTCCTGACCACAAGTGACATCTAAGCTCTTATCGCAAAAGGTTTGAGTTGACCCGCAATAAAATGAGGACTAAAATGTGTGGATTCCATCAGCAATTGTGTTGACAGAACGAAAATTATGATGAGACTACATACGTGAATTTGAGTATGAACCAAACAACAGAGGAGAGATTAATCTTGAGTTGAGATTGAAACTGAGATGGGATTATGGGCGGAGCGGTGGCACAGTGGTTAGCACACGGTGCAATGAACCCGGTTACCCAGGCTAACGTGGGCAGCGAGTGATATTCAAACCGGTCCTGAATTCTACTTCGCACTGTCCAGCATGGTGAAGTATGGTCAAGCAACCCCCATGACCGACGCGGAAGGGGGTGGCTTTCATCCAGCAGTGGATTGACAAACGGGCTTTGAATTATAGTCGGGTTATAGGCAGTGCCGGATTTTCCTCGTAGCAAAAGTAGCAAATGCTACGGGCCCCGCACTTTCAAGGACCCCGCGCTAAATGCTTTCAAGCTATCAATTCCGGTTCAGTGATTCTGCACTTGCTCTATTACTATAGTACTATACTGCCTTCAACTTTTATGAACGACTGGGTGTTTAAGGTTAGCGATTTGTCGTATTATCTGGCTGTATAGCAAATGAAAAAATACAATTAGTTTACTATATAAGTAAAAAAATTGTGTATTTTAATACTTATGTGTTTTTTTATGGCCCCTTTATAACATATGCTACAGGCCCCGCACGAGCTTAATCCGGCACTGTTTTTAGGTTAGATACAGGACTATCCAAACAACAGCTGAAATGTGAATTCAGAGTTCAGATTTAAACTCAATTAACTTTGCGGTGCTGGCAGTCAATGGGAGAGGGACACCCGCCATGGGTGCACCACAGGAGAAGGGGGGACCACCCACCCCAATAAGTACGCACGGGTGACATTTGAACGGCGCCAAGCACCGCGGAGAGACCCATGAATTATAAATGCGTTGACTCCACGGGGCACGGTGACACGCACGGAGAGATGCCGATTCATACAGCAACGCTGACACACGCAGAGTAACGCTGGCACACGGTGATGGGCGCGCACAGTGATACTGGTAACACACATTGATGAGGCACACACGGTGGTACAGACGGAGACACGCACAGCAATGCAGACACGCACACACAGCAACACGGGCACAGAGACACAAACACAAGATCTCCCGTGTAGCTTCTAGCAGGCTGTTGGGTCAACTGATGTGAACGAGGAACTATGAAGGTCGGCACGGCCCACAAAGGCCGCCTTCGTCTCCCCAGTGCTGATGTTTACACACTGCACCAAAGACAAAGATCCCCCGTGTAGCCTTAACGGACTGTTGGGGCAAGTGCTGTTAGTGAGTAGCACCTATGAAGGCCGGAACGGCACACGAGGGGGTGGGTAGCCAGCACCACGCCCGGCCGCCTTTGTCTCCCCAGTGCTGATGTACCACGTACTCAGACACACACAGTGACACTGGCATACAGTGATGCCGCACACATTTCAGTACGTGTGCTCTTCTCACCCTCTGAATAGCACGATGCCCGTATTCCAATGCTCATGGGAAAGTGTTATTGTTCGAACTTAAGGCAATTAAGAGTTAGAGGTAGGATTAGGCTTAAAGTACGGATTAGCGTGGCAGCTCGGGTGAAGCTGAAAGCTAAGTTGAGAGTGATACATTATTAAAGACATCACCCAAATGTCACTGCCTCTCCTCGTTACCTCCATGGCTCACAGATCCGTCCCCCGAGTGCGTGCCCAATCCTGGGCCTCCCCTCGACCAATTCAGCCTCAAATGAGTACCTGGTGCGCGGTGTGTAGCAAACATCGCCACGGGGGGAGACAAAGGCAGCCGGGCGTAATTGCTGGCCACCCAACCTCCTTGTGTTGCCGTGCGGGCCTTCATAGGTTGCTACTCTTCTTGGTTTTTTCGGTAAAGTCACGTAGAAGGGAAGTAATAAAATAATAAAAATAAAACATAAAATAATTTTCACGACACCATCAGGAACCTCATTTGCCAGTAAAAATATGATAATTGGTTTTTTACCCTTCTATCTGGCAACAAAATTGACACCTTTTTACAAGGAGTCATGTTTGCATAGACCGCAATACCTGCAGTCATAATACAAACAAAAGACATAACTCTGATCATGTGCACTGTCCTTGAAGTTGATTGGTCCACACCCGAGACAACTTTCCTTAGAGCCTAGTCTCACAAAAGGCGTCATCTGGTCCAATCAACTTCAAGGACAGTGCACATTATCAGAGTTATGTCTTTTGTTTGTATTATGACTACAGGTATTGCGGTCTATGCAAACATGACTCCTTGTAAAAAGGTGTCAGTTTTGTTGCCAGATAGAAGGGTAAAAAAACAATCATCAATTCTCACGACGTTTCGGCCACAACGCAAGCAGCCGTCCTCAGGTGAAGACCAGGTCTGTCGGGGAGACAGCGTCTGCTACTCACCAACAGCACTTGCCCCATCCGTCTGTTAAAGGCTACGCTGGTGGGAGTGGGGTCAGGTGGAATCTTTGTCTTTGTGCCCGCAGGTATCGTGATGGGCTTCTGCCTGCGCGTGTACCCGCTGTCTCGCCGCGAGGTGCGATACTTTCTCTTCCCGGGAGAACTGCTCATGCGCATGCTGCACATGCTCGTGCTGCCGCTCATCGTCTCCAGCCTCGTCACGGGTGCGAACCCAAGCGCTGGGCACCTTCCAGGGAGACCTCGTGGAATGGGGGGGGAGGGGGGGGGGAGGGGGGCTCAGGCGGTGGGGGGGGGGCGACTGTTGTTTAAAAAAAGATGTATAATAATACATGTGTATTCTTGGTTCTTTCGGTAAAGTCACGTAGAAGGGAAATAATAAAATAATAAAAATAAAACTATTACATTCTCACGACGTTTCGATTGCAACACAAACAATCATCATCAGGTGTGAAAACCATAGCAAGAAAACAAATCAAAAATGATCTTGCTGTGGTTTTCACATCTGATGATGATTGCTTGTGTTGCAATCGAAACGTCGTGAGAATTTTATTATTTTTTCAAAACAATTCTTGCTGTGGGTTTCACACCTGATGATGATTGCGTGTGTTGCAATCGAAACGTCGTGAGAATTTTATTGTTTTACTTTTATCATTTTATTATTTCCCTTCTACGTGACTTTACCGAAAGAACCAAGAATACACATGTATTATTATACATCTTTTGTTTAAAACAACAGTCGCCCCCCCCCCACCGCCTGAGCCCCCCTTCCCACCCCACCCTCCCCCCAATTCCACGAGGTCTCCCTGGAAGGTGCCCAGCGCTTGGGTTCGCACCCGTGACGAGGCTGGAGACGATGAGCGGCAGCACGAGCATGTGCAGCATGCGCATGAGCAGTTCTCCCGGGAAGAGAAAGTATCGCACCTCGCGGCGAGACAGCGGGTACACGCGCAGGCAGAAGCCCATCACGATACCTGCGGGCACAAAGACAAAGATTCCACCTGACCCCACTCCCACCAGCGTAGCCTTTAACAGACGGATGGGGCAAGTGCTGTTGGTGAGTAGCAGACGCTGTCTCCCCGACAGACCTGGTCTTCACCTGAGGACGGCTGCTTGCGTTGTGGCCGAAACGTCGTGAGAATTGATGATTGTTTTTTTTACCCTTCTATCTGGCAACAAAACTGACACCTTTTTACAAGGAGTCATGTTTGCATAGACCGCAATACCTGCAGTCATAATACAAACAAAAGACATAACTCTGATCATGTGCACTGTCCTTGAAGTTGATTGGTCCACACCCGAGACAACTTTCCTTAGAGCCTAGTCTCACAAAAGGCGTCATCTGGTCCAATCAACTTCAAGGACAGTGCACATTATCAGAGTTATGTCTTTTGTTTGTATTATGACTACAGGTATTGCGGTCTATGCAAACATGACTCCTTGTAAAAAGGTGTCAGTTTTGTTGCCAGATAGAAGGGTAAAAAAAACAATCATCAATTCTCACGACGTTTCGGCCACAACGCAAGCAGCCGTCCTCAGGTGAAGACCAGGTCTGTCGGGGAGACAGCGTCTGCTACTCACCAACAGCACTTGCCCCATCCGTCTGTTAAAGGCTACGCTGGTGGGAGTGGGGTCAGGTGGAATCTTTGTCTTTGTGCCCGCAGGTATCGTGATGGGCTTCTGCCTGCGCGTGTACCCGCTGTCTCGCCGCGAGGTGCGATACTTTCTCTTCCCGGGAGAACTGCTCATGCGCATGCTGCACATGCTCGTGCTGCCGCTCATCGTCTCCAGCCTCGTCACGGGTGCGAACCCAAGCGCTGGGCACCTTCCAGGGAGACCTCGTGGAATTGGGGGGAGGGTGGGGTGGGAAGGGGGGCTCAGGCGGTGGGGGGGGGGCGACTGTTGTTTTAAACAAAAGATGTATAATAATACATGTGTATTCTTGGTTCTTTCGGTAAAGTCACGTAGAAGGGAAATAATAAAATGATAAAAGTAAAACAATAAAATTCTCACGACGTTTCGATTGCAACACACGCAATCATCATCAGGTGTGAAACCCACAGCAAGAATTGTTTTGAAAAAATAATAAAATTCTCACGACGTTTCGATTGCAACACAAGCAATCATCATCAGATGTGAAAACCACAGCAAGATCATTTTTGATTTGTTTTCTTGCTATGGTTTTCACACCTGATGATGATTGTTTGTGTTGCAATCGAAACGTCGTGAGAATGTAATAGTTTTATTTTTATTATTTTATTATTTCCCTTCTACGTGACTTTACCGAAAGAACCAAGAATATGAATCCCTGCAGTCACGAAAGTTTTAAATAGAAATATAATACATGTGCTTGTGTTGTTGGTCTGGGGACCGGGAGATCGATGATGATCGATGTTCGGTCGCCCACGTTGATGGCATTAGTCGTGATTTCTCACTTAACAGAGCGGGGCGCGTGAAGGCTGCCATCTTCCACTCCATGTACTGATGATGTGACACCCATCTCTCCCCCCCCCCCCCCATATCGAAGTGTATACTGGATGTGGCGTGCCGGGTAGCACGTGACTAGCAGCCACATCCCGTAGATTTCTTTGTTTAGTGGATGTGGTGTCCATAAAATGGATGGGGTGTGGATGGGGAGTGGATGGGGTGTGGATGTGGTGTGCCGGGGGTCCGTGTCATCTTAAAGTGCGGCACGTGTGCACCGTGACGCCGGCACGCATGGCCGCTCGGTATTTTCAACGTCCACAGTGAAGCAGACGGTGTGTTGTGATCTACGTTTGAACTCGTGGTTAATAACGCACGCAATATTAACCAGGGCAGCCGCCGGGCTCAAACCGAGCAGCTCTGGAAAATCAAAGTACTAGCGCAATTTGGTGTGAGCAGTTTTATGGCGAGTAGCAAGTCCGTAACAAGGCCTAGTCTGCAGTATTTTCGCAGAAGCAACCCAGCAAATATGGAACGTTGGGCTAACGTTGGTCCAACGTTTCCAACCACGTGCCAACATTGATTGGCATGTGGGGGGGCGCTGCCACGCCTTTTCCCCCAACCAGATGATCGCACCGAGCGGCGAATGCGATTCCCCCAACTCAGCCGTGCCTGTGCCAAGCCAGGTGCACTCCGAGGCCACGTGAAGTGTCGAAGGCTCGCTGCGGGCCGGTCACAGGGCAGCCCCAGGGTGCCATGGGTTGACTGACTTGATAAGACTGGCGGATGCACCGCCTGTGTCCCCTGCTGTGCCGTGTCAAAGACAAAGATCCCCCGAATAGCCTGAACAGACTTTTGGAGCAGGTGTTGTTAGCAAGCACCTATGAAGGCTGGAATGGCGCACCACGCCCGGCCGCCTTTATCTCCCCAACCGCTGATGATTACTCACCAATTAGCACGGCTGGCAACGCACGGTGCGAAAGAAGTTCAACATACAGAGTGCACCGGGTACTCCAATTTGCGGCTGAGACGACCTCGGAGACGGCCCAGGACCGGTTCAGACAATCGTCACCATTGGTAGCCGTGAGCCTGGAATCGAACTCGGGTCGCCGGGTTCGTAGCCCAGCGCGCTAACACACAAACACCGTCTCGCCCCCCCCATCCATCTCCAAGGGATGTCCACGCTGGATCGCAACGCGTCAAGCCGCATGGGCGTGCGCGCCGCCGTCTACTACATGATCACCACGCTGCTCGCCGTCTTCGTGGGCATCGTGATGGTGATGGCCATCCAGCCCGGCCGAGGGGGTCGCGATGCCCCCAGGGCGCACAATCAGCTGGAGCGACTCCACGCCGCCGACGCGTTCCTCGACCTCATCCGGTGCGGTCGGAGCTCGGCTCGGGGATTTGAACTCGACGCGAGCTAAACGTGGTTCTGATGATTGCGGTGCCTTCGTTGCCGCTCTTCGACCTTTTTGGCGTTAAATTTCGATTTAAAGCTTTCGTGACTGCAGGGATTCATCTTCTTGGTTCTTTCGGTAAAGTCACGTAGAAGGGAAGTAATAAAGTAATAAAAATTAAACAACACACCGGGGTGGTGAGACGAGGCCGTGAAGAAATGCTGAAGGCCGATCAGTTTCAAAGACAGTGCGTATGTTTGATCTGAAGCTTTCGTGACTGCAGGAATTACGCTTTGGTTCTTTCGGTAAAGTCACGTAGAAATAAAATAAAATGATATAATACACGACGTTCTCATTGCAACACAAGCAAGCGTCATCAGGTGTGTCTCTCTCCGAGCTTGCGTTCTTTCACACCTGATGACGGTTGCTTGTGTTGCAATGGAAACGTCGTGAATTCTATTATTTTATTTTATTTCTACGTGACTTTACCGAAAGAACCAAGAAGATGAATCCCTGCAGTCACGAAAGCTTTAAATCGAAATTTAGTTTCGTTTTGGTTTAGATGGTAACGTGACCCAGAGGGCTATTGCCACGGCCCGTCTGATTCGTTCATCTCGGTCACATCGTCACACTTTGTCTCTCGCCTCTCTGCCCCGCAGGAATATGTTTCCCCCAAACCTGGTGGAGGCGTGCTTCAAACAGGTGCGTAGTAACACCTGCCGTCCAGACATACACACACGCACACACGTAATGCGTGCGTATACGCTGCATGTATTCGCGCAGGATATGCATTTCAGAAACAACACGCACAGAGCCGCGCCTAGGAAGCACGGCGAATTGGGGCGACAGCCCCGGGCCCCGCGCTTTGGGGGGCCCCGCGCTTTGATGTCACGGCGTCATTTGTAATAATTGCGGTTTAGTTTGAAGGCGTCGGGGGGGGGGGGGGGGGCGGTTTGCCCCGGGCCCTGCACCCCCTGCTCACCCTGCTCACCCCTCCGCCTATGTGCGGCCTTGCGTACATATTTCGTTTCGCTTGACATCTGTGTTGATAAACATTTTATCTTTAGCCTCAGTTTGCAGTCTTCTCCATTAGATTCTTCATTTATCACCTCCAGTGCAGTACCACTGCTATATTGCAACAGATTCATACTTGGAGGGACACGGCACATAATTTATACAAGCACAATGCATACATACATAGAATATAAGAAGTACAAATATTATGTACATACGTGCATGCTTCCCAATGCAATGGCTGTAGGTATCATACGGTCAGTTTGGAGGTGAGGTCGCTCATTCTCCTCTGCTGGCCCCATTGTCTGAATTTCACTTCTTGCAGCCGTCCGTGCTGTCGACTCCCTGCCCCGGTTCAAGTCCAGGCTCAAAACCTGCTCCTGTTTGTCTCTGAGAGTGGACTGCCGCCACAAAATACGCATGCCCAGTGTGTCTGTACAGCACCTTGCATTCTATTGTGAAGTAATTGTGACTGGCCGCATCAGCCCGAGCACCCGGTGCTCTCCGCAATCATCGAGTCAGATCATTCTCATGATCACCAATGTCTTCTTGGTTCTTTCGGTAAAGTCACGTAGAAGGGAAATAATAAAATAAGAAAAATTAAACATACTAAAATAATTCTCATAATTGTTTGTTTTTAATTTATTTTATTTTATTATTTCCCTTCTACGTGACTTTACCGAAAGAACCAAGAAGATGAATCCCTGCAGTCACGAAAGCTTTAAATCGAAAGATCACCATGTATTATTTACACTGCTTCCTCCCATGCAGTACACAGACACTCTGCTTCCAATCACCTCCGATTAGCACGGTTGTCCACGTAGGCTGAAAAAGAAGTTCCGACGTACATTCACACGTGCATAATCCCATCACCCCTTCCTTCTCTTCCGACACCGACCCACACCGCAGTACAAGACTCAATATGAGACGGTGAAGATTCCAAGAGGCCACGCCACCACCACCGCAGCCACCGCCACCACCGCAGCCACCGCCGCAACAGCAACAGCAACAACCGAGCGCTTGAGCCTGACGGTGGCCGTGATGAACGCCACGGCCGAGCTGCTCCGGGGGAATGCGACCTCTGCGGAGGAGGCGGCCGGCTTCCTGCTCAACGCCACGGCGGCGCTGGCGGCGATGCGGCCCGGCGAGGCCGACCCGGCCGGCTCGGCGGCCCCAGGCGAGGAGGAGGAGGAGCTGGTGCCCGCCGCCGGGTCCAGCAACGGCATGAACGTGCTGGGCCTCGTGGTGTTCTCCATGTGCTTCGGGCTGGTGTTGAGCAGCGTGCGCGAGCGCGGGCAGGTGGTGCGTGACTTCTTCGACAGCCTCAACGAGACCATCATGAAGCTCGTCACCATCATCATGTGGTGAGTGCGGAGTGTGGGGTGGAGGGGGGGGGGTGTTTGTGCCAGGGGGACACGGGGGGGATGCTCGCTAACAGCAAAAATATGCCCCGTATAGTCTTAACAGACTTTTGTAACATGTGCTGTTAGCATGCACCTATGAAGGCCGACACGGCACACGAGGGGGTGGGTGGCCAGCACCACACCCGGCAGCCTTTGTCTCCCCAGTGGAGATGTTTACACACTGCACCAGGTACTATATTCATTTGAGGCTGAGCCAACCTAGGGGAGGCCCAGGATCAGTTCAGTTCAGACAATCGTCACTGGTGTTGGGCCGTGAGCAAGAATTTTACTCGGGGCACCGGGTTGTGTAGCGCGGCGCACCAACCACTACACTACAGCTCCCCCCCCCCCCCCCCCCGACGCCCGGACTGACACACGCGTGCGTCTCCAACAGGTACGCACCGGTGGGCATCATGTTCCTCATCACGGGCCGCATCCTGGAGATGGAGGACCTGGGCGCCGTCGGGGGCCAGCTGGGCCTCTACACGGTGACGGTGATCGCCGGCCTCGCCGTGCACTCCCTCGTGGTGCTGCCGCTGCTCTTCTTCCTCTTCACGCGACGCAACCCCTGGACGTACATCGGCGGAGTCCTGCAGGCCCTCGTCACGGCCCTGGGAACCTCGTCCAGGTGAGGGGGCACGGTCTGGGGCAGGGTCAGGAAAAAGATCAGGGCGACCGGGGTATGGTCGGGACAAGGACAGGGAAAGATCGGGGTGCGGTGTGTAAACATCGCCATGCGGGAGACAAAGGCGGTCAGACGTGGTGCTGGCCACCCACCCCACCGTATGCTGTGCCGGCCTTCATAGTACTTGCTCCAACAGTCTGTTAAGGTTATACGGTGGATTTTTGTCCTGTATAACATTGTGCGTTTGATAATCACTGGCCATTTCCGCCCCCCCCCCCCCCCCCACCCCAGCTCTGCGACTCTGCCCGTCACCTTCAAGTGCCTGGAAGAGAACCTCGGGGTGGACAAGAGGGTGACTCGCTTCGTGCTGCCCGTCGGGGCCACCATCAACATGGACGGCACGGCGCTGTACGAGGCCGTGGCGGCCATCTTCATAGCGCAGGTCAACGACTACGAGCTCAACCTGGGTCAGATCATCACCATCAGGTGCGGCGATGACGACGACGACGATTAACTATTACTGATGAGTAAATCTATTCCCAACACCTCCGATTAGTACGGTTGGCTACGTACGGTGCGAAAGAAGTTCAACATACATACCTACGACATACATACACTGCTTCCGTCATGCCGTCCTCACCTTTCCATCATTAAAAATGCACCACTATCATTCCATCATTAACATAATCTTACCCTCACCACCACCAATACTAAGATCACCATCACAGCACTATAACCACCACCATGATCATCATGTGATTCTCACTGAGCATCTAGCATTGTATGTTGTGGTACAGGTTGCTCAGGGCAGCATAGCGCTCGCCACATCACTCGACCCGCACTAAGTGAGCGATCTTCTGTCTCCTCGTGTGCCGGTTACGTGCGTCGGGGGCCCAGTATCACGGCCACAGCCGCGAGCATCGGTGCGGCTGGAATACCGCAGGCCGGGCTGGTCACCATGATCATCGTCCTCACGTCTGTGGGGCTCCCCACAGAGGACATCACCCTCATCATCGCCGTGGACTGGTTCCTGTGAGTGCCGCTCCCGTCTCCTCACTCTGATCTCTCCATACAATCGGTGCCTTCCACCGAGACCTCCCTCCCCATCTCGTCTTGCCCCTCGGACTCCACATCCTCCTCCTTGTCCCCAACCACCTCCTCGCTATCTCCACCTAAAGAACTCTTCTGCATCTCTGCTCCCATTCCACCTCCTCACTCCTTCCACTTAAAGCAGGGTGGGGGGGGGGACTCACTGGCCCCCCAGTCTCTGACTCCTGACCCACATAATTCTAGATTTGAAGCTTTCGTGCTGCAAGGATTCATACTCTTAGTTCTTTCGGTAAAGTCACGTAGGTAAAATTAATACAAATAAAACAATAAAAATCACGACGTTTCGGAGGCAACACAAGCTTCCGTCTTCAGGTGAAACCGTCACAGCAAAATATCTGTACCTTATATAGTGGTTGAGAGGGGAGGAGCCAGGAAGGGCAGCGGGGGAGGAGGAGTTGTGAAGTGGTCAATTACTGCTTTTGTTATACTGCTGGGTGGGTAAATGAATTAGATACGATTAAGCCGCTCTTTGTTATGCTGTTTATGCGCAAGTCACTGTAGGATGAATGGACTTGTGGTCAGGGACGTGTTGCGCAAGTAACTGTGGATGTACATAATAGAAAAGGGGCGGAAATGCCCATGTTTATACCAGTGTTGGCTGACAATAAAGAGTACTGTTAAACGTTAGGGATGTTAACACTCGGTGAAGTAAAATAGTGCCTGTCAGATAAGATGGTCACCTGAATGTCGTAAAATCTTATTCCTCCCGGCTGCTAGTTGCTTGCATGCATCCCTTGCAACCCCCTAGGTCATTGGGGTCAGCAACCTGCGGCTCTTTAAGGGCTACTTCGTCGTGACCTTATTCACGTGCATTGCGGCTCGTGAAAAATCTATTTGTTTATTTTTACGGAATAAAAAAAAATGACTCTTCTTGTTATTTTGGTTGCCGACCCCTGCCCTAGGCCGTGGGTGGATAACCTACGGCACGCAGGCCAGATATGGCCCACAACGCCAATAGCCACATGAGGCCTACAAATTATATCTTTCCATCACCGCAAGCATCTTAGCTGCACGAATCGGACACTACGACTAGGTCGGAATGCTTTTGGCTTCACGACACCACTCCATGTTTGGGGTTTCATTGCACTCAGTCACTACTGTCACTGCAAAGGCCTCTTTAAGCTTGGTTTAACAGGCATACTATTTTCTTGGTTTATTATTGGATCATGCTCGGGTGTGTGTCAACGTGTGGTCCGCACAAATATATTTGAAAGTGCTGTGCGGCCTTCCATAAGGAAGTTACAAATATCTATGGTGAATCCACACCTAAGCTGTGTATGGATTTCTGAAATAAGTTTAAAGCTTTATTTATGAGAAATATGCAGTGAAATCATACTCGGGCTCTCCATCAGCACGCTAGCGATGTCTTGTTGTGCTGCAATGGAGTGGCTTAGTGATGTTACGGACTATCGCGATACTATAACGAAGCGTCTGATCATAATGTTAACAATCCTTATTTATTTACTGAAGCTTCAGAGTCATTTTTTTTCGATTTAAAGCTTTCGTGACTGCAGGGATTCATATTCATGGTTCTTTCGGTAAAGTCACGTAGAAGGGAAATAATAAAATAATAAAAATAAAACATAATAAAATAATTCTCACGACGTTTCGGCCACAACGCAAGCAGCCGTCCTCGGAAAGACCTGTTCTTCACCTGAGGACGGCTGCTTGCGTTGTGGCCGAAACGTCGTGAGAATTATTTTATTATGTAATATTTTTATTATTTTATTATTTCCCTTCTATGTGACTTTACCGAAAGAACCAAGAAGACTTCAGATTCATGTTAAACAATCCAGCTCAATCTGGCTCTCATCTCGTAAATACATATCTTGGGTGGGTATGTAAAGCTCTGTTCTACGTTTTCAACTTCTTCCACCTCATCTTCTCCCAATCTTCTTGCTCCTCATTGGCGTTTGCTGTCCCACGCGCTCACTTGAGTCACCTCTTACTACCCTTTGCTTACACGTTCAGTGCTATAGTTACATTGATGTTCGAATTTGAGCGCCTCTCTCTGACAATCATGCCCACTTGCCTTTCTCATACCACATCACCATTACCACAAACACCACTTACCACTGTCATTATAATTAACATCGTAATATCACCCTTCCACCACCATCACCATCATGATCACTGATACTGAAATCACCACCGGCTCCACCACCACGTTAAATAATTATCATCATCACCACCACCACCACCACTATACAATCATGATCATTATTGCTGCCATCATCACACGACCACCACCACCATGATAACAAATCTATTCATTATTACTCCACCATAATACCATCACCACCATCACAACCATCATCACCATAACCATAAACATCACTGCTACCATAATCACTACGGACACAATCGTAATCATTTCATCATCATGGCCACCACCATCACCACTATAATCGTGATCATCATTGCCACCACGACTATCACCTCCACTATCACCACCGCCACCATCACCACTATAATCGTGATCATCATTTCCACCACGACCACCACGACTATCACCTCCACCAACACCACCGCCGCCTGCCTGCGCGCAGGGACCGACTGCGCACCACCACGAACGTGCTGGGCGACTCGCTGGGCGCCGGCATCGTGGAGCACCTGTCCCGGCACGAGCTGGCGCGCCAGGACGCGCTCGAGATGGCGGAGGCCGGGATGGAGGGAGACGTCGGTGGCATCGCCCCCCGCAAGGGTTCCATGTACCAGCCCATCTGTCCCGAGGAGCCTCTCGGCTGTCGGGCACGCGTCCCACACAGCGGCGGCACCGCCGCAGCCAGCAGCCTGGAGACCAACATGTGAAGCGGGGAGAGGGCCACGTGCTCGCAGGGCCGGCTGTGTTCGCTCGTAGCCATTGCAAACGTGGGCCAGCTCAATCCAATAAGATCTGTTATATCAACACCATGGCAAGTCACCTGTGTTAAATCATACAGCCATCACAACTCAGCTCTATCCAATCAGATCGATTATATTTGCCGTTGTAACTTGCTGACCCGCCCATACTGGACATCCGTGAAAAGAGCTTCATAGCTCATCGGATTCCTCCAGTATCAATATTCTGATTTTGAACACCGTGACAAGTCACCCGTGTTGAATTGCAGCCATGGCAACTCTATTCAATTAGTACCTCTCCATAATATGAAGGCCTCCTTCACACGATGTGTTTTTGTGAAGGATGTGTATTGTTTGCTTAGTTTGTTATATATATTCTCCACAAAGATGTTCGTGATTATTTTGTGTAATCTATTCAACCAGATCCACTGCAAGTACTGATGTCTATTCAATCGCTTCCGTTAAATCGGACCTATTACAATTTAAACACATCTGTGACAAACTGTCTTGGCAGTCGTGCACAAGCACACGTGGCATAAAGCAACTATTTCGTCAATGACATCCCTCAACAGGAAAAAATATAAATGTACATGAGTGACGTTTAGAGGAATGGCCCTTCATAGCATCTCTCTGCTAGGAATCTCTTTGCTATGCAGAAGGACCGTTGCCCAAAATGTCACCTCATATATCGTTTCCTCTCCAATGCCATGTTATTGATGAACGTGTTGAGTTTTTCGTGCAAGCCAGTTGTATTCATTCAGACCCATTGCAGCCAAGTTATCTATGAAGATGGGGGGGAATCTACGATCAAGTCACCCAGAATGTGGCGCATCCTATCCTATCCGATCTCAGAAACTAAGCAGGGCTGAGTCTGTTTTTTGCCTGGGTGGGAGACTGCCTGGGAATACAAGGTGGTGTGAACTATGACTGCATGGTGACCACGAGATGCAGTACAGCAAGTAGATTCTTGAATGTATCTGTACAGAACAAAGTTGTTGAGTCTGTGAGCGGTTGTATCTTTGCACAGATTGGCCGGTAATCAACTTGCTGTACTACATCCCACTTATATTGTTTTTTTTTCTATGGATGAGTATCATATGCACACAATGGCTCACAATTTGCGTGTGTAATAGTGCAGTAATATTGTGCTACACACATTACTGTGCTGTGGGCAGCTTTAGAGGGAGTCCAGCTGATTCCCACACGCGAAACCCAACAGCCTAATCACGAGATTGTGTCCTGTGCTGGAGTCATATTTACTCAGGGTTCAACCTTCTCTCTGAATATTTGCCTGGTCACCGGTAGACTGGAGTGGGGTGGTACGTGACTACTTTAGTAACCACAGCCACAGCGATAGGTATACTGGATGTGGTGTGCAGAGTAAGAATATATTTTACGCGTCGCCGACTTGGGAGAGACCCGGTTGAAATGAATCCCTCTTGTGTATTATGTCGTAGGAGACTCGATATTGAGTTATATTACTGTGCCGGTGTAAAAGCTAGATTTGTGTACAATGTGCCCGAGTGCATATCTTGTGTGTGTGCAGTGGTCTGTAAAGAAGTTAAAGTTACAAGTGAGTTATGCTGGTTTTGTAACGCCACAATAATCACATGGCACGTTCTACTCCATGCTTACCTGACTTAACACGAACTTGGTATACTATACATGAAGAGCAATTAACTTAAATACCAACTCATAACAACAATACGGGTTCACTTTATAAGCGTCTTGCACGTGATCTCATTCTCTTAAAGGAAATTACGAAACAATTGTGGCGTGCTGATGAGCACTAAGAACATGAAGCCAGTATAAGTTGACAGTAATGTGCAATCTTTAATTGAAAAGAAATAAATTTCGATTTAAAGCTTTCGCGACTGCAGGGATTCATATTCTTGGTTCTTTCGGTAAAGTCACGTAGAAGGGAAATAATAAAATTTAAAAAATAAAACAATATTCTCACGACGTTTCAAAATTTCTTGCTATGGTTTTCACACCTGATGATGATGGCTTGTGTTGCAATCGAAACGTCGTGATAATTTTATTGGTTTATTTTTATTATTTTATTATTTCCCTTCTACGTGACTTTACCTAAAGAACCAAGAATATGAAAATAAATACTTTGGTTCAGTCGAACTCTTCAGAGTTGTGATAAAAAATTCAAACTGTTCTAGATAACGACATTTATGCTTTCTCCATTTGTCTTATTATCAAGGAGTAGAGGGTATTATAGTGCGACATCATCGTTATTAAACGCAACAAATATAAGACTACGTTAAAGTAAAATACATTAATGTAATGTGGATGTATCAGTTGAGTTTGTGTCTAACCAACGTGCAGGCTATGTTATGCAAGCTGTGTAAGTGATGACAAAGCTAACCTGAGTTTAAAAAAATCTGCAAAAGCAAGTTTGAAACCGACAAGAATGATGTTTATTGAAGTGAGGTTATTTACGTGTATTGGCCAACCTTTATAGATTGTAGCATATAGTAAATTTCATTTTGCATTGTTTTTTTGAGCCAAGTACTGTAGCGTGTTTGTTTTTGTGTGATTACATTTTAATACTAAAATTCGTTCGTTCGCTGTGCTTTGTGCCGAATATAAACGTTCATTATCCGTAAAGGAGTGCAATTTGCGTTGGGTGACTTGTTTTTTAATGACACGGAGATGCATAAAGTGGAATACTCAAACAAAACAGTCCTCGTTTAAAGCGGCAGATGCGTTCCTTAAAAGTGCTGCGTTGAGCGAAAACAATTTCATCTTCTTGGTTCTTTCGGTAAAGTCACGTAGAAGGGAAATAATAAAATAAAAATAATTAAATACAATTCTCACCACGTTTCGGCCACAACGCAAGCAGCCGTCCTCTGTCGGAAAGACAGCGTCTGAATGAACACCACCATGCTTGGCAGCGTATATTTAAGTTAGGGGAGGAAGGGCGCCTTGACAAAGGAATTTGCATATCAACAGATGAATTTAGCATATTTATGGCAAATGCAGATATGGGATTAGTCACTACTTGTGGAATGTGTAGGTGGTGGGGGGGGGGTCTCACAGTCAAATTATGCTCGTGCATTTCGCCATGAGAATGAATGTAACGATAACGTTTGGCGAGACACGACGTCCTTACACGCGGCGAGGCGGTGGCACAAATAACGAGGGATATGCCACCGTGTTATTGTATCATTCAGCGTAAGGGGCCGTCCATAAATGACGTCACGCACCTAGGGGGGGGGGGTCAGACAATTGTGACGATATGTGACGAGGGGGGGGGGGGGTGAGAAATGTGACGTCACATCAAAATGCGAAACTTTAAATATAGATAACACGTTCTACTTAATTAAATAGACTTTTTAATGTTTTCTCCTATAACATCAGAGTGCAGCGGCACATTAAACACGCACTACAATGACAATAGTTTAAAGCGATTTGAAGCATGTTTTATTTTGGGGGGGGGGAGGGGGGCAGAGCTTTGTGACGTCATATTTGAGGGAGGGGGGGTATGACTTTGTGACGCCGTGTGACTCGGAGGGGGGAGGGGTCAAAAATCGTCCAAAATCGCGTGACGTCATTTAGGACGGCCCCTAATGTTGGTCCTAAACCTGTCCCGTGCTGCCATCTGCTGTCCAACATCAGAATCAATGTGCACAAGAGAATCGCGTAGAGAAGTAACATCGCCATCCCCACAGAGACGACCACCTCTGTTACCTGTGTTGCTCTCGCTTTGTATCTTGGTGATATCTGTCTGCTAATATGTCTGTCTATAGTTTTCTGGTTAGAATTTATGTCGCTATTTCATTATACCTGATGATGATTGCTTGTGTTGCAATCGAAACGTCGTATTCTATTATTTAATTTAATTTATTATTTTATCTTTAGACGTGACTTAACCGAAAGAACCAAATAATAATTCCTGCAGTCACGAAAGTTCTAAAATTAAGAAGTAACATCGCCATGCTGACGGACACCCAAGAATGAGAATGTTGATTCAGACCGCGGGAGGAGGAATCCGATCAGCAATGAAGCTCTTTTCACAGACGTACAATCGGGCCTCGGGGGTCAACCAGTTAATACAACAGGTCCATCACTCTGTGTTGCCTCCGAAACGTCGTGATCTTTATTTTATTTTATTTTTATTAATTTTGATGTTTTACCTACGTGACTTTACCGAAAAAAACCTAAGAATATCCATCACTCTTCTTGGTTCTTTCGGTAAAGTCACGTAGAAGGGAAATAATAAAATTAAAATAAATAAAACATAAAATACAATTTCGATGTAAAGCTTTCGTGACTGCAGGGATTCATCTTCTTGGTTCTTTCGGTAAAGTCACGTAGAAGGGAAGTAATAAAATAATAAAAATAAAACATAATAAAATACAATTCTCACGACGTTTCGGCCACAACGCAAGCAGCCGTCCTCAGGTGAAGAACAGGTCTGTCGGAAAGACAGCGTCTGAATGACAGACCTGTTCTTCACCTGAGGACGGCTGCTTGCGTTGTGGCCGAAACGTCGTGAGAATTATTAAAATTTTTATTTTAATTATTGTATTATTTCCCTTCTACGTGACTTTACCGAAAGAACCAAGAAGATACAACAATGACGTCGCCGCGTCGTCTCGCGCAGTTCGCGAGCGATGACGTCATCGCGCTGTTACGCGTGTCTACGCGCGATGACGTCATCGCGCTGTTACGCGTGTCCACGCGCGATGACGTCATCGCGCTGTTACGCGTGTCCACGCGAGATGACGTCATTGCGCTGTTACGCGTGTCCACGCGCGATGACGTCATCGCGCTGTTACGCGTGTCTACGTGCGATGACGTCATTGCGCTGTTACGCGTGTTTACGCGCGATGACGTCATCGCGCTGTTACGCGTGTCCACGCGCGATGACGTCATCGCGTTTCCACGCGTCACATCCGCCCCTCGAGTCGCACTGTACCGAGGAGACGGGTGGCGTTTCCGTCATCACCACCGCCACCATCAACAACATCAACAGCAGCAGCAGCGATAATAATCATCATTATCATCATAATAACAACGAAACAATCGTCCTCATTATCACAGGCAACAGTTGTGATAGATATAGTAATGGTTATAAGAGTGAACGTACATTTACTGAGTAGGTGAACTCGTGAATAAGACGACATGGCGACCCCGGTGAGCGAGCGATGTTTGTGTTTGTGCCTCGTTATGGTGCTCTGTACCACCGTAGGTTATGTGCGGACTTCTTCTGCGCCCTACGTAGCCACCCTTTGCCCAATCGCAGGTCCGGAATCTGGAGTCGGTCCTTGGTTTTTCCCCGTCGCGTGAGACGTTAATCCCCGTGAATGGTTTTGAGTAAACTAATGAAACCTATTTCGATTTAAAGCTTTCGTGACTGCGGGGATTCATATTCTTTGTTCTTTCGGTAAAGTCACGTAGAAGGGAAAGAATAAAATAATAGAAATATAAACAAATTTTATATTATTATTTACCTTCTACGTGACTTTACCGAAAGAACCAAGAATATAAACAATATATTATTTTATTATTTCCCTTCTACGTGACTTTACCGAAAGAACCAAGAATATGAAGAAACCATTGTCAAGTCACGGCTGTTGTTGCTCTCGTTATAAAGTTGACGGGGGGGGGGGTTGGCTTCGCAGTGACCGTCACTCACGAGCGTGTTCCTTGACTTTAAAATAAATTGTTTTGTTTTCATTGACCAAGCTTCGTGTGGGGGACGTTATGTGACGCGCGGCTACAAGGTGATTGTGTTGGTTTTTTAGTCATTATTATCAGACCGGTCGACTCGGTTTTACATTAATAGCTGGTGCGGTGTGAAGTAAACATCGCCACTGGGGAGACAAAGGCGGCCGGACGTGGTGTTGGCCACCCACCGCCTTGTGTGCCGTGCCGGCCTTAATAGGTGCTCGCTAGCAGAACTGGTCCCAATCGTCTTACAGGCTATACAGGGGATCTTTGTCTATTATAAGACCTGAGGTATCATACCCATCATCGTCTCTTATATCCCAAGCTGTCAAACCTGTAGTATTTAAATTCAAGAAACGTGTTATGCCGTGTCCATCACAACGTTGATTGTGCTGTCTGTTGGTCGCTTGATGTTTCTGTCCTTTGTTCAGCAACTGTGTAGAATAAAACAAAGACTGCTTTAATTATATTGACCTCAGGATCTGTTCAATTAGACAATGTTGTAAGATGACGTCTCTGGAAGCGTGTGGCTGGAGGCGTGTTTGTGTTTTGCGAGAGTGTTCGTGTGCCATATGTGGTCGGCTCGAAGTTGCACTCGAATTTTGTCACAAGCATCTTGGTGACATAGCCGCCTCTTCGTGGCGAATGGCGTTGTTGTTGTACTTTATATTTCGTAGCGAACCCGATATCCTGAGCCACGCCGACTGAACCATCAATGTGTACCCGATGCAATAAGTTAGCACCATGAAGACGGTCAGACAGTTCAATGGCCACAACACCCTTTCACGTGACATGCTAGCCCTTAATAGGTGTTCACTAACAATGCTTGCCCCATATAGTATGTGCGTCTAAACGTGTGTGTGTGTATATCCTGCAGGGTGGCAGCTCTCAGACAACGAGCACGGAGTATGTGGTGCGTGTGCCCAAGTGAGTTCCCATTGCTCCCAGTGTCGCAGTTATCTCTGTGGACACACAGTTTACTGCAACCACATGACATGACTTTGGGTTATATTTAATCCACAATCTACTGTTGGTGCCTTTATCACATTCATCAAGAGCCTGACTCCTGGGCTCTTGATGAACAGCATGAGAACATCGACAGCAGGGCATCTGAGAAGGTGACACCGTGAATAAGTAGGCAAATAAAAAAAACTGAAGTAGTAATGTGATGCCATCTTAAAGAGGTAGTTCACCAACATGGGGTGACACAAGAGTTGTTCATGACATGAAGCCAATAACACAGTTACAATATCGTTTGGGGAAAATACTGCATATAAAACGGGCGGAGGGCCACCTTGGCAAAAAATGGTGATTCTCTTTATGAAATTGACGTTTCCAGAAATGGCACAATTACAGAAATGTCATGTGGCTGTCAATGCACATTCACGCTTAAGCTTACTGATAGAAATCCTATTTCACTGCTCCTCATTGATTCCCTCATTCGTCATCCGTACGTGAAAATATAAATTTTTCGGAAGTATTTGGTGACAATTGCATTGCTAATTTTGAGCGTTTCGACACATCTGTTATTTGTGCAGAAACAACACGAAGAGGTTCAACCTCATGGCCTTCAACCCTGCTGACAAGGTGGACTTCTCTGCCTGGACACAGGTGCGTTGGTGCCTTCTCCCCTGTCTGCCGAGAATTGAGATGGTCGAGGGAATTTCAACTTTGGAGCTTTGGTTTTATCGTTTGAATAACTACGTTTATTTTTTACACAATGTACATTTACGTTTTTTGTCTCATTTTCGGGTTTTTTTTCCTTTTCCTATTAACAAATCGCCCAGAATGGACCCAATATCAGATCTCGAAAGTTAAGCAGCATTTTGTGAGCCTGGATAGTGCCTGCATGGGTGGCTACCAAGCACAAAGGACAGTTGCAACAAGCAACCGTCTTTTGTGCTTCATGGTTTTGCACTCCCCCCATCTTAAACTCGCACTGACCAGCATGATGAAGTATGGTCAAATGTACCCCACTGCCTACAAGGCTTTCATTCAGCAGTGGGTTTCAGAACGGGCTGTACAAGTACTTGTTGTAGCACGCTGTAACGACCGGCGCACAATCTCACGTAGGCGAAGATGGAACGGGACCTGACGAACAAGAAGATGTACGGTGAAGAGGAGTTGCCCGAGTTTGGTGCTGGCAGCGAGTTCAGGCGCAAGCAGCGTGAGGAGGCGCGGCGCAAGAAATACGGCATCACTCTGCGCAAGTTCAAGATCGAGGACCAGCCCTGGCTGCTCAAGGTCAATGGGAAGGCGGGCCGCAGGTGAGACCCATCGCTGTGACGCCTGGTGAGGTGCCGTATGAGGCCTGGTGAGGTGCCGCGTGTGGCTTAGTGAGGTGCCGTGTGTGGCGAAGGAGAGATGGCGAGAGGGAATCGATCTACCAATCGGAATTTTTACTCTCAAACATCCACTTGTGTTGAGCGTTGTAAGCAAGCAATAATATATTTTGACTGGCCTATTATGGGCTTCTAAATATGTTAATATTTTGTTAAGTATTTTTATTATAATTCACCTGCCATGACCATGAATCAACAACATAGACAATGGGAAAAAAAATTAAGCTAAAACTTAAGCATGTGGATATGCATGCTGGGAATTAGACTGAGAGATAGAAAACTTTAAATCATCTCACAACATTTATACCACGACTCTTATGCAGTACATCTCAATACGAATATGACAAAAACGACAAGTAGCAACATCATATTGACTGCTATTAAAAGTGGGCTTTGGTAAAACATTTTGTTAGAAGAGATTATGGCCTGTGGTCGAGACTTAACAATGTTGTGGTAGCCAAAGAAGGAAACACACTCAAAATGACACTCACCACAGATTTGCAGTGATGAGCTCAGTTCGTATGCATCGTGAAACTGGGAGAAATGGTCACAGCATCTGGCTGCCTTCATCAATTGACAGGTCGTAGCTGATGAGTGGCTTCTTCGCTGTTGGCTGCAGGTACAAAGGTGTGAAGAAGGGCGGGGTGACGGAGAACGCCTGCTACTACGTGTTTGCGCAGTGCGCTGACGGAGCGTTTGAGGCATTCCCCGTGAGCAGCTGGTACAACTTCACGGCGCAGTCCAAGCACCGCACGCTCACTGCCGAGGAGGCCGAGGAGGAGTGGGGGCGGTGAGACAGCGCACACACAGACCCTGTGCACCTGGGTGATCATCATCGTCGTCGTCATCATCAATTCGCTTGGACAGCTGGGGTCATGTTAAATTGACTTTAGCTAAATAAAATAATGAAAATAAAACACAATAAAATAATTCTCACGACGTTTCGGCCACAACGCAAGCAGCCGTCAGACCTGATTTTCACCTGAGGACGGCTGCTTGCGTTGTGGCCGAAACGTCGTGAGAATTATTTTATTGTGTTTTATTTTTATTATTTTATTACTTCCCTTCTACGTGACTTTACCGAAAGAACCAAGAAGATGAATCCCGGCAGTCACGAAAGCTTTAAATCGAAATTTAGCTAAATAGTGAAATATCTTGACTTAAAGCTTTCGTGACTGCAGAAATTCATATTTTTTGTTATTTTCTTTGAACCTATCTACGTGACTTTACCGAAAGACCCAAAGAATAAAAATAGTGTTATGTCATGAGATTAATTATCCTTTTGGATCTCTTGCAGAGTAGTGCAACCCTTAATGCTCGACAACGGCAAACGGAAATGGATACCACAGACCCGACTTGGAAATCTCTTCAAGTGACTTTTCTTCCACACGGTCCAGAGCAAGGTTCATCACATGATAGTCAAACAGATATTTTTAATTTTCAGAGCTGTAATTTAGCCAAATTAGTTGTAAAACCAGATTTACTCTGATGGTTGTGTAGAGCATTCATTGGCGACTGAGCTGAGACCATCCACTCTCTACACTTGAGAACCCGATTTAATCAAAGCTGCCTGGATTCAAACCCGGATCTTACCGGTGCCAACTCAGCACTGATCTTTTAGCAAGTGGGCTTCTGAAAGTTATATTTTTTGTACAGTTTGAGTGTCATACCCCAGCATCTAATATCAGCATTTATTTAACCCACAGAACATCAACGAAGTTTTAAGGTACTTGTGATCCATTACCCTTGATGCAATGATTGGTGAATCATATACACTAGTGATTCCACCAACCTCCTCTGGACTGTGAGTTGGCTTAAGAGATGGCAGCACAGGCAGTGGATTAATACTGGTTGGAACCTCCTGGTTACACCAACCCACAGGGGATTATTGTGTCCGTCAGTGCAGGGAGGGGCTGGGTGGGGAGGGAGGGGCTGGGAGGGGAGGGGCTGGGTGGGGAGGGTGGGGCGGGGTGGGAAGGGTGGGGCTGGGTGGGGAGGGGCTGGTCTCCCCGTGATGCCCTTAACAAACTCAACGTTTAACTTACTCACGCCGGCTTGTGCCCGCCCTCACAGTCGGGCATATTTGCGGGATACACCACGCCGCCGTTGACCCTGGCCATTGACCGAGCAACCCAACGTTCCTACCAGCTCCCTCCGCAGGAATGTGTTGAACCTGTCTGTGAGAACCCCTGGGTGGCATCCGCTTGTATGTGTGTGTGTTCTCTCCGGGTTCTCCGAGTTTTAATAACCCTCTCCTATCCTCTGTCCGCCTCGAGCAGGCGGAATAAGGTGCTGAATCACTTCGCGATCATGGTGCAGAAGCGGTTGAAAGAGGGTGGGGAAGAGGTCGATGATGCTGATGAGGATGGCAAGAAAGGGAAGAAAGGCAAGAAGAAGAGCGGTGACCTGCGCATCTCTGATCTGGAGGAGCACCTGCAGATGTCCTCGGATAGCGAGAAGGACTCCGATGACAATGGTGAGTGCGATTGTCCTGCTCCGAATTGTTTAATTCACAATAAAGGGTTTTTGGGTTAGATCGCATAAATATAAATGTGTCTCTAACCCCGCCACCACCCGACACAGCCAAATTAGAGAGTAAACCCACAACATTTACATTTTAACTATTTAGCACATTTGCAAATGCGATTTGTAAATTTGATCCTTAATGTATTTAAAGTTTAATTTTAATGTGCAATTTTTCTTCAGGGAAAATGTTGTCTTGGTGTTGTCTGGGACTTTTGTGCCATTGTGTTGGTGTCTTTCCCAAGCTTGAGAATTGATGATGCAACTTATATTCTTTATTTATTTAAGGGGCACCACGGGTCGTGTGATGTTATCTTCGCGTCGGCCGTGGCTGATCATTGTTTTAATGCGGTTGGCTCACGCGAAATTGATTTCTCTAAGACGAAGGTACTTTGTAAGCCCACTGGCTATCAACAAAGATTCGTTCATGAAGCCATCCACATATACAGACACCATTTCAACCGAGAGGATGAGTACAAACTCGGCAATCATTGGAAGGACGTCATCAACCAGTTTAAGTTATAACTGGCTGTGATGTTCTTATCCTGCCACTTTCCGATGTTAGTTTTTATTTTCCCCATGGCTTCGGCTCCGATTTTACATTAACAGGTTAAAAAATGTTCACACCAACACAGCCACCTCTACGCGCCGGCCTCGACGGCATTAACATGCTAATCTCTCACATTAACATAGCCACCTCCACGCCCTCGTCATAGAGACCGCTCGATGATCTTACAGTAACATGCTAATCTCTCACATTAACATCACTAGCCCCGCCCAAGTCGTTTATAACCCTTGGGCTACACCCATTTTAAACCTTTAAAACAGTCTGCCTCAGAAGCTTTCCCCCTCTTCTGATGACGATCGCTTGTGTTGTGATCGAAACGTCGTAGTTTTTTAAATTTTATTTTCATTCATTTGAACCTATCTACGCCACTTTACCGAAAGACCCAGAGAATATGAATTCCTGCAGTCATGAAAGCTTTAAGTCAAGACTCGCTTCGATCCTTATATAGAGGCGTAGATGTGGTGACCACTCTTCTGCGCTCTTGTGGAAAGTGTGGGGGGGGCATTATGCGAGCCCTTTGATCTTGTCCTTCCTGTCTATTGTGTGTATTAAAATAGCTGTACCAACGGTAATCCCTATTGAAGTATGCTGCCCTTTATACGCATTAATTTAAATAATGTATGTTTTGATGATTCGTTTCCACGCAGCACTAAGGCGGTAGCTATCCGAACGGTTAAAATTATTTTTATTTCTTTCAATTTCGATAGATTCTCTAATTAGTCTTTACAACCCTTACTAGTTGGCTGTGGCGGGTGGTGGCAGGTTTTAATGAAACATTTAAAAATGTACGCGATCTAACCCAAAAAAAACCTCTTATAGAGCTATATATCTCAGTGGGTCTCACTTGGTAAAATAAAAGTTTTTTTGATATAGAAACATGACTGGTTGAGTTATCATGCACCAATTATGTAAGCCGTAGCCTGGTGCAGCATGCCAACCACTGCATTACTGCTCCAACTGGAAAATTATTTATGCTGTGTTAATTTGTGTACAGATGCGCCTCATTATTTTATTTACGGGTAATGGCACAAAGTTTTTGAAGGAAATTTCACTCGTAGCAAAGAAGTAGAATAAACACAGCACGTCTGCCTTGGTCCACGTAATCCTGCCTGCGATAATTGCGCAGCCCAAACTGCCTCTCCCACGTAGTTCACCTTCACAATTTTTCCCCGCGCGCCCTTCCCGCTCCGTCTCTCCCAATTCCAGAAGAGGGAAGCCAGAAGCGTCCGGACAAGGGCAAAGACAAGAAGGCCGCGGCCAAGAAGAAGAAGAAGAAGAAAGGCAGCGACGAGGAGGACGTGCTCGAAGAGAGCGACGACGGCGATTACGAGGGGCTGGAGGTCGACTACTTTTCCGATGAGTCCAGGTCTCAAACTCCTTTCGCAACAGTGTACTTTTTCAAGCATCGCTTCATGTTGATTGCGCGCGTGCATGCAATACAAAAACGTTGCCTGTGCTATCTTTCACATTGATATGTCAAAAAGGTATGTTGTCAACATAGACATCGATTTAACAGTTAAGAATTAATTGAGTGTCATTAGCAAGGTGTAGTCTGTTTGCCTGCGACCGAACCACTCGGAATAAGACAGATCTCGGAAGCTTAACAGGATTAAGCTTGTGCTTGGACTGGTGATCACCGTGCATATTAGGTATTATAGCGTGCACGGGCGATGCTACTTCCATCGACAGCAGAGGGCGGTGCAGCAAAATCCATTGCTGTGTACCTTACTTGTATGCTCCTACATATTCCTCGCCTTCACCAACCCGCACTGACTAGTATGGTCAAGTCAGAATCGGAATCTTTAGACTGGAAGAATCTTTAGACTGGAAGAACGGTCAAATAACCACCACAATCTGTGTCGTGTGAGTAGGCCTTCTTCCAGCAGTGAATTTACAACAGGGTTTGTGCAAGTACATGCAATCTGTTCAAGAAATCCCATTCAGCAGAAATGATATGTAATCGTAGAATGTGTAAAAGTGTTGAACGTGATTGGTCGTTTGTTGCAGCGAGGAGGAGGAACTCGACAATGAGAAGCTGAAGCAGTCGACGGAGAAAGACGTACAAAAAGGTGAGGGAACCTCTCTCTTTTGCTTGTCGCGCGATATCTCTTTGGGCGGTCTCGTGGAACGGTCTCGTGAGTGGCGAACCTTGCAGTGCTGCGAAGCGGTGCGATTGAAGGCTCCCGTTTGTGGTTGTTTTCGTGGCTGTGGGGCAGGCGTGGACGAGGAGGTGGGCAGCAGCGACGAGAGTGAATCTGAGCACGAGAATGAGGAGGAAAAGAAGGAAGAGGAGGAGGAGGAAGGAAAGAAAACACCGGTCTTGGAGAAGAAGGAAAAGAAAAAGAAAGGTTGAGATCTTGGGTTACTTCTTGTGCCCCACGTTTGTGCACCTTCATTCAGCACATTTTGCTTGTGCTGCTGGGAGTGGCTTAGAGGTCTGAGATGAGACTGCTGAGATACTGAGCACGAATCCAGGCAGCCGCCTGTGATTGAACTGGTTTCTGATGGTCTCACGAATGACTGCACACAAAAAAAAATCCACCACGTAAAATTTGGTTCAACAACTCATCTAGCTACAAATATCGATGTGACCGTGTTGAACATTACTCGTTGTGGAAGAGAGGGTTAGTAAAGTCGTGGCCCTTACTGTGCGCCAGAGGACAGTTAAGGGGATCTCCGAGGTATCCCTGTGAAAATGAGCTTTCTAGCTTATCGGATTCCTCAATTTTAAATAAAGATTCTTGATTTCAAGGACCATTGTCTTCCATGAAAGGTTATACTTGCTCTGCGAGAGATCCGAATGGATACTTCATCTTATGACATCAGTTGCACAATTGGGATACAAATCGGGAAAAGGTATTTTTTCATACTTTAAAAAGCCTATTATTTGGGGGCGAATTTATTATTATACTGATGCGACGGTATTATGACATATATTTTTAATCACTCTGTTAATGTGTGCACAGCCAGCGACACGGAGTCTTCGGAGGAAAGTGACATTGACGACGCCACATCCTCAGCCCTCTTCATTGCTGTAAGTTCACGGAATGCCTGTTTCTCATGGCTAAGCCCTTGCAGTCTGGAATACCATCCGACTCCAGATTTGAAGCTTTCGTGACTGCAAGGATTCATATTCTTGGGTTTTTTTTTACTTGATACAGCAAGCGTGCTGTGACGGTTCCACCTGAAGATGGAAGCTTGTGTTGCCTCCGAAACGTCGTGATTTTTATTTTATTTTACTTTTATTAATTTAAATTTTTTACCTACTTGACTTTACCGAAAAAACCCAAGAATACAATCCTACTCCACACTGGACTCAATATTAGTCAAATCTAAAACCAAGTGTCCTTTTTATTCACTCAGGGTATACGCTGACAAAATAGATAATCACATTTTAGACACTGGACCGATCGATATAAATGAGTCGTAACATGTTGGAACTCTACCACCCCTCCTGTGAATGTTTCATTGGTTTGGTTGGGGAGTTGGGATTGTGGTCTGAGATGTGTAGACCCCATGGACTAATTTATTTGTTGTGATAACTTTTTTTTTCTGTTTATGCTTTTTGTTTTGGTGCCATTTCTTAATTTATTTATTAATTTTTGGTTTTGCTAGGTAGTAGGGTTTTCATTTTCTTGGTAGTGGCTTATATGGGATTTGGTCCTTATATATAATTAATGTACAGCGTTATGGGATGCTATTAGCACGAATGGCACTTTACAAAATCAAAGTATTATTAATCCCACTCATTCCTGGTTTTCGGTGGAATGGCGTTGCCTCCCCTGTTGCACATGCTACGCTGAAACGGAACAATACAAATGTAATATTTCCAGAAAAAGAAGCCGTCCCCACCGAAGCGGGCGAGGAAGCCGTCGGGGGGCAGCCGGAGCTCGAGCCGTGGGAATAGCCGCCCCAGCTCACCCGCGGTGGAGAGCGGCACTTCCGCCACGCTGCGCGCCGCCGCCAATAAGCTCGAGCGCGGCACGCCGGCTCGTATGTTACTCATGCACACACGCAGACAAAGACAAAGATCCCCCCCCCCATATAGCTTGAACAGTCTGTTGGGGCAAGTGTTGGTTAGCAAGCACTTACGAAGGCCGACACGGCACACTTAGGGGGTGGGTGGCCATCAACGCGCCTGGCCGCCTTTGTCTCCCCCAGTGTCAATATTTACACATCGCAGCTGGTACTCATTTGAGACTGAGTCGACCTAGGGGAGGCCCAGGACCAGTTCAGATAAGCGGGAATCGAACCCGGGTTGCCGGGCTCCTAGTGCAGTGCGCTAACCGCTACACTACCGCTCCCCCGCATGCACATACACGTTGTGTTTACTCAAATCATGTGTGCTCACAACCAGTCACGCTTGTGCACGAGCACAAGTTTCTCGCAAGGGTCACCTAGCAACAGTTGGATGGTGAGCTGTAGGATGGGGGTGGGGAACACACACACACTCTACAGACTGGATATGGCCGAGACTGCATTGTACACGGCCTGTGGCCACATGAGCCCAATCACTGAGAAACATCAGCCCAAACAATATTTAATTGTCACTGCAAGCATCTTAGTTGCACTGATCCGGTACTAAAGTGGAATGTTTTCAACCTGGCAGGAACACTGATTCTAATTGCCCAGTCACTACTGTCACATTATTATTGGATAACACTCATGTGTGTGTTAATGTGGAAGTCCTATTTAGTCCTCAACTAAAAACATAACACAATCAATATCACTGCCTTAAAAGAAAAAAATATTTTATAGACAACATTTCAGGTAACGACCCTTCTTGAGAGCACCAAATAACTCTGAAAGGAAAAGGTTGGTGATGTGAATATAGAAAAAATAGAAATCATCTGAATGCCACCACTTCTAAAGACTGTTTGCTAAAATGAGAAACTACATTAGAGTAGAAGGATGGTCGTGGGGGGGGGAGACGGAACAAGCAAACACTGGGAAGAGAAGAGAGATGCTGTGGCACAGCCCTTGATGAAGCAGCAACCAGGGCCCAGCAACGACAATATTGAGTCTGAGGGAAAAAAGCCGGCTCAGCCAGAGCAGCACCAACGAGTCCCATTGCATCCTCCGGGTGGGCCGGAGCCCTTCACCGGCAAGCCTCATTACAGATGACTTTGTAGCCAGAATTGTAAACAAATGCATTGAGCTTTTGAATGGGGACCGGCGATGATTGTTGTGCTGTTGCGGATGGTGTAGGCAAGCTGCTGGCAGAAGGCATGGACAAGCCGGCAGCTAAGCGACAGAAACTGGAGACTCCGCCCTCATCGGGGAAATCTACACCCAGCTCTGGGTAAGGCTGTTGTGCTTGTATTTGTAGCAGAGTTAAGTGTAATGATTCATGCAAATTGTGATTTCTAGACAGCAAAAGTTGTGACCAGTGGATCAGTCCTTCCGTCATGCCTTGCATATCACATGGCATCGCCATACTTGCCTGTATTATGGTAACTCAAAAAAGCCTTAGTGGCCATTTCATTTTATATAGCAGCAGGATAATTAGACAATCATGCAATGTTTTCTACCTTGTTAGGAATCGGATTATATCTATCATTGCCCTACTGCTGCCTATGCATCAGGCGCTAGATTTGGACAAGCCATTCCTCATACTTTTGTGGGGACAGTTGGGCACTGCCTAAGGGGCGACAATAAATCCAAACATGGATGAATGAATGGCTTTCATACTTTTTCTGTAATCGGTTTTGCACGATAAGCACACACACTGATGCCCTTGCGCCCGTTTTCCTTCAGTGACGTGCAACTGACGGAGGACGCGGTGAGGAGGTATCTCTCCAGGAAGCCCATGACTACCAAGGACCTCCTCAAGAAGTTTCAGACCAAAAAGACGGGGCTGAGCAGCAACCAGACGGTGAACATCATCGCACAGATCCTGAAGAAGCTCAACCCTGAGCGCAAGCTCATCAGCGACAAGATGCACTTCTTTCTCAAGGAGTCCAGTGGCTGAAGTGTTCAGATGATGTTGGGGGACGTCGGGGGGATGGTCATTGCAGAGTTGGTGGGTCTTTGGTAGCAGCAGTCCAGGGGAAATACAACTTGAGCTATTAGACCAAAGGTCTTGGCCATATTCAGGGCATTGGATGAAACAAATTCTTTCTCATACGTTTTTTTTTTATAACGTGATGAGCTTCCATTGCAGCTGTAAGATGTGTGAATGGATTTCATGTTCCCCAAAGTCATAGCATTTTGGCTGCTGTGTGTAAGAGTATCAGTGTTTGTCATAGGCAGTGTTGTTACCTGTAATGTAGGGACTCCTTTGAAGACAAACTTTCGAAGCGTTGTCTTTGTAAAGGACTCTTTAATCCAGACGTCCGTGTTTTTTTCAGAAATTGTTTTTAGCTGTGTTCATCATAAATGCATCTCGTCTGCATGTCAGTGTCAGTGGGTCGAGTTATTCTCATCTTAACCATAGCTTTGCTGAAAAGTTATTTTCACACATTCGATGAGTTTGCAGCAGTCCAGGTCCCAATTGTAACGAAGTGTGGGACATCACACGGATGTGAAATGCCCAAGAGCTGTTAACAGAGCCGTGTGGTGGTTTGTGTGTGCTCAATGCGAACTTTTAGAGCGAATTGTCGGCAGTATCGTAACTTGTCATGTTGAGTGTGTGACATATTTGTCAATCAAAAACATTTTCTTGCTGCTTTTGACGTCCCCTTTGTGAATAAATAACGATAAATTTGCACACTAAAGTTGACATCGCAAAAAGCAAATGTTGTTTACTCTACCAGATTTTGTGACATTTTGTAACTGACTTTTTTGTTCCCCAGAAATAAATGTACCAATGCACACACCATTTGTGCATTTTTGTTATAAGGTCGTGCTCATTACACACCAAGTGCTTACCACAAATGAACCACAATACCTTGCTAAATCTTGTCAAGGAACAAACCACCAATTTCCTGCAGGAACACACCTGTTGTGCTGAACTCGCAACAAATTGGCATATTTTGTTTTTGTGACAAACCTTACTCATTGGTGGTGGCAGGTTTAACGACATTTACACAATCTAACCCAAAAAAATTAACCCGTTAAAACAAAGTTTTTCATTATAAATCCTTTATATGCGTGTTCAATGGGCCACAACCCAGCCCACATTGGTCTTTGAAACGGGTGGCTAGAGTCCTCTCGTCCTCTGGCTTGAGATGGCTGCCACCTATGGGTCAGATGATTGCCTGCCACCATTAAGCAATTGGTAATTAAATATAAAAAAATTTACCTAAAAAGTGAAACGTTTTTTAATTTTTTTTTTCACGAAAATAAATTGTCACGCACAACGAGTCTGTGTGCAAAATGTCAGCTCGATTGGATCACGGGAAGTGGGTTAAAAAACGACCGAAAGATTTGCACGGTCGTAAGCAAGCACGCAAGCAAGCAAGTGAACTTAATATAAAGGATTTTAAAAGGATATTAGTCGCGAAAGCCTACGTGTTAAACTTCCTCCAGAAGTTTGCGCATCACGACAGGTGAAGTGTCCAAAAGGTGACAGCCGTCTCCCTCGAACTAAGCTCTCAATCACTTTCGGAGGCCGGTCGCAGATGCAGTAGTGACATTTCTGAACCATCGGATGCCTTGAGTTCACGCCCGGTTAAAATAAACTACCGTGTTCTTTGTCTTTAGGTAAAATCGCGTAGATAGTTTAAAAAAGAATAAAATGAACAGCAAACTACGACGTCTCGATCACAACAAGTGACCGTCATCGGGTGGAAAAAAGGACGAAAAATCTAAGGTTTTACTGTATACAGACAATTTCAACCGAGAGGATGGGTACAAACTCAGCAATCATTAGAAGGACGTAATCAACCAGTTTAAGTCATAACTGGCGAAGATGTTTCCATCTTATCACCTTCCGATGTTAGTTTTATTTTACTAAAGATGGGACAAGCAATTCCAGTTCCTGCGGTGTCGCCTCTGTATTGGACGTACCACACAAGTTGTTAATTTCTCCACGTCTCATGCGGCTCCCCTACTCCTGATTTCACATTAACATAACCATCTCCGCTTGTGCTGGTAGCAGGGCACTTGTGCCCTGCCCACTTCGTTCTGATACCAGGACGCTTGGGCTATGCTCATTTTAAACCTTTAATAAGTAATATTAAAAAAAAACTTTTTTTAAACTCAATTTAATGTAATGTACCGTACTAGTAATGGAAGAACTCCACGACTCCAGGAAGTGGCCCCGAGGCTTGCCATAACGAAAGGGGCCGTGGTGATTTACAGCCAACGTCAGTTGAGCGTGGACGATTAGAGCCAAGCCGAAACATATAAAAAATGTTTTAAAATGTTTTTATTTTTTATGATAGAATATAGTATTGTCATCAGTATGACATAAGTACAGTGAGGGAAAAAAGTATTTGATCCCCTGCTGATTTTGTACGTTTGCCCACTGACAAAGAAATGATCAGTCTATAATTTTAATGGTAGGGTTGTTTGAACAGTGAGAAACAAAATAATCCAGAAAAACGCATGTCAAAAATGTTATGAATTGATTTGCATTTTAATGAGGGAAATAAGTATTTGACCCCCTCTCAATCATAAAGATTTCTGGCTCCCAGGTGTATGTTATACAGGTAACGAGCTGAGATTAGGAGCACACTCTTAAAGGGAGTGCTCCTAATCTCAGCTTGTTACCTGTGTAAAAGACACCTGTTCACAGAAGTAATCAATCAGATTCCAAGCTCTCCACCATGGCCAAGACCAAAGAGCTCTCCAAGGATGTCAGGGACAAGATTGTAGACCTACGCAAGACTGGAATGGGCTACAAGACCATCGCCGAGCAGCTTGGTGAGAAGGTGACAACAGTTGGTGCGATTTCGATTTAAAGCTTTCGTGACTGCAGGGATTCATCTTCTTGGTTCTTTCGGTAAAGTCACGTAGAAGGGAAGTAATAAAATAATAAAAATAAAACATAATAAAACAATTCTCACGACGTTTCGGCCACAACGCAAGCAGCCGTCCTCAGGTGAAAACCAGGTCCGTCGAGGCGACAGAGTCTGAATGAAACAGCACACGAGCTTGGAGCATATATATAAGCTGGGCGCATTGACAAAGGAATTTGCATATCAAAAGGAATTTAGCATATTTATGGGAAATGCAGGAATGTGATTAGTACTGCATATGCATGTGCATTATGCAGGATTAACAGCATCAAAGGGAGCTGCTGTTACTGCTGCTGCTGAACTTGCTGCTGCTGCTGCAGTTGCTGCCTTATCCATTTTAATATAACACTATGTATTATTCTACCCACCCTAATGTGTATCATACTGCTATATGTTTACTGTACAATTACGTAATTGTACAGTAATTGTACAGTAAACATATAGCAGTATGATACACATTAGGGTGGGTAGAATAATACATAGTGTTATATTAAAATGGATAAGGCAGCAACTGCAGCAGCAGCAGCAAGTTCAGCAGCAGCAGTAACAGCAGCTCCCTTTGATGCTGTTAATCCTGCATAATGCACATGCATATGCAGTACTAATCACATTCCTGCATTTCCCATAAATATGCTAAATTCCTTTTGATATGCAAATTCCTTTGTCAATGCGCCCAGCTTATATATATGCTCCAAGCTCGTGTGCTGTTTCATTCAGACTCTGTCGCCTCGACGGACCTGGTTTTCACCTGAGGACGGCTGCTTGCGTTGTGGCCGAAACGTCGTGAGAATTGTTTTATTATGTTTTATTTTTATTATTTTATTACTTCCCTTCTACGTGACTTTACCGAAAGAACCAAGAAGAAGTTGGTGCGATTATTCGCAAATGGAAGAAACACAAAAGAACTGTCAATCTCCCTCGGCCTGGGGCTCCATGCAAGATCTCACCTCGTGGAGTTGCAATGATCATGAGAACGGTGAGGAATCAGCCCAGAACTACACGGGAGGATCTTGTCAATGATCTCAAGGCAGCTGGGACCATAGTCACCAATAAAACAGTTGGTAACACACTACGCCATGAAGGACTGAAATCCTGCAGCGCCCGCAAGGATCCCCTGCTCAAGAAAGCACATATACATGCCCGTCTGAAGTTTGGCAATAAACATCTGAATGATTCAGAGGACAACTGGGTGAAAGTGTTGTGGTCAGATGAGACCAAAATGGAGCTCTTTGGGATCAACTAAACTCGCCGTGTTTGGAGGAGGAATGCTGCCTATGACCCCAAGAACACCATCCCCACCGTCAAACATGGAGGTGGAAACATTATGCTGCTAAGGGGACAGGACAACTTCACCGCATCAAAGGGACGATGGACGGGGCCATGTACCGTCAAATCTTGGGTGAGAACCTCCTTCCCTAGGCCAGGGCATTGAAAATGGGTCGTGGATGGGTATTCCAGCATGACAATGACCCAAAACACTCGGCCAAGGCAACAAAGGAGTGGCTCAAGAAGAAGCACATTAAGGTCCTGGAGTGGCCTAGCCAGTCTCCAGACCTTAATCCCATAGAAAATCTGTGGAGGGAGCTGAAGGTTCGAGTTGCCAAACGTCAGCCTCGAAACCTTAATGACTTGGAGAAGATCTGCAAAGAGGAGTGGGACAAAATCCCTCCTGAGATGTGTGCAAACCTGGTGCCCAACTACAAGAAACGTCTGACCTCTGTGATTGCCAACAAGGGTTTTGCCACCAAGTACTAAGTCATGTTTTGCAGAGGGGTCAAATACTTATTTCCCTCATTAAAATGCCAATCAATTTATAACATTTTTGACATGCGTTTTTCTGGATTTTTTTGTTGTTATTCTGTCTCTCACTGTTCAAATAAACCTACCATTAAAATTATAGACTGATTATTTCTTTGTCAGTGGGCAAACATACAAAATCAGCAGGGGATCAAATACTTTTTCCCTCACTGCATATCAAGTTTGCAGTCGATACCACATTGGGAAGTGGATAAAAATTGAGTTACAAGATTTGAGGATACAACAACAACAGACAGAGTGAGTTAATAAAAAGCGTGTAAAATATAATAATAAAAAGAGCTTCCCTTTAGTGGCTTCCCTCCCCCCTTTTCCACCTGTTGACGGTAGCTTGTGTTAGGATCGAAACGTCGTTTTTTATTTAATTATTTTTGGGCCTATCCACGTGACTTTACCGAAAGGCTCCAGAGAATATGAATTCCTGCATTCACGAAAGCTTTAAGTCACTAAACTCTCGTGCACGTGAAAGTGACATCGAACTGGGATTTGTGCACATTGCGTTGGTGTACGGTGCTTTTTCTGCAATATTTTGCTGTCTTTTCTTGGATTTTCTGTTTGCACTTAGTCACACAGTCACTTTAAGATGTTTTCTTGTTCATTTTTTGTTTGTTGCGGTTGCACCCGATTCAAGAGCCGAATGAGCGGCTCACAGGGCTAAACCTAATACATGAATTCTAGATTTGAAGCTTTCGTGACTGCAATGATTAATACTCTTAGTTCTTTCGGTAAAGTCATGTAGGTAAAAAATTTAATAAAAAATTATAAAAATAAAACAATAAAAATCACGACGTTTCGGAGGCAACACAAGTCTCCGTCATCAGGTGACGGTCCCACCTGATGACGGAGACTTCTTCTTCTTGGTTCTTTCGGTAAAGTCACGTAGAAGGGAAGTAATAAAATAAAACAAAAAAAATATTCTCACGACGTTTCGGCCACAACGCAAGCAGCCGTCCTCAGGTGAAAACCAGGTCCGTCGAGGCGACTTGTGTTGCCTCCGAAACGTCGTGATTTTTATTGTTTTATTTTTATTTCATTTTTTACCTACACGGTGACTTTACCGAAAGAACTAAGAGTACTAATACATGAACTTGAACCCCCCCCCGGCCCCACGTGCTCAGCGTGGGGCTGGCGGTGACGTCACCGGTGGGTCTCGCGCGCCACGTGGAGGCGGCGGCGTCACCCGGCGAGCCGGCGCGTGACGTCACGGCACCGCCTGCTACATAAAGCAGCGTGCGTGGAGCAGCACGCGTTGTGGTCAACCGGTAGCAGGAAGAGCGAAGCAGCAGCAGCAGCAACAGAGTTGCAGTAGTTTGTCTATGTAGCAGCAGCAGAGTTGCAGTAGTTTTGTCTATGTAGCAGCAGCAGAGTTGCAGTAGTTTTGTCTATGTAGCAGCAGCAGAGTTGCAGTAGTTTTGTCTATGTAGCAGCAGCAGAGTTGCAGTAGTTTTGTCTATGTAGCAGCAGCAGAGTTGCAGTAGTTTTGTCTATGTAGCAGCAGCAGAGTTGCAGTAGTTTTGTCTATGTAGCAGCAGCAGAGTTGCAGTAGTTTTGTCTATGTAGCAGCAGCAGAGTTGCAGTAGTTTTGTCTACGTAGCAGCAGCAGAGTTGCAGTAGTTTGGTCCATTCAGCAGCAGCAGCAGAGTTGCAGTAGATTTGGTCCATTCAGCAGCAGCAGCAAACAACAGTTGATGTCAGCTGTCATTGTGAGCTATTGTCGCTTCGAGCAGCAATAAGTGTTGTACGTGTTGTAGCAGCAGCAGCAACAACAACAACAACAACAGTTGCTGTCATTGTGAGCTATTGTCGCTTCGAGCAGCAATAAGTGCTGTACGTGTTGTAGCAGCAGCAGCAGCAGCTCCTCTCTCGTCGTCAATTCAAGCAACAGCGTTGGTAGCTTGCCTACAGTCGTAGTTGGTAGCACAGGTAGCGGAAGCAGCATTAGCAGCATTAGCAGCAACAGCAACAACAGTGAGTAGATCTTGTCCATGGCAGAGGAGGAGGAGGAGATGAGCGATGGGGGCCACGAGGAGCAGGAGGCCAGCCTGCCGGAGTGGAGGCGCTTGGAGCGCGCTCTGCTCGCCAGCCTGCTGGGCGTGCGGGACGCGTACCGGAGGAGGTTCACGGCGGACGTCCGGGAGGAGATGGAACTACAACAACCACAACAACAACCACAACAACAACCACCGCAGGAGGAGCAGGAGGAGCGGGACGCCCGGCAACCAGACAGCGCCTTGGACTGGCTGCCAGTGCGTGTCTCTACAGTCGCAGTGAAACACTCGGCTACGCGGCGCGTGTTGTTGTTGTTGTGAGTGTTGTTGTTGTTGTGAGTGTTGTTGTTGTGAGAGTGTTGTGTTGTGAGTGCGTGTGGTGTTGTTGTGCGTGTGTTGTTGTTGTGAGTGTGTGCGTGTGTTGTTGTGCGTGTGTTGTTGTGTGTTGTTGTGAGTGTGTGCGTGTGCTGTTGTTGTGAGTGTGAATGTGTTGGTGTTGTGTGGTGTTGTTGTTGGTGTGTGCGTGTGTTGTTGTGAGTGTGTGCGTGTGTTGTTGTTATTGTTGTCCGTGTGTTGTTGTTGTGAGTGTGTTGTGTAAGTGGGTGCGTGTGTTGTTGTGCGTGTGTTGTTGTTGTGAGTGTGCGTGGAGTGTGTTGTTGTGAGTGTGTTGTTGAGTGTTGTTGTGAGTGGTGTTGTTGTGAGTGTGTTGTTGTGAGAGTGTTGCTGTGAGAGTGTTGCTGTGAGTGTGTTGTTGTGAGTGTTGCTGTGAGAGTGTTGCTGTGAGTGTGTTGCTGTGAGTGTGTTGTTGTGAGTGTGTTGTTGTGAGTGTGTTGTTGTGTGTTGTGAGTGTGTTGTTGTGAGTGTTGTTGTTGTGAGTGAGTGTTGTTGTTGTTGTGAGTGATGTGAGTGTTATTGTTGTGAGTGTGTTGTGAGTGAGTGTTGTGAGTGTTGTGTGTTGTTGTGAGTGTTGTGTGTTGTTGTGAGTGTTGTTGTTGTGAGTGTTGTTGTTGTGAGTGTCGCGGTTCGCGGCTGACGGACAACACCAGCGGCGATTATCTGAAACTGTCCTAAGGCATCCCCTAGGTCTACTCGGCCTCAAATGAGTACCTGGTGCGGTGTGTAAACGTCGCCACTGGGGGAGACAAAGGCGGTCGCGTGCCGTGCCGGCCTTCATAGGTGCTCTCTAACAGCACTTTGCCGAACAGTCTGTCCAGGCTATACGGGGCGTCTTTGTCTTTGTGTTGCACCTGTCCCTTGACTTCCTGCCAGCGAGCCTTCGACACTTCACGTGGACTCAAAAGTGCACCTAGCCTGGCACAAGCGGCGTGGTGGTAACGTCACCGCCACCAGGTGGCGGATGGTGGTGGTTGTTGTTGTTGTTCTTGCTGATTGTTATTCCTGTGAAAGTTTCTGTCGATAATTAATGTGAGGTTAAGTTGAGAGATGGAGCAATTCGATCTAATCCGTGGAATGTGTTCTCATCCAGCAGTGGATTGACCATAGCTGCTGATGATGATGCTGATGATGATGACATTACAATTGTGAAGGTGGCCAGGAGGAGGGTGGTCTTCATCCAGCAGTGGATAATATCGGATTACTTATTATGTGACTAAAGTTAGAAAATGATTTCCATTCACTGATTTAATCTAATTATGTAGGCGGCCGGCGTCACGCACGTTTCATCACGAGTGTAAACAAAGGTGACGTCATTTGTGTAACCCTGGGTGACGTAATCGTTTACCTGATTACTGATACGTCAATCTAAACTCTTGCGATGACGTCACGTGCTTGTGCTTAAACACACGGGCAGGCTTGTGACGTCACTTGGTTGTTGCAATGACGTAATTTGTAACATCCGGGTCACCGCAAGCGCGTCGCCGATGACGTGCCCCAGGTCATTCGCTGGGTGGTGGTTGAGCGTCTTTAACAAAGACGTGGAAACGCGCCAGGTTAGATCGACTTTAATTTGGGTTTAAAAGACCTGACAGAGTTCTAAATTAACAAAAGTCGTTGTATGGAAGACGCGAGTGCGCATAGCGTAGGCTACTTAAGGCTGCGTGAAGGTGTCAGGGCGTACCGGTTCCATGGTGTAATGGTTAGCACTCAGGACTCTGAATCCTGCGATCCGAGTTCAAATCTCGGTGGGACCTTCCGGTAATTTTTCTTTATTTTATTTTTCGGCAAGTTGCGATATTTTTGCCACGTTTTTCAGAAGAGGAAAAAAATATTTTTCATGTTGATGTAAATTGGAATAATTTTAGTTGAGAGTTAATTAGGGGACATCCATTTAGTCCGCAAAAAATGTAAAAACTTGACCCCTCCCTATACATACGCGTACTTTTTACACTCCCCCCTCCACCTGCGTACGTTCGCTTGACCCCCCCCCCCTCCCCCCAGAATCCTATAGAACGGCCCATATTTAATCCACGCAGAAACGATCAAGGATTAATAATATTGACGTGTTTAAGCAAACGGATAGTCCTCCGCCGGACTATCAAACTCAATTGTGGGCCAATGTAGACAAATTATTATCGAGGCTTCACCACCCCTCCCTCCGTTTTCTATGCGGACATTGTCAGTAGACCCCCCCATACGCAAGCTACGCATTTGGGTTAACCCCCCTCCCCTCCCCCCTCCATGCGTACGCACTGCACGGATGGCCCCTTGCTGGCCTGTGGGTGTATTTTCTCGTGGTGAATAGATCGTACGTGCTAATGTGGCCACGAGAGGGCAGCACAGCCCATGTGTTTTGATTCGAGTGTTGACCTTTGAGTGTTTTATACTCTTAGGTTTTTTTCGGTAAAGTCACGTAGGTAAAAAAATAAATAAATTGCTTTTTTAAAATAAAAATAAATTATAATAAATCAATTGATTTTTTTTCGTTTACCTACGTGACTTTACCGAAAAAAATCCCTAAGAGTATGGATCCTTGCAGTCAGAACTAGGCTCATTACGTGCGTAATAAGCCTGGTGCAGAAGTTGGTTCCATGGTGTAATGGTTAGCACTCAGGACTTTGAATCCTGCGATCCGAGTTCAAATCTCGGTGGAACCAAGCCATGTTCAAAACTTTTTTTGTAGTTTTATCAATAATTGGAATCACGAGTTCTGAGTTATTATTTCAACTGAATATGATTAAGCTTTTTGGTTATTTCGGTAAAGTCATGGAGGTAGAAATAAAACAAAATAAATCACGACGTTTCGATAGCAACACAAGCCATCATCTTCAGGTGAGGCAGCAGACATCGTGCTGCTGGCAGCAGACATTGCGGCTATCGCGATATTCACCTGAACACGATCGCTTGTGTTGCTATCGAAACGTCGTGATTTATTTTGTTTTATTTCTACCTACGTGACTTTACCGAAAAAACCAAAGAGTATGAATACTTGCAGTCACGAAAGCTTCAAATCTAGAATTTGAGTGTTTCTCCATATCCATACGTCGTGATGCTTCCGTCTGACTTTCCAAACACTCAATAATCGACAAAAAAAAAACGTAATACATTTGTCAATACCACTGTTGCCTTCAATAAATAATTGGCGACGTTTCGGGCAATTGCCCTTCTTCACAGCCTGAAACGTCGCCTGATTTTCATTTCAAGGCCATCGCCAAATAATGTACAATACTCAATTAAAGAGTTAACCAAACGTCCCAATGCAAGATACAAGTGAATCCATGGTGGTGTTGATTGTGGTAATCCGTGCCACAAGTGTGGTGGTTCCATGGTGTAATGGTTAGCACTCAGGACTCTGAATCCTGCGATCCGAGTTCAAATCTCGGTGGGACCTTGGAGTAATTTTTTTATGGTAAGTTGCAATGCTTTACTCAATAATCGTAATAGAAATTGAGTTTCGTGCTTGCTTTGTGGAGTCGTTTTCTTCTCGAGTGAGCAAATACTGTGCGTGTTACAAGTTCAAATAATTATTGAATGTTTAAAGATGGCCAGCATTTGCACGTTTAAATATGGCCAGGAGATGTCAGTACAGCGATGCATCGAGTCTATTGTGCTCAAGCAATGAGTAGTTTTTTCTAAGTACGGACCAATCGTCTTGTTTCCTCTCACTTGTTGAACACTTTGAACACTCAACGATAGTTGGACTAAAGTAAGCAATGTCTCATGTCCACCGAGCTGAATAAAGGAAACAGATTCACGGTGAAATATCCCTGCTGAGAATCTTAACAAATAACTCGGGAATATCCTCCAAGAAAAACGTACCTGTATCTTATGCAGTCCATGGTTCAACAGAGTTCTGTGAGTGTATAATGCCAGCAGCATTGATTCATAACAAACAAACTCTGGACCGGTTTCAACATGATGTCTCCATCAGCAAAATCAGTCATGCTTAAATCAATACTGAACTGATGAGGCAGTCCAGAGTTTGCGTGTACTTAAAGCTGCTGAAATATATCCGATGGGTTAAGTAAGAAAGTTTCATTTTTTCACGTGGTATTTATATTCCCCACACAGGCTAAATAATAAATAAATATTATTTAATTTTTATTTCTATTATTACTTTTATACTTTTTATTATTTATTTTTAACTACGTGACTTTACCGAAAAAACCTAAGAGTATGAATCCTTGCAGTCACGAAAGCTTCAAATCTGGAATTAATTATTTATCCCCATACGAAAAGTATTACCACGTTAACGAATGGATTCCGTCGAGTTTGATGGCTCACACTCACTGGGGTTGGCTAATCGGCCCAGCAATGCGTGGCGGTTCCATGGTGTAATGGTTAGCACTCAGGACTCTGAATCCTGCGATCCGAGTTCAAATCTCGGTGGGACCTTGAGGAATATATTTTTTTTTATTTGTGTAAGTTTTAATTCTTAATTCAATAATCCGAATAGAAATTGCCGCATGTGCTCTCTAATTAGTTATTTGTAAACGTTGGTGCCCTTTTCTGTATACTGTAATTGTATATTTCGTAGCCACGCGGTGGTGGCTACGCACACCGATAATATAATCCAGCACTGTGGGGGCCGCGAGTGTGGTGATGTTGCGAAACTCAGTATCAGAATATTCATTTAGACTGTAGCAATCCGATGAGCGATGAAGCTCCTTTTCACAGATGTCCAGATATCCGTGGGCGTCGAGCTCCCATTATCCAATAGAAGTCGGTACAGCAAATGTTGGACACTCCACCCCTTCCATCTGTACGGTTATCGAGTGTTGCCCCCTCGCACGCGTGGATTTTCTCCGGGTGGACCGGTTTCCTTTCAAGGATGTAAAACACTCACGAATTGGCCGATAACA